ATACTAAAAGATGTTTCTAATAATTTAAAATATATTATTTTTCTTATTTTTCTTTTTTTATTATTTTATTATTTTATTATTTTATTATTTTATTATTTTATTATTTTATTATTTTATTATTTTATTATTTTAAGACTTTTATTAAATTTAAAAACCTATTATTATAATTTTTAGTTTTTTATATACTTTTATTACTTAATTAAATTATTAAGTTATCTATATTAAGCTTATTATTATATCATACCTGAATATTATATTAGTTTTAATATTAATATAGTAAATATATATATATTATATATATATCAGCCTTAATATACTATTAATATAGTATTTAATACCTTTTTTAATTAATAAATATTTAGTTTATATTAAAAAGTATAATATATATCAGAAATCCAAATACATATCAGAAATCCGAATACATATTAGACTTGTATAATATATATCCAGATTGAATAATATATATTTTATTAAGTAAATATATACTTTTTTAGGAAAAAAATATATTAATTAAAAATATATATTAAAAATTTAATATATATTATTTTAAATATAGGTTATATATATTATATATTATAAAAGTAAATATATATATTTAAAAATAAGATATATTAATTTAAATATAGTATTAGTACTATATTTCATCTTAATATAATATTATAATAACATTTATAATTAATATAATATTAGGGCTATACTAGCACTATACTAAAAACACCCCCTCCGCCGGCACGGTACTGACCTTGAGCGGGAAGAGGGTAGGTAGTGGGCCAACCTGCCCACGATTCAGGAGGATCGGGACTAGGAAAGTTTGGGAATCGTGGTAAGCCACATACTGCATTATTATAAAGAGGATCCAAGTACTAGCTAACTAGTACTTGTATATTTATTAAATGCAACCCACCTAGTGCTCGCAGTACATTGAAGAAAAAAAAGGATTATAAATAATATAGCATGCCACGCCAACGCCAAGAGGCAAGACAGGGGTTAAAAAAGTGTAATCTAATAAAATTACCTAGATATTTTTACGCAGTGGGCAATTAAGACGGATTACCGCTTGTTATGGCGTTTAACAAAGCAAACGGCGGCAGATGTAAGTGCCTGACAAACATAGTGGACATGTAGTAATAGACTAAATAAGGAAAGTCTTAATATACACCCTCCTGCACCTGCACCTGCAATCAGGAAACACATGTCTTAACATGGATATTTTAATATTACACATAGTGTCTTCTATATTGGCCTTGATATACCCTCAGCAAGTCCCAAAACTTTAAAGAATTACATTTATAAAGGACATTCCCCACCCAGCCCTAACCCAAGCAGCCGCCAACAGCCACAGCAAAAAGAAGTTATTTGACTCTCACGGCAAAGCCATATCCTTCAGCCCCAATCCCGACCTCTCAAGCCTCTGCAACAGGTACCTTAACTTAGCGCCCTGACCCCTATCCTGCCGCGACAGGTCTTTGGAGATAGTAGGCTTGATACCAAGCGTGCTAGGAGGCTCGATAGCAGGCTTTACAAAGGTGGTCCTTAATGCCATATTGCGGGCACCACCAGGAGGGGACCAAGACCCAACGTCCAGTGGTGGCCTGGTATGGCCTAAGCAGTCTATTTAGTGGTTGGTTGGGGTAAATACCTGAAGCTTTGACAAAGAGTACAAGAAAAATACTATGGTGCAGGGCTTACTTACCCGGGGGCGAGACACGGTAGAGACCGTCGAATGGACGACGGACGGATTCGTCGCCATGTGGTCGGGCCAGCTGGAGGGGTGGGACTCGCCTTGTGTCTGCGAGAATGGCGGCTCGTCAGCGCCGCATGTATGAGGGATACATGCATAGAAGCAGCGTCGGCTGTGAATAGAGTGCCTCACCTCTCAGTCCCGAGGCGACAGGCGAGGAATGAATCTCGGATGGATCTGACGGTTCTGACAAGGCGCAACGGATTCACACACGCACACACCAAGGTAGGGCTTACGGCCTCACTTACTCATCCCATGTGAATATGCATGGTCATCCCATTCGTTATCCCAATCCCCATTGTCTTTAACAGCTACGGAACGTGCCAGGTCCGCTCGCCTCGACCGTTGAGGTGCGTAGGCCTCGGACCCGGACTCTACAGCCATACTCTCCGGGGAGCCGGGCGAGGGTGGACGCATGTCTCCTTCACCGTGTATCCGTTGAGCTGCGTAGCGATGAGAGAATTGACTGGCGTAATACGCGTAAGGGGGGTCCGTATCAAACGGCGGCTCCAGGATCAGATAACGGCGTTAATAAAAACCCTGCTGGCGGGATCTTACCAGTCTCGCTGCGTATGACTCAATGTTGAAGGTGTTAATGCAATCACTATAGCCGGGGGCGGAAAGAGGGGAGACCTGGACGCCAGAGGGCTCGGATTGGCCCTCTGAGTCTTCTGAGGGGCTGGGGCTGGATCTGATGTTGGACCTGTTGGGGAATGATTGATTAGCTGACGCGCGGGCTTTGGCTATTGAGAAACGAGGACACCTGCGTCATGCGTTCTAATAGCTGGTGCCTAAGAGCTTGATCTTTGTAGTTTCACCGGGGCACGGGTGTGAGACGGGTGCGGGGTTCATAAGACAGTGTAAGGTTAGGAAAAGAGGGACCAATTACAGTCACAGCACAGAAGTCCTGGTCATGAGTGTGGCTGAATTGGGCGCCCGTGATAGGGCTACAGGGCTATGCACAGTTGCAGCTGCCCGAGCGTTGCTTTACCGTAGGCTGCTTAGTGGGTTTTGCAGTCGACAGCCATGCTATTACCGTATTAACCTTATTGAAGGGGACAGAGGATAGCTTTACCGGGTTCTAGTTCCTTTATTATACTTTTTGAATAAACCATACAGTTGGCAGTAACCAAGATTTGTAATTCCCTAGTAATTATAACAAGGAGAGATAGGTTCCATAGATGCTAGGTGTAGTTCACTTAACATTAGCTATAAACAGAGTCAAATAGGAAACAATTGTTTAACAAAGGGACGTTTAAAAACACCACTTTCAAAATCCCCGTCCGTGCATGGGCTTCCTTGGTCTTGGTTGTTGTTTGACTGTTTCGTCTACACTTTTAGGGTTCTTTCTTCCTTCCTTCCTTTCATATTCCTTCTTAGGGCTGGGTGGATGGTATCGGGAGTTATGGACGGGCGCCCAGTGCCAGTTCCAGCACTGCGTGTTGCCATCCGACGATGCGGGATCCTCCACCCAAGCAAAGAAGGCATTGCCGTGACTGGACGCCCCCAGACGGATGTCGTATTCCGGAAACATGGTTGCCAGGTTTGTGCTCGCGACGTACGGCCACGTGGCCTGGTTCAGGTCCGCCAGGATCAGCGGCTCGGTGTCGCGGAGGAGATAGCGCGTCCAGAAGTTCTGCTGCGAGATGAGCATCGTCCCGCTCATGCCGGCTGCCACCAGGTTGCCGCTGTACGGGAGGATGGCGTCGCTGGGGAACGCTGCGTGGTCGGTCATCTCCAGGTACAGGAGCATGTTGTTGTCGCCCGGCCCGATGCCCTCCTGTGGCGGGTCGACCCCGCGGGGACGATACTCGTGGGTCTGGAACTTCACCGCGGTAGGGGTATAAGATAGGGATGTGCTTACGGTTGAAGACCAGGTAGAGCGTTTTGATCGAGTAGTCGCCTGGCTGCTGCAGTTCGTCCCTGGCCTTCTGGGTTCTGGTCCTGGTAAGACCCAGGACCAGTGTCCGCCAGCCCAAAGTCCACAGCAAACGCAATCCTCCATCCTGTCACGTCGAATGTGATGCTAGCAAGACTTAGCATCGGCGTCACTCCTGCTCTGCATGTCGGCGACTTATGGCTTGTTATAGTTGAAGAACAACGTCCCCGATGAAAACGTGCAGGTATAGTTAACATTCTCCCGGCTTGCTCCGGTGACCTTTAGGGCGACTTGGGCCTTGTTGATCTTGGCCTCCAGTGTATTGCCTAGTTTCGACTTGCAGTGGACATGGCATATGTCAGGGTAGTCCTCCAGCAATTTCTTCATGGCCACGTTGATTGCCCGCTGGGTGACTGCGATGATCTGACACGATGTTAGCAGGTTCTGAATGGCCTCCCAAGGAGGCTGTGAAGCGCTCATCCATTGCAGGGGATTTGTCTGTCGGCGAGTCAATGCTCTCATGATAGGACGGATTGCGCTACCTGGCGTAGCGACTACACGAATCCGTCCACCCGGCCATCAATTCATCATGACGCAGACAATGGAGGCGCTGAGAGTGTGATTCAAATGGGGCATACCATGGTCAACCAACGGGCTCTGGGCTCTAAACCCTAATGTTATTACTGAACCTTGGTCGTGACCACCGCTTCCATCCTGATGTATAGAATATGATGTGATATGAGAGAAAACTTTGATGTAGGAATCTCGACTGTGGGTGTTTGCCTGACATGATTTCTATGTCGATACTGTATCCACATTCATATCCCCCAACGATAATTGCATCAAACTTCCTCTCCAGCAGGAATTGTCATCGCATACAGTTCTATCCTCCACGACAACCAACTCAGCCCCATGGCGAGCAACGTCCCCCACAGCCTGGCTCTCCGGCCGAGTGGAAGCAGTACGCAGTCAGCGATAGCATCACGAGTATCCCGTTGCAGCATGAGGAATGGTCAAACAGCACGGATGTCAAGCCAGATGTGGTCCTTCGTCGGCGAACAATACATTGACAACAGCAGAATGAACAAATCCTGCGAGACGTCTATCTGGACGAGTCCTGCATCACCAACCCGCCAACGTCGCAGTTCTACGTCTACAGCGATGTCTTCGCGCTGATGCACGACGAGGTCACCGTCTCGCTCGACGATTACTCCGTCCTCCACCTCATCACAAGAGTTCTCACGGCCGCCACGCCAACAAACCTCAACCTTGTCGCGCCCCCGCACGGCTCCCACATCTTCATCTACGCCTCCATCCTCGACCAACCCATCACGGTCTCATCATCGGGAAGTGCCCCGATCCCCCTAGCCCGGGGCCCAGGAACAGGCAACATAGGCGTGACGCTGTTCATCATGCCCAACGAGCCACCCAGGGTCACATACCGGACAACATACTCAGCCACCGAGGACAGCGACCTACGCGCCAGCCCAAAGACGCAGCAGCGGATCGCGCTCGCCGTGTTCTGGACGGACCCGTCCATCGCCATTTCGCCCTGCGCCTTCGTCGCCGCGCCCACAGCAACCCCGCCGCTCTACGCGGTTCTCAACGCGCAGGCCGTCGCGCTGGGCCAGCAGCTCGCCGTGCAGGCCATGACAGGCCCGGATACGAGCTACGTGCCGGGGCTGAAGATGGACTGGTACCGGGGGACAGCGAAGGACACGCTCGACGCGCTGGGGGCGTTCGAGGCGCAGTACGCGCGGTTCCTGGATCAGGGGGCGGCGGCGGACGCGCGGGTCGATGCGTGGCGGGTCATGCTTGCGCATGCGAAGGCGCAGCGGGCGAAGCTCGTTGTGCTCAGTGCGGCGGGGTGGGAGAAGGACCGGGATGCAGCGGGTGTTGTTGACAAGTGCTAGACGCAGATGCGGGCCGGTCGGCAGGTGGTTCTGGATGCGCAGGAGGCGTTTCGGCGGGGGTTGGACAGCTGGCATGCGCAGCAGGGGCTGCTTGCTGTGTTTGGGATGTTTGGGGCCCTTCTGAGTGTGTGGTTCCTAGTTCCGTTCCTGTTTGACTACAGTGTGTTGTGAGCTGATTGAGGGTAGGCTTCAGTGTGAACATCGGCATGCTCTGCATGGGGGATGCAGATGGGATTGCCGGTGCCATCGTTGCAGTGGGGGATGCAGTCGAGGCGGCGCGAGACGCCGAGACAGTCCCTGATCAAACGGGCGTGAAGATATCCTCCTCAACACTGCAGGCTCTCGCCGACAGCATGGGGGCCCTGGAGACTCTATATCCGTCGCTGGACGATCTTGTCTCGGCGGTGCATAACCTCGCCACAAACCCTAACGCGGACCTCCCCTCAAAAGCAGACATCTCCGGAAGTGCGCAGGGAGACGCCGATGCGAACGCCATCCTAGCGCTGGGCTCGTGGGACAAGCATAACCTGGAGAGCGACGCACAGCTAGAATGGGGTGTGTCGCGCGAGATCAACGGCGCGGTCAAGTATCGCCTTGCGCTGCAGAAGCACGGCATCAACGGCAAAACGCTGGCGCAGGCGCAGGCGGAGGCCATCAAGGCGGGAAACGAGTATGTGCAGAGTGAGCTGCAGGCCAGGGCGTCGGACGAGGACGTGGCCAATCTCGAGGAAATGCTCGAGACGTACGAGGGCCAGGCGGACGTCTATGCGCGCGCTGCGGCCATCTTCTACGACAGAGCCTGGGACCTTCGCACCACCCTGATGCTCGAGATGCGCAAGATGGTCTGGGCATACAAGTACTGGGCGTTGCAGGACAGTCGGATCGTGCTGACCCCTCAGAAGCCGGTCGAGGCCTTCCTGGCCGATCTGGCCTTGCTGGACTATGAGATCGAGACTGTCTTGGTGAGCTATGGCAGCGGCAGTGACTTCCAACGTGCGTCTCCGTGGATACCATGCCATCCATCGCTAACCCGATCTCAACAGCATTCGAGCAGACCGTCCGTTCAGAACACGTTCGTAAACCCCCCAGGCATCGGCACGTCACTGACATGCAACCATCCAGCTCCCCTCAGACTACGGCCCCGAACTGATCAAAGGCCTACAAGGAGAGTCCCACTCAGCAAGCTTCACCCTCACACCAAGCGTCGACCCAGCTTCATCATCGCCAACAACCTTCGCCAGCATCTCCACCAACGGCGCACACTTCCGCATCGACGGGCTCTCGCCAATCCTGCGCGGCGCAAAGTCTCGCCGCGAAGCCCTCCAAGCCCAAGCCCAAGCCCAAGCCCAAGCCCGGCTCGTCCCCGTCGACATGCGCATCTCGACATCAGGCATCTACGCCGACATCCGCTCCGGGCGGGTCTTCAACTCCGCCAGCCGCCCGCGGACGGTGCGGCTCTCGTACGACCTGCTGGAGGACGGCCCGCGCGGCGCCACGCACATCCACTCGTCGTTTCCGGCGGTCGACCACGCGCGCGAGACCCCGTTTACGCAGTGGCGCATTGAGCTGCTGAGCCCGCATCTTCTGGATCTGGGGGGGTTGGTGGGCGTTGATTTGGAGTGGGCTGGGCGGGCGCATTTTTACTGATGAGCGTGGCGCATGGTATAGTCTGGAACCGGTACCCGGGCAGTGGAGATAGGCGCATACCGTACCTAGATAGTGGCCGCCGTGCTTCACGGAGAATAACGCCTGGATATAGATTTGTTAGAGGACGGGGTATCAGCTAAACACCACGGTCAGGGATGGGTGTATGGTACGGTTTACGTGAGGCTCAGCAGATCCTTGACTTCCAGGCAACTCCGAGTTGATAGTACAATGCAGCACTACGAAATCACCCACATGGGTTGAGTCATATTATGATTGGTTTCATTCCGGACGTGACTGGAAGCATTGGGCGAGGGGGACTGGACATGGATTGATGAAGCAGAGCACATCAGCCCACGCAGAAGAAGCAAGCCAATAGATTAAGATACTCTTGCATGGATTTGAACATTTGAAGTAGCGGCAGTAAATGGTTTGAGCCAAGGTGGCTAGGCTGTCTTTGCTCTGCCCGATCTGCACGGCTGAAACGCGCACCTGTATACTGAGGCTACAGGTATTTGATATGGACCCAGATATGATTTGCCAGTCGGCACTGGTTCGGATGAAGAGCTTGCATACTCGGTGTCCGCTGGAGAGCTGCGCCAGTCCGAAATCTGCCTACGCAGGTGCCGATGGCGAAAGGGACTGCACCGATTGGTATCGTGCAGACGTTCTCAGTCATGGTAGGGTATGCTTGGTTGAACATCCCTGTGCGAGAACATGAGTAGTATGCCGATTCAGCTTGAGAGCTTCGGTAGGGCAGCCTGGCATCCATGGATCTGATTAAGCGGATGGAGCGGGTGGCTGGAAGCAATACCATACCATATTCTCTCCACGGCCCGGAATCAGAGTATACTCCATTATGTATGTCCGATTGAATACTTACAGTAGGTCCGTGGTCTGCATAATTCTCGGACCCAACAGAGATCTGGCATGTGTATCATGTGGAATTGCTAGTGCTTATTCTACGCTGCTTATGTATGTATCCTGGCTCCGTACGGAGTATGTTGCAGTGGGACTTGTCCTACAGCCGCCCGCGGTGTCAGTGGCTCGCATTAGTACTGGCAGTCGGAGTATTACATGACCGGGGTATCCTGAAGGTCGATAGCTGAGCTAGACCCTGGAGTTTCTTTCTGCCTGCCAGTTGGACTCCGTGGACGGCGAATTGCCGGGTGACTTGAAACATCGAGGGATTCTGACGATGACGGACGACAGGACTGGTCCTCGCAGACATACAGAGTACGGTACAGCGTACTCATAAGCCTGACTCGGATGTTCTGAATGGCTGCTCTCTGGATCCCGCCCAATTAGGGCTATCTACGCGTGCCCGGACGGCGCAGAATGAAGACAAACTGGGAAAGACTGTTTCACTTGGCTAGACCAAACTCAAGTGGAAGGACCATCCTCATCCTGTTGCAGACATGGTAAAATCGCCGACCTGTCCATAAAACACGGAGGGACTATGCCGCATGGAGCCCCATGCACCAAGGAATGCAGTGCAGTGCAGGTGCATGATGCACTTTATCCAACCCTCCAATCCCCACTGCATTAGCCATCAGCCCCTCAGTGCTACCAGCTTATGGCCTATAGCATGGAAAACGCCCTCTTGGCGTGAGGAGAGCCGACAATGCGAGGATCGACCTCGGCGGACCTGTCGGGGCCCGTAAGCTTCCCCGCCCAACGTCATCTTACATCTTCCATGCTGCCATAGTACCACTAGACTCCTCCAAGTAGGGCTTTTGTATAAGAAGCTGCACCCGCCCGCCTGTTTCACATCGTCCTCCACCTACTGTTTTGTTTGACATTTGATAAGCAAGCAAAATGCCCTTCTCCGTCCTCTCCAACTTCCAGAACACCATCAACGGCCAGCCCTCCTCCACCCCGGAGACACGCCACGGCATCAACCCTGCCACCGGCGAGGCAAACCCCGACGTCCCCGTCTCCACGCAAGACGACGTCGACAGGGCCGTCAAAGCCGGACAAGAGGCGTTCAAAACCTGGTCTACAACGCCCTTTGAGGAGCGAGCAACGGCTCTCCGCGCCTACGCAGACGCCATCGAGGAACACGCGGGTGATTTCGCGAAGTTGCTTGTGCAGGAGCAGGGGAAGCCCGTACTTACCCTTTACCCCGTACCTGTATCCCGGGAAGATAGGCTAAACAGAGCGTAGATGCAATTCGCAACCCACGAAGCACACACCTCCGTATCCATAATCCGCACGCAGACCGAGATCGCAGCCGACCTAAAAGACGAGATCATCGAGGACAGCGCACACAAGCGCATCATCGTCCGCCACACCCCCATCGGCGTCGCCGTCGGCATCATCCCCTGGAACTTCCCGCACGCGCTAACGGTCATCAAACTTGCGCCTGCGCTGCTAACGGGGAACGTGATCATCATCAAGCCGAGCCCGTTCACGCCGTACTGCGCGCTGAAGCTGGTGGAGCTGGCGCAGAGATTCTTCCCGCCGGGTGTGGTGCAGGCTCTTTCGGGCGATGACCGCTTGGGGCCGTGGTTGACGGGGCATCCGGGGATTGGGAAGATTAGTTTTACGGGGAGTTCGGCGACGGGGAAGAAGGTTATGGAGAGTGCGAGTCGGACGTTGAAGAGGGTTACGCTGGAGCTGTACGTTCTTCTGCTGTTTAGTTGGATTGTGCTGATCAAAGCCTCCCGACGCAGGGGTGGAAAAGACGCCGCCATCGTCTGCAAGGACGTCGATGTCGAGAAAGTCGCGGCGGAGGTACCTACACATCACCACCCATATCAAGCCCAACGAACTAACGAGACCAGGTCGTCTCCAAAGGCCTCTTCAACAGCGGGCAAGTCTGCCTGGCCGTCAAACGCATCTACGTGCACGCCTCCATCTACGAGTCCTTCCTGTCCGCCGCCGTCTGCTACGCCAAAACCGTCCCCGTCGGCCCAGGCACCCAGGACGGAATCTTCATGGGCCCGCTCCAAAACGCCATGCAGTACGAGAAGGTCAAGTCGTTCATCGCCGACCTCGCCCCAGAACAGCTCCGCCTCTCCCACGGCACCGCCCAGCCCTTCGACGACAAAGGCGGCTTCTTCATAAAGCCTACCATCATCGACCGTCCCGATGAACGCAGCCGCATCGTCACGGACGAGCAGTTCGGGCCTATATTACCCTTGCTCAGCTGGAGCGACGAAGAAGACGTGATCACGCGCGCGAATGCCTCGAATCTCGGCCTGGGCGCGAGCGTCTGGTCCGATGATTTGGAGGAAGCGAGTCGGATTGCGAAGAGGTTGCAGGCAGGCAGCGTATGGGTGAACACGCACTTTGAGAATGACCCGCGCGCGCCGTCTGGGGGGCACAAGGAGAGTGGGATTGGGACGGAGAACGGGCTGCATGGGCTGAGGGAGTGGTGTAATTTGCAGACGTTGTATTTGAGGAAGTGAGTAGTCGGCTTACTAGTTGGGCTGCTTTGATTGTGATTTTCTGCGGAAAACGTGTATGCAATGTTGCCATTGATATCGGGAGGGTTTTGAGTGTTTTTCCAGGAATAAGTTGTGCAGGCGTACGGTGCTACCTAACCTAATATTGTAGGAGAATAGGTACAATATGTGGACACGTATACCGCTAGAATATCAACGCCAATTGGCAATAGGCCAGCCCTTGTACTCCGACACCTCCATGGTGACTGGATGACCGTACCTTTGCTTTGCATTACCCCTTTCAGAACCAGATGTCTACCATAGGATAAGGATAGGTAGCGTTGAAGAGAAAGGTACCCAGGCAAAGGATAACCCTGAAAGTCCTGATGTGGGTATAAGACTGGGCCTTTTCCAATTGGTGTTATGCCCAGGTGTAGTCCACGGGTGGACATGCTAACAAGGGCGAGAGTGATCAAGCAACCGGCGCTACCAATGGGCTTTGATATGTATTGTCTAATGTTTCACCTCATCTGGGCAAATGGCTCCGTTCCTAGCAATTTAAAACAGAAATGTATCAATATCTATATCCTGCAGTCTACCATACCTCCATAAAACACGACAAATAGACCCCATCTAGAACGTAACAACCAACCTCCCCTTCAAATTCGGATCCATATACCGTTCCGGCAAGTTCACGCCCTCCTCCAGCGTCATGGTGGTAACATGACTCCGAACCCCCTTCTCAGCAACCAACCTCATCATGTCACGCACAAGCCTTTGATTCGCAACAAGATTCCCCCGAACACTCAACTGCTTGAAGATCAGATCGAACGCACTGAACTTGAACCCCTCAACGGGTAAACCCAGCGGCACACACACGCCCTTGGTCCGCAGCAGTTTCAGACTCCATTCTGTAGCCTCCACGCTATCCGTGCAGACGAGGACGCCCGCGAGGCCGCCGTCGCCTGCTGCATTAACGATCTCGTCCGTGGCGCTCTCGGTTGTCGAGTCGATGATTGCCTTTGGGCGGAGGTGCGAGGGGAGGTCTGCGGCTAACTGGCGTCCTTCAGGACGGTTGTCGATGGCGAATGTGGGGTGGCCGAGGCCGGCTGCGAATTGTAATGCTAGGAGGCCGAGGCCTCCGATGCCGATTACGCCGATGGGGAGGCCTGGCTTGACGCCTGCTTCGTCGAGGCCGCCCCATACCGTTGCCTGAAGCTTGTCAGTCCACGGTGCAACTGGGGGCGTGTATCTGGGTCAAAGAGGAAACGTACTCCAGCGCACATAAGCGGCGCGGCTTGTGCGAACTCCAAGCCCTCAGGTAAAGCGACGCTTGCATCCGCGTCCGCAACGACGTATTCCGCAAAACCGCCGTCGCCGCTAATCCCCGCCATATCCTTGGTCTCGCCCTGGCAGAAGCGGAGGTCAGGCTTGCTGGGGTCCTTGGGATCACGCGCGACTCTGCACCCTGTGCAGGAATTGCAGGCGTGTCGGAAGTTGAGCATTCCGACTCTCTGCCCGGCTTTCCATCCTGCTGCGGCGGCTTTGGGGCCGACTTCGACGATTGTACCTACTGGTTCGTGGGAGGGCGTCAATGGGAGTGGAGACTGGTAGACGCCCTCGTAGACTTGGTAGTCTGTGTGACAGAAGCTGGCGGCTCCAACCTTGAGGAGCAGGTCATTGTCTTTTATTGTCGGGACGGGGATTTCTTGGAGTTCGTAGGGTGCGTTGTACTGTTTCCGTCAGGATGGGTTGGGGTATGCGGATGGGATGGACGGACCTTGACAAGACGCAGGGCTTTCATGGTTTTTGGCGCCATGGTGAGTTTAGCTTGGAATGTAGCTGGTCTGATTCCCTCAAGTTCCTCATCCTGCCTTATATGAGCGTTGCATCTCTATGACGTTGATGGATGTGGAGCGGTTGGATTCCCCCGATTGGCGATGTGGATATCGCCCAGACCTGATTTCAAAGCATGGCGGGATGGCATTATCCGCTCGGTGTTCGAGCAAGACTGCGAGATGATACTCGTGAGAGCCTCTGGTTCAGCCAGTATATCTCTAAGCTTGCGAACTGCATCTCCACGCATCGTCAAAGCACAGCAACGCTTTCGCGATGGTCACGCAGGGTATCCTGGGGCATACCCACCATTGGGTAAGAATCCGCTTGGGAAACGGCCATCGCGTCGTCACTGTGTAGGGTGAAACATGGAATCGTCATTATCACTAATGGGAGGAGTCTTTGTCGAATGCTTCGCGGTGTTGACTAGCACAAGCAGCGACTGCGCATCATCGTCATAAGGACCACCCATTTGGAACAGTGGGTTCGAACTGCTCTCACCCACCGCGGACTTTCAACTAGAAGGTCGGAGATAGAACGTGCCAGTCTATATGGGCCACTGGCCGGCTTCGGAGACGTGCCGCTATTGGCGGCTCCGCCGGTATACTCGCGATTTCCCAGCGTTGACCAAAGTAAGACGTGCGGTCCACAAGGCGCTTGTCAGAAACGACAATCATGATTTTGGAAGGGCGATCTGAAGTGCGGAGAATAGAATTCGCGCATTGCATCATCTTCTCTGTCAAGTCCGCGCGGTATGATTGGAATATTAAGAAGGCGCGGTTTAAGCGGGGAAGTATTGTTTCGAGAAGCAGCCATAGTTCATGTTCTTTGCTGTGGCTTGTATTGGAGATCTCGTCTGATGAGAGAACGTCGGGATATAAATGAATGGCATCGGAGGCGAGGGCTTTGAGGATTTGAACCGGGTCATTCGATGCCGCGTTTGCTGAAGGGAGCGACCAGAGTACTTGGTAGTCGGACTCGGGGTGCTCTTTATGTGCTTCCTTCCATTGCAGGAGAAACTCTATTAGTTCGGCGGCGAATCCTACCCCTCGGGCATGGCTGGGGATAATGCTTCCTCTGCTCGGTTGAACGTCTACTATCAGACCCTTGCAAGCGGTCGTCGAAAGCCAATCACTCAAGGTGTGGAAGAAACTGATGCAACCACCGGGCCAGGGATGCCATTGCTTTTGATGCCGTGACAGAGCTAAGTTGGTTCTGAAGATTGCTTGTGAGTTTAATTGGGACGCTAGGTCGGACGGTATACGCCTCAGACTACTTATAGGTGGTGGAATTTCAATCCCCGTCGTGTCAGCCTTGTGTTCTTGGGCAGGGCTACTTTGGTTATCATTTCCGTTTGTGGCGTCCCCGTGCACTGGAATTAATTTCGTCGCGGTGGGTGCCGGAATGGCCTCCAATGCCGTCTTTGAAAGAGGATTAGAGCTGGAACTATCCTTCGTATCGCATACGGAGTGCGCGGTAAGCTTATTCGAATGGGCCATTGGCGGCGTATTTGAGTTGCTGTCTAATGGATTTGGACGTGCATGACCTAGACTTGGATGGACAGGGCTCGGTGCAGGTTGGCAACCAGTATCCCGGCCAGCTGGGAGAGGGGACTGGGTGGGAACAGATGACGGGCAAGGGCTTGGATCCGCCACTGTTGGCGTATCAGCTTTCATCAGCTGGGGGTCAGCAGTTAGCTCCTCGAACATTTTCATCGTGTCGACCATCTCGTGAGAGGGGAGGTAGAGCAGTAACTCTTTGGTATATGCGGCAGCCACGACGGCCGCATACCCCTGCCAGCGCTTGTGCTTGTGAGAGTCTGCATAGTCGCAGACTCCACGAATAACCAGACAAGGAAAGATATCCATGATTCCGGCAGCTTCGGTTTCAAAGCATAGGATGCCGTACTGCTTCGCCAGTTGGTCTCTGACCTTGGCGTCCTTTATGACCTTGTTCCCAGACGCGATCAAGCCATAAAAGATCCTCGGCTGGTCGTCTGGCCGGGGCTGCCGCAGTTGTAACATCGATAGGTCGCATTTATGACAGCTCGGTTCCGAAAGGACATGGCCGTACTCGGCGACGAAGAGATGGTCAGCGTCCCGACCAGGATGTTGGGCAAGGGCGCGGAGATGCGGGAATTTCCGCATGGCTTCGTCATAGTAGAGATGGACGTTGTTTCCCCGGAGCATGTGTTCGGCCTTCAATCCCAAGAGTGCTCTCAGAACGACCTCCGGCGGCTTATCCAGGACCCCCGTTGGAGTCGTTCGGCCTCCGTCAACAGCCTTCCCTCGGTCATATTGCATCACGCCCCCGTATCGGATTGTAGGCTCACTAACGACGATGTCCCCCAAGCGGATATCGTGCTCATCAGGGACGCCGCCTCCAATGCCGACCATGAAGCACACCTCGAGCGACTCGTAGCTGTAGCGCATCTGGAGGACGGTGGCTGTCGCAGACGTGGTGCCATATAACTCCGGCAGGAAGACAGGTGATGACGATATTGTGAGGGCCAATACTCCCCAGCACGTACTTGTTTCGGTCGTTCTTCCGATTAGGCAGCGCGGGGTGGAACTGGTCCAGCATGGCCTGGGCGGCCGCCATCTCCACAGGCAGGGCGCAGATCCAGCCGATCCGATATGCATCGCGGGTGGTCATTGATGAATTCGTTGGACGTTTCTAAGGCGTCTCGATCAGAGTGGGACGCGTTTGCAGATAAGAAGGTGCAGTGTTGGCGCGGGGTTGGAGGTCAACGCCAAGGCAGCAAACGAGGCTGAGCCTCCTTCCCTGACGTTTCTTCCTTCCTCTTCACGACTCCAATCCCCAACTTCCCTCCTCCATCTCACTTCTACGTCCTTAGACATGCCGCGAAGAAGACACCGCAGCCCCTCGATTGGACCCGCCCTCTCCGACGAGAACCTGACCGACTTTCTTCCCCGCGAGCCAGGCGGCGCTTATCATCACCGGCCTGGAACCGACAGCGACAGTGATGCCAGCGGCGGCGATAGCAATGCTAGCGAAGACCACGGTCGCTCCGACTCCCTGGACCATGAGCTCGATCGATCATCTTTCCGACAGGAAAATCGACCTCGCCGCACCGACTACCCCAAACCCACCACAAACAACCAGACGAGCTATACCGTGATCTACCATGTGGACTGCTCACGAAAAGGGGTCCATAAGAAACACCGGAAGGCTGCTGCGTACAACGACCATCCAAGACTGTTCAAGGGGGATAGCAAGTTTAGCGCATTGAGGGGAAAGCAGCACATCGACGACCTTTCCAATTTCCTCGATTGGAATCGAGACCTCAATTTCGTGGTGAACAAACGGTTCCACTGTGATGAGTACCACGAAGAAATGGCACCCCTTTTCGACCCTTTGCCCAAGCCGCAGAACCCCCGAGTGCCCGAGGCTATTGAGCCCTACTTCTTCAGTCTCCGGCGCCATGGGGATTGGGCCATACCCTCCGCCGAGACAATCACGGTGCTTTCAGAGCCGCTCAAGTCTGCGATTGTTACGGCGACGGGGATGAAGTACGATCATGTTTCCAAGCTTGAGAGTCCGAGAAACATGAACATGCTACAGCACCTCTTGTACCACTACAAGCGACGGAAAGAAGAAGGCGCTATTCGTCTCGCGCCAGCCGATCACCGTCTCCTGGAGGGCTTGCTGCACTACATGAAAGGGTCCAATGGCCCGGACTACGAAGCAGCCGATGAAATGTTTTCCCAGGGGCTGATCAGTAAAGCACACCTCGCTAAGCTGTGCGGAGCCGGAGAAATCATGGTGACCAACGTCAATACACACCCGCGGGCATATATGATTGAACGTCCACCGAAGAGTCAAGCGCCGCCGTTGAAACTCGAAATGTGGTCGTGGGAGTTTGAAGATGGCGTGTTCCGCCAGAAGGAGACCGAGATGTCCCTTGACTGGCCGTCCTCGGTCACAACGGATGAGACAATTCCGATTACTAGCCTGGATATTTACCCACTGAGGTTCGCAGCGCCTGAAGTGTGGAAACGGCTGAAAGCAAGGGGGAAGCTTTTCTGGCGCTGTCGAAAGCAGTGCTTTGTAGCATATGACCCTCCAAATGGCCTGTTAGGGATCCAAATGGTGAGCTGAACTTCTTTTGCAATGCCAAAGCCACGCTAATGACTCTAGACTACCCCGAGATACATGATTGACGTAAAGACCTATCGCACAATGCACCCAGAGCCAGACCCTATATCTTCAGGCCGGGAACTAGAACCGGACTTGATGGATAACCCAGAACCACCCGAATCGCCCTTTGTGCTCTTATTGCCCCATGAAATCAAAGGCTTCGCGTTCAATGATAAGAAGTGGAGTGAGTGGCCTCTCCCAGTTGGCGTCGATGTATTAACGAAAAATAGGAACGCTCCTAGTCGAACGGATCATGGACATCAACTGGAACGAAGAGGCATTTGACCGGCTGGTCATGCAGCACCACAAGAAAGAGCTGATCAAAGCTCTTGTCACCGTCCATTCTACGTCTGCGAAGTCGACCGACATTATTGAAGGAAAGGGAAATGCGTTGATCATCCTCCTCCACGGCGGGCCAGGGACAGGGAAAACCCTGACGGCCGAGTCTGTGGCCGAATTGACCAGGAAGCCTCTATACCGCGTCACATGCGGAGATATTGGGACAAATGCGGAGGAGGTGGAAAAGTATCTAGAGTCAGTTCTGCTGCTGGGCACCATTTGGGGCTGTGTCGTCCTCCTCGACGAAGCAGATGTCTTCCTCGAGGAACGCCGCGAGACCGATCTGCAGCGGAATGCCTTGGTTTCGGTCTTCTTGCGCGTGCTGGAGTATTACCATGGCATTCTCATCCTCACGTCAAACCGCATTGGAACGTTTGACAGCGCCTTCAAGTCGCGGTTCCAGCTGGCAATCCATTACCCGGCCCTGGATGTTAAAGGCTGGTATGAGATCTGGCTCAACTTCATCAATGGACTCAGCAAGACCCTTCCCGACGTCAACATCGACGGTCTGAAGGACAAGATTGACGATCTGTCGCAGATCCCCTTGAACGGCCGGCAGATTCGCAATACCGTGCAGACAGCCTTGCAGCTCGCCGACTTTCGCAAGGAAACGCTGGAATATCGCCATTTCGACCGGGTAATCAAAGTTGTCGAGGAGTTTGAGAAGCATCTCGACAGCACCCGGGGATATTCCGAATCGGATTGGCTGCACAACCAGGGAATCCGACCGGAGCCGTAGCGTTCGAGTACGGAGTAGATCGAGAATGGCTTTTAGTGTCAGCACTTATGCAGCTCCAAGCCCCCGCCACCCTGTACCCGTATCCGCTGGGCAGCTCTGCTCCGCCACACAGATCATCTCTAGTGACCATATCGGTCGTATTGGGCTATCTAGACAGTGATCACGCTTATCAGACCCTGGTCAGGCCATCTTGCTGATTAATCTCGTTGGGCTCCTCCCTTTTCCCGCTTCAGGCTTGATTCTACCTCCACCATACCTATGGTCCCCCAATCTTCCCAGTACCGCCGAGCGCTAATTCTTCACCATCGAATCACCTCGCGCAAAGCATCGGTCCTGATCCGTCGAGCTAGAATGGCTTCCTCAACCCGAACCAGGCCCACAATTGCGCGTAGCCCTTACTCATCTGACGACTCGCAAGAACACCGCGCAAGAGGCAAATCTAATGCCACAAGAAGGCGGGTGCATCGGGTACGGGCAGATTCCAGCCCTGACAGCACCGATCGCTCCAAGCCAGATAGAGAGATGATTCCATCCGAACCACGAATCTACCCCGGCGTGGTTTCAAGGCGTCGACGCCATCTCCGTACTGAGAGACACTCCTCTTCGGACGAGGATGACTCTCAAGGCAGACCGCGCGGGTTTAATTTCTCTGGTAAATAGGCCTCTGCCCCTAGCCTATCTCTACGTGTGTGATCTAACCCCCTGTGCATTTGCTAGACCCGGACAAGGTTTTACACGAGTTTGCACGCGCCACTGAAGGTCAGTGCCTGGCCCATTGACAAGGGATCGCAGTTTCTGGCACTGGCTGTGGATGGGTGTAGAGCTAATCACTCCATGTGGCAGAGTCTGTGGTGGGAGCCGCAACCAAGTTCCCCGTGTACCGCGGGCGGCGTCGAGCTCAAAGCCAATATAGTTCTGAAGGCAGTAAGTATCAAGCCCTCCTCCCGCACTCAGACGGACTGGACCAAGCAGCTGAATGCAGTCCAGCCCCTCTTTGATTCCAGTCTACTAATCATTGCCCCCTGCCAGATAGATCAAGGTCTACCACGCCTCTGCGGCCACCTCCGCATCCGAGTAGGCATACCCCTCTCACCCTCTGTCTACCACTTATATATCTATAAGCGTGACCCGTCCTAACCAGCCGTTTCATCAAAAGTGCAACTCCCGGCGACCTTTGTGCCGCCACCGCGAGATTACAGCAGTGATTACAGCAGTGATTCATCCGGAGTCCAGGTCTCGCCGCCTTCAGCCGTCTCGCCGCCTTCAGCCTATAGCGATCTGGATGAGAATGGTGTCCATGTTTCGCCGTACGAAGACGACGGTTATCATCCCCGTCGTGCAGCTGGGTTTCATACGCCGCAGGACCCATGTGAGTACCGTCGCCCCATTGCGACCCGGCCGTGTCGCTAACCTAATTAGCATTGAGAGAGGGAGACTCAACCTCGGCTGGTGAGAGCGAACCTGAGCATGAAGCACGCCGGCGGCCACGGAGGAGTCGCTCACGCCGGCGGCCACGGAGGAGTTACTCACGCCGGCCGCCACGGAGGAGTCGCTCTCGGTCCACCCGCAGTACGGCTTCGAGTATTGCGGTCAAGTCTACGATCTCTGAAGATCTGTCTCGGCATGATAGGGATCAGGGCGCTAAGTTGCGGTATTTGTCGCGGAAGCTGGAGCGGTCTGGGTTGGGGTTGAGGGGGGCGGCGTTGCGGTGATGTTATAGCAATGCCCGTGTGTTTAGTACGTACACTCGATACCTGCCTAGGTACCATACCTATGTACAGGTATGGTCTTCTTTAGACGGCGGAGTCTTTAACCATGCCGTTTTCAGATACAGAAGGGCCTCAATATATGTTAACGGCAGGATCCCATGTATACTGTCAGGGAGGATAGATCAAGGGCCCTCCTTCCTCCTTACCGGTACTCCGCACTTGCGATCCTTAACCGCCCCGCAACTGCCTGACACCCTAGGGCGTTAAGTGATGCTTCCCACTCGATAACAACGCCCGGTCTCTCGCCCGAGTGAGCGGCTGATAGGCCTAAGGAGTTATTTAAAGTCTGCTTATGACGTACCTCTGCACTAGCTCCTACCGTGATTGATCGAGCTAAGCCGCTGCTCCCTTTACCAGATTCAACATCACTATTGGGAGGACCTGGCCGACACTACAGGAAAGCTGCAGGAGAACCTCGAGGACTTGGCGCGGTTTATTATCCCAGGTGGCACTGCTTTTAGATATGCAAACCCTGTTTTTAATAACCATGGCAACTTGTTCATTATGATCTAGTATCAGTGACTTGGGCCTGGGTGTTTCCAGACATCCCTCCGTTGGACAATCGTCTCAATCCTCCTAAGCTCCTATTCGACTGTCTATAACTGCTGTGAAGTAAACTATATCTAGTATTTATAGGAAGCTATCTCTCCTTGCTACAATCACTAAGGAATCACGATCTCATTCACTGCCAACCTTGGAAATCTACAGTCTACTTGAGCGTGCAATACGTCTATCCACCCTTGCTACAGCTGGCCCAGATCATGGCAACGCTCGCCATCCCCTTCAAGATGCTGTTAGTCTAGTAGCACTATTCTGGAATGGATATCTACGTCGTTGTTGCAATCTGGAATCATTTGCAGGTAGTTGGCGAATTGTGATATGGCAGCCCCTAGAATCATCTTACGTATTTGTTGAAGCCAAAATACCCTAGGGTAGTTCCAGGGAAGGTAAGGAAGGTATGGTATGGTACATTGGCAACAAAAAGCCAGATCTAGGTATAACATGCCACGCAAGCCCTGCCACCAGAACACCATCCACCCAGACACAGTTAAAACCAACTTACGCCTCCTCAATAGCAGTGCTATCAACACCAAGCGTAACATACCCAATCATGCCCTTCGACACATCCTCCCCATCCACCGGCACCACACTGATAACCGGGTTGAACCCGCCATCCGTATCCTGGAAGTAGACGCTGTCGTCGGCGTTGGTGGTGCGGTTGATCTGCGTGTGCGAGGCATACGGCTCCAGCGCCATGATCTGCGCCTCCAATTCCTCGGCGAAGTACAGCTGCCCCGTGCTGACGGTGTCGCCGGTGACGATTGTGCCGTTGGCGCGGGCCGTCCAGTTGGTGTGGACCTGCACGTGGATGTGGATTGCGCGTTCGACGTAGAAGCCTGTCTCTTAGTAAATGCTCGTCAGGAAATAACCTTAGGGAGGTGTACCAGGGAAAATCGTCTTCATCTCCATCATGCCGTTCCGATCGGTCGGCCACATCCCGCGCAGGAAGGTGCTGTGGTCGGTGTGCAGGTCCGTGACCCCAATCTCGTAGTCGTCCATGTCGACGTCCAGCTCCTCCAGCAGCGTCGGGAAAGGCGTGTTGGGCGACAGGCCCGTGAAGCTCGAGTACGAGCCCGTCGCGTTGCAGTGCCACATGTCGACGAGGGCGTTGGCCAGCGGCGCGCAGGTGGCCATGTCCAGCACCCCGATGTCCAGCCACAGCGGCACTCCGGGCTGGTCCTCGGCCATGTCCTGGCGGAGCGTCTGCGAGGGGGGATACACGTAGGGGCCCTGCGTGACCTCCGGTGTCAGGACGCAGGTGTCGTTCTGGATGGTGGGGTAGTACGGCGCTTCGGTTTGGATGGTGTACTGCGCTGTCTTGTCGTGCCAGCGGCGGGCTAGGTTGCGGTCCCAGCGGCGGGCGTGGTAGTTTGCGACGTGGTCGCGGCACTTGAGGGCCATCTCGGAGCGGCGGGCGACTTCGCGGGCGCTGATGTGGTGGCCGGGGTGGGCCAGGACTGAGGCCCCCAGGGCGGAGAGGAGGAGGGCAGAGGGAAGATGCATGTTGGCCGGTTGATGACTTGGAAAGAATAAAGCCATCATGAGGCAGAAGGACATGGTTTATATAGCCCTGCGAGAGGATCAGCGTCATGGCCCACATGTGCCTCCGTGATGCGCAATCCCCGGAATTAGGGCCAGGCACCCGGAATTCCAGGGACAAATGGCAACGCTGCAATTTGCAACAATGGGCCCGTTCGGATTCGACGATTGCCTCGTTTCCGAGATGAAGTATAGATCTGCACCGCAAGCCAGTCAGGAACCTGGGGGTCCATGAGGCCCGCCTAACATATCCTCAACCAAACCACCAGGCCCATAGACGAATGTCTCGAATTCGATGCTCTTGCAGATCCACTTCCAAGGATCAAGACGTGGCTGTTCCACTGCTGCCGTGTTATTGGATTGCATAGCTTGGCCAGCCGTAGCAAAGAGTGAAGAGATATCGCATCTCCCAAGTGGGCTGTAGAGTCGGCTTTGACCGTGCGTGTGATTCCCTGGTAGATGGAACAACGAGAGAGAAGGTTGGCTGCACGGGCTGCAGACGACAGGATGGATATCAGGGCTCAGTCTGGGACATTCACATGGTAGTCTTTCCCGGTTGTTGTCGGGGCAGAGAATGGGCATCGTTGAGCCTGCCGGAGAGGTCAAAACCACAATAACGCTGTTCTCAACCGGAACATGCCACAACAGTTGGAGCATGATGATATCATGCGATGTATCTTGAAATCTATCACCAAGTCGAACTACTCGACCGAAGCCGTGTCGCTTCTCTTCCACAACGTCAGCACCAACTCGGGATATCTTGCGTCTGGGTTGGATGCAATCCAGCGGCAGGTTAAGCAGGGTCAACATCCATTGCAGGGGTGCGGTCGGGAAAGTATCAAAGGTGAAGAGGTCGGACAGGCCTGTAGTAGAGCGTCCGGTGGCATTGTGAGAGATCGCTTTTCTACCTACCTACCCACGAAGCCGACAAGGCGAGAGTCGTGTGGACGGAGGCCTGGAGGCTAAATAACCTCCAGCTTCAAGCCTGTCTATCCTATTAATCCCAGATACCAGGAGCAGCCCAGACGCTCAGGCTGCGCAAAAGAGCACATATGCTATTTATGTGTATATCACATAGAGTCCGATAACCTCCCCTTAGCCCCATCGACTTCCCTCCTCTTCCCTCTGGCTCCTCCACTAAATACCAGACACCCGGCCGTTGGCCACGCCATAGCCCAAACTCCCTCGCAAGGCACTACTGCCTATCTTCGGACAAATCTCGCCTCAATGTCCTGTATGATCATTGCGCCCCGGGGGCCCGCTGGCTCCTCCCCATTGAAGCTCATTCCAACCATCATAGCCAGACGCTTGGTGTATAGAAAGACATTCTTCTAGACTGGCTAGATTACTCTCTTCTTCCTCGGGTACGGGGAGGCTCAAGATAGTTTGTTCTTCACGCCCCATGTAAGCGGCAAGAACGGCGCTAGACTGACAACGTCCGAGAGGGGATGGCCGAGCGTCGCCATTTCCCAGTCCAGAACGCCAATGACGCGTGGTTCTATCTTGTCAAGATATGTTATCGATTTTGTAGTCGCCGTGGACAATTGTCGTTCTGTCATCCGGTTGGTTGGAGGGGTCTGCGAATAACGAGACCATTTCTTCGAGGTGAGGTAAGGGACCAATGGGAAGGCCCGTTTCGACGTCCGTTGTTGCTGCCTCGGTCGGCTTCACGAGATGAAGCTCTTGAGTTGCATGCGTAGAAGGCCGAGTGTTTGCCTAGACCACCTAGCCCTAGGGCTTTGTGCGGGAGGTGTGGAGGGTTGAGGGTTGAGGGCTTGGGTTGCGGAGCGCCACCTGCCAGTGCCACTGGTCATTGATCCAAATACCCCGGTATGCAACAGGGGTGCGAGCACATCTCTCTCTCAGCCGCCGAGCCCGGCATTCTCAGCCGTAAAGAAGCTCATCCAAGAACCCCATGATATATAAGGCCGTCCCGATGACATTTCCATCTGTGCAGATAGTATACACCTTTGGCACAGGGACATTCATGTCTCAGGACATGAAGAGTGCGGTACATGCTCGACCTGGTGCGCTGTGTAGAGAAGCGTGGCGGGTGGCATCTCCAAGACATAGCGGTGACCCTCGCCGTGTTGACGGGGGTAACGGGTAAGGAGGTACGTTGGATTCAATTGGCCACAGCCAAACTATATTCTTGAGCGAGGAACAAAGAGGAAGATGGGTGGGTGACGTACCTGCTTACTTCTATTGGCGTTGATACTCCGGAAGATTGTTGCGGACGGAGGTCTCGACTCTCCAGTGAGGGATGCTGATGGTGGCCCACCTGCACTGGATTGGGCCTGCCATGAATGATCCTTGACGGCAGAGCAAACTTTAAGTAGAGTTCAATGGCTCAATGGGTGAAGGTGGCTTCCATAGGGGGCAATCTTAAACGAGTTCCGCTTAGTACAGCACCCTCCTCGTGGCTCCCTCGGTTAGCGACAGCTGTTAGATGTATTGGCGATCAAGACACTAGGCGAGATGCGGCTTTTTCTTTATTACCGTTCATATATAGGTCCCGTATAGTCTGTCTTGTGCAACGTAGACAAATGTCTGGGTCAAAGCGAGGGACGGTCGATAGAGCAACAACCTCTGGAATTGGTAGTACATGGCTGATTCCAAATAGCTTTTCCCTGCTTTCCACTTGTTCGCGATCTCCATTTCCGAGTGAGGTCTGTTTCGCACCTGGGATGACATGGGGTACGTCCTTGGAAGGGATCCGCGGAGTACCCAGTCTGTCTATAGATGATTACTCTTTGGGTGCAGCTCGTCCATGTGCTGTCTCAAATCAAGGTAACGATGCTCTCATGTTGTACAACCAGTCTTCCCCAAATTCGTTTGCGCACCAACCAGCCACATCCCCCTCTACGCGGCTATTCTCTTGGAATATCTGGTCGGGAGAAGGACCCTGCGACTGCTCGTCGTCGCCATGGCCGCTTGCACAGGTATTGCGAGCAGGCAGTCTGCCAGGTGCCATGACCAGAGAAGCCTGGTTGGATGATTGTTGGGCGGGCGGTGGCTGGTCTGAGGATGGCGCCTGCGGCTGGCCGAACCTGCTGTCCATCTCGGCCAGGAACGGGAAGACTTTGGACAGCGTGTGCGCTGCTTGAAGAGAGATCTCGAGATTCCGCTGGCCGATTTGGTGGATCTCCGGGTCTGTGGACTTGCTGTCCTGCAGGTGGATGAAGGCGGCCAGGAAGAAGTAAGCAACGTGAGGGAGAAATAGATTCGTGCTATAAGTCAAGAGCTCGGCCAAGGTCTTTGTGATTTGGGTTGCTGCATGCCGCAGAGCAGGCTGGTTACGGCGATCAGCCAGGTATTCCCTCCCCTTCTGCTCCAGATCGTCCAGCCGGAGGTCTCCCAGGTAAACAAGCATGGTGGCCGCCCAGTAGACGGTCTCGCACATCCACATGGCCCAGGCCACCCCGGGCTGGCTGGCTCCAAACCCATTTTGCATGAGGTACTCGCATCGCAGCTCCTCGGGAACATCGTCATGCCAGGAGCCCAGTAATAACGCCATGTGCTGTCGCAAAACGGGCATCACCGTGACTTGTTTGGGATCCCAGGGCTTGACATCTTCGTATAGGCTGCGCATAACCCGGTATATCCGCAAGGTGAGTTTGGCCCGGAGGATATAGGTCCGAGCCAGCCTGGCCGCGAGTCCTTCGCTATCCTCTGCCAGTCCAAAGTCACTCATCGAGAGCATCGGTGTACCATGTGGCCACACCCGAGGGGGTTGGTCTTTCAGCATACACATATCACATTCTCGTACGAGTATCGACCACCAGAGGATCCGTTCAACGTTGAATTCCCGGTTTGTAAAGGCGCTCTGCTCGGCTCTGTAGAGCCTGAGGGCGTGGGCTTGCGCGATTGCAACGCCGCTCCAGTAGCCCGCGTCCTTTGGCCCTTGTTGATAGGGATGGTTGACGATCAAGATTGAAGCCTGGCAAATGACCAGTCGATCCTTTTCGACGTCCAGGTCAATCAGCGTCTAGCACGTATTAGCAAATATGTTTCTTGCCTGTCAAAGCACCCACCTTGGCTTTTTGATAGTAAGAATCCAGTATGTCCGGCTTGGTGGTGGCGCCAGGCAGTTGCAGTAGGATGTCGGTCTCGGTGGCGGCCAGCCCCATGAACATCACGGCATGGTAGAGAAGAAGCGGCACTTTTTTCGCTGAGCCGTTCCCAAATACCGCCTCTCGGAACTCATTAATGTCCAAGACAGGAAGCAGTGGATGCACAACGTCTCCAAAGCGGTCGAGAGCTATTCGCTGAAGTTGGGGTGGTGGAAGTTCAAAGACACCCAGCCGCACTAGAATCTCCAGCTCCTCCTGCCCTTCCACTTCGAACGACTTGATAAATCCCGGAAGGCCGTTCTCGCCGTGGGCGAAGATGTTCGGTTGACGGGGCTGTTTTCTAGAGTTGAACCTTTGGAGGGCGGTTTCGTTGCTGCCGGGGACACCGGCCAGCAGGATGTAGAGATGATTGTCGAGTAGTTGACCAGGCGGCTTCACAGCTCCGTCCAGAACCGTCAATTGTCCCGAGTCGGTCAAGCACATTTGATTTTCGTAAGGGGATGGCTTTCCTTTGTTCTGGGATCGCCGGCGGCGTCTGGTGCTGGGAATGGTGCATTCGGCTCCGTCCAGCAAGCAGTTGGTGCAGGGACCTGCTCTAAACGAGACATCACACCTGACCTTCCGAGTCCTGCATAAGAGACATGCTTGCGCAGCTCTGCGTGGTGTTGGTTTCGAATGGACGATCTCCCTGGCTGGCTGTCGCGGCGATTGATCTGGCAACGTCGGCAAGGACCGATACATGGTGCAGGGGTGTGGACGTCATAGATCGTAGGGTGACCAAAGGCCGACTGGCGGTCAATGGCGAAGTCGATGGAGGATGAGGAGGGGAAGAGGAGGAGGGGATGACGGTGAGGGCCTCATCACGTGGCAGAGGCACAATGACGAGGCACAACGACCCGGCACAGTGGAATCCAATCAGACACTCTGGATCAGCTTTGACGCTGATGGATCATCCCTGGACTGGCTTTGAGCCTTTGAGAGCCCCTGGTTCATGTCGGGCACCAAAACGAGGCGTTTCTGGAATGCCCGTGGAAGGTGCCAGTGACAGGTGAGATGGATAGATCGAGACTAATAAGTAGGCCAGGCAATGAGAGTGACACAGGTGCGATGATAGATCAAGAAGAGCGGCTTTCGGGTGTGTCCATTGTGATGGAGAATGTGACGAGATGTGATGTGATGGATAATGAACTTGTTTCTGTCGTCGCAGTCTAGGCTCTGGGTTATCGCTCTGCCAATGATTGATCGAACGAGAGCGACTCCAACTGGAATTAAGTTTGGATCCTTGATCCTTCCGATCACAGCCAGTGCGTACTTTTGGCCATGTCTTTGACCCCCTCACCCCGGGATCTCCCTACGCCCACGGAGCCTGTCCTTCTCTATGGAAACCTCTTCCTGCACTCTATTTCTTCTGTTTGACTTTCAGATGCATCATGAGCAACGCCCCCAGCCACTGGAATGCCACCCGCCTGCCCGTTCGTATACGTCGCTCCCCTATTGCATGCATAACATGCCGCGCCCGCAAGATCCGCTGCGATGTGTCCGTCAATGGATCGCCCTGTACCAACTGCCAACTGGATGGGAGACAGTGTATCGTCGTCAACTCGAGGCGAGTCCGAAAGACAAGGCATCAGCCACGTCCTCCAGAGTCTGCGCCAGTCCGAGATGCTCTACAACCAACCAGCCTTTCTCTTGACGCTCCTGGTTCATTCATCGAGTATCCAGCCGGCGTCCAGGAATACCTGGGTCGGAGTATCTACCCTCGGGCTTTGTCGGCGGAGATGGGCTGGCTCCCTTCGTATGAAGTCGAATATCTCTCCAGCCAGGGCGCCTTGACCCTTCCAAGAAAGGCCATCATTCAGACCCTACTCCATTACTTTTTTATCCGCATCTATCCTCGTTTCCCGGTCGTCAAGGAGAGCGAGTTCCGTGAAAGCACCCTCAGTCAGAAGCCCTTCTCGTTGTTAGTCTTCCGCGCAATGCTCTTTGCTGCAGCCGCCGTATATCGCCCATGCCTCTCCCTCTGGATTTGACGCTGATTCGAGCTTTTAGCACGTCCCAATCGAGTGTACCCAAGACAACGGATACACCTCTGTCGCGCACCTAATGTTTTCACTGTACAAACCGGCCAAGGTTGGTGTTTTCGTCCAACGACTCAGGTTGGCCGTGTTGGCTGACTTGCCGCGGTTTTGTGGATTTGCAGGCGTTGTACGATTCTGGCGTGGAGAAAGACCCTTTTCACCTCGCGCAGGCTGCGCTCCTGCTGGCCTACCGTCTCAATAATGCAGAGCCCATGGGCAACACGACATGGCTGGCGGTCGCGGTGCACAATGCCCGGCGAGCCAATGCACATCGCAGTCAAATGTTGGTACATGATGTTGTCAGAAGGCACCGTTTATCCGATCTCAAACGTCTATGGTGGTGTTGCATCATGCAAGATCGAATTGTTTCTCTCGCATGCCATCGGCCACTCAATATCACCCTTGACCAATTCGATCCCGCAAAAGCCGACTATTTGACCTTCGAGGACTTTTGGGACGATGACTCCGAGTACTTTGATACTGCCATGAGGGGTGTTCTTTACCAATTGTGCATCAGCCACTGCCGTTTCGTGACTTTGTTGTCGCCTCGGGTCATGTTGACAGACGAGACGCCTGACCTATTGGGCGCCAACGTCTGTGTTGAAAGTGCATTGAATCACGTCTTGGAAGCATATTATATGCTCTCCACTCTGGCGGAGGAGCATGAGGCTCTGCGAGAGAACAAGGAGGCCGCTGAGAACCTGACCGTGGCGGTCCATATCCATCTCACCTCAATGTTGTACATGTATGTGCGACCCGCAAGCAGCATCTGAGACAATGAGCTGACCTGGATTCTTCTCACTTAGAGCAGCTCGGTTGTCTTTATGCCATCGCTATGCTGTGCTGTACCTTTCTCGCTGTCGATGCGTTCGCAGAGCCCCTGAAGCGATGGTCCATGCTAGATACCTGCAGCGCATCGTCGAACTCGTTGCAGCCACCAACGAGGAAATGACCTGGTTTGCCACAAACCACCTCGTCTACTTCCTGCCCAGCGTGACCCGGTGCTTCATCCTCTTCCCACAACTCTTCAATGTCCTTTGGTTCCACGGACACGAACTCGATCGAGACTTCGCCCAGCCCGCGGACATTCTTCGCCACTACATTGAATATGACAAAAGCTATAGTACACGCTTTGGAGTCCCCCAAGCATGGCCTGTCGTCGAGCGCGTGCCGGCGATCGCAGTCTCAGTCCTCGCCGCCTCCGCTGGTGCATCGGGCGGAGAGCATCGAAACGGCTTCGCCAACGCCAGCCACCTCGACACGGTCAAGTTGGCCGCTCTAATTCCAGCCGAGAGGCTGCGTCTAGCAAAGACCTGCCTTCTCCTCTCTGTGGCTCTGGACTATTCATTCGCTGTTGGAGAATTCCAACTGATGAAACCCGGCGCGTTGGTCGCAATCTCCCGGCGTCTGGGTACGCGGCGTGAACCCCGAGATTGCTCGGCGTCAGCTGTGCCATCTTTGTCGCCGCCGTCATTCGAAGATTTGATTCGGGCTCGTTACGGCTCGGAGACCCCGCAAAGCACCGAAGGCGCCGAGATAACACCCAGTCCGTCGGAGGAACAGCAGTGCGCGCATCGGGGTTTCATGCCTCGACTATCACTGCCCGACGCTCCAACTCCCTCTAGGAGTGTAGCATCTGCTAAAGAGGACAGTGATCTTAGTTCGTTGGAACGGTTCGCTGCCGCTACCGAAGCGACGCAGCCCTCGATGCAGGAATGGGCGTGCGAGTTGGAAGAGTTGATGCGGCCATTGTTCAGCATGTAGTACTCTTTTTCCCTATCCATTTTCTTTGCATATAACGGGAGTGGATCTGTGGCTTTTAGACGCCTTTCAGCTAGGTGGGCGGTAATCTTGTCGTTTCATCTCGGTCGGGTTGGCTGTTTTTGTTTGCACTATATCCTCGCTTAGAGGGCTTTGTTTACTTCCGCATCCACCAGTGACTTGCATCGCTGGTTTATAGCTAGACGCTGAGTTAGCTTGGCACAGTATCTTTGAATGACATTGGAACAGGGAGCATACGGTACCCTTCCTTCACCTTGACCCGCACGCCTTTGATCCACAACCCGTTCCCAAGTAGTCCCAATTCAGTATAACCATCTATGAATCGGCGGTGTACTCGAGAAACAATGAAGTCAATTGGTATTGGTAAGTGTATTCAAGATATGATATAAGGGAAACAGGCCTGGACAACACCACAAAACCTTCGACTCCAGAAAAGAGCAGGCAAAACACCATATTCTCCCCGAGAACGCAAGCAATACCAGCCTGATCTACCGGAACAACCTGCCCACCAAACCCCCCGCAAGATTCGACACAATCGCGCCCCCAAACGCACTATTCGCATACGTCGACGCCTGGCTAAAGCGATCGCAGCGCGAGAACGCCGTCGTATTCGTAATCGTAAGGACGAGCGCAATCGCTACAGACACACGCATTAGCCATCTCCATCCCCCACAAATGCATCAAGAAAAGAGGAGAGGGTATGCATACCAATCAAACTCAACCAAATCACACTATTCAACCTGACAATCGCCAGAATCCCCAGTCCAATCCACAGCGCCGGCGCAACATACAGACTAAGCCAGAAGAAGCGCTTGTCCGTGGCGGTGACAGTCCGGCTCCCGGGCTCCGCGCTCTCAAAGACCCAGTGCGAGTCGCCGGAGGTGGCGTTGACTTCGTTCCACCAGCGCAGGCCGACGAGGCGGCGGCCGGCGATGTTCTTGAGGTAGTAGAAGTCTGCGGAGAGGAGGAGGAGGGTGAGGATGAAGACGAGGATGCTGGGCGTTCTTGTTAGTGTGGGATCTTGTTGGAGAGGGGAAGGAAAAAGGGAGACGCACAAGTTATCGATGAAGAGCACGCCGAAGAGATACATGAGCAGTGCGCCCAGCCGGATGCCTAGGAAGGTGAGGAGGGTGATGGGGTGGGCGGAGAGGCGCCAGTTTAGGTCGCCTTGTTGGGGGGTTGGGTTGGTTGGGTTGGGGGTTGGGTTTAGGGGTTGTTGCTCCATTGTTGTGAGCGGCCTGGGCTGCAGGTCGGCAGTGATTTTGAGGTAATGCGGTTGTTGCAAGGTCAACTTGCGCCCTTGGTGTCGGGTTGGGTGTTGCTTGAGACGATGCGTTGCGTGTCTTTACGGTAGAGGGCGGTCGGCGGTGGCAGAATAGCAGTGCCGCGTCATGGTGTGGGCGCGCTGGTGTGAACTGAAACAGAGCATGTCGGAAGTGCTTCTTCAATTGCTAGGGCTAGACGAAGTCTTGCCCCGTTATGGGCGCGGACTCTACATCTTACAGTTGGGGTGGTGAGCAGTTGAGGCAGCGTCGATAACCTCGCATGCATGAACGGTCGAGCCCGGAGAAGGCTTTATGCTCTGTCTCCGCTCATCGCCGAGGATATACCTCCAACTCTCCTCCATCATCCATTGATCTCTCAATCCTCGCCCAACGCACTGTAGATCAAAGTGGAGGGATAAATATTTACTGAGATAATCCGTCAGTGAATACAATGGCAGCACGAAACACCCTCCGCCGCGCCCTCCTCTACAGTACGTCGCGTCACATCCAGCTCTCCCCGCATCCCCAAAAACCGGGGAAGATGCAGCACAACTAACCACTCCCAGTCCCCGGCTCGTCCCAACGCTTCATCGACAAGTCCCGCTCCCTAACAGCCGACTGCGTCGCCTACGACCTCGAAGACAGCGTCACCCCGCACAAGAAAGCCGACGCGCGGACCCTCGTGCGGAGAGCCCTCGATGAGCCCGCACCACCGGGCATCCGCGAGCGCGCCGTGCGCATCAACTCAGTCGACAGCGGTCTCGCGCTGGCTGATCTAACGGAAGTCGTGCGTCCCTCCTAAATACACACACATCCCATCCCCTAGCCATATCCATCCGACCTAACAAATGCACCTGCAGCTCCAATCCCCAAACCTCAGCACAATCGTCCTCCCCAAAGTCAACACCCCCGCAGACCTAACCTTCGTCGCCGACGTAATCAGCCATACATACGCGCAGCGCACAGCACAGGGTCTCCCGCTCCCAAGAACCCCACTGTCTCTCCTCGCCCTCATCGAGTCCGCCAAATCCCTCACAAACCTATCATCCATAACATCCGCAACGCCCCTCCTGCAAGGCCTCATCTTCGCAGCCGAGGACTTCGCCCTCGACCTCTCCCTAACGCGCACCCCGAGTCTAACGGAATTCCTCTTCGCGCGCTCCGCAATCGTCACCGCCGCGCGGGCCGCAAATCTCCCATCGACAATTGACCTCGTGTGCACGGCCTACAAGTCCAGCACTAACGACGGAAAGCCCCCCGCAGTGCTGGAAGAAGAATGCCGCGGCGGCCGCGGGCTCGGGTTCAACGGGAAGCAGTGCATCCATCCGTCGCAGGTTGAGACCGTGCAGCGGATTTACGGGCCTGATGAGGCGGAGGTAACGTGGGCCGTTCGGGTTGTTATCGCGGATGAGAAGGCGGCCAGGCAAGGAAGGGGCGCGTGGACGCTCGATGGGAAGATGGTTGATGTGCCGGTTGCGGAGAAGGCGAGGGGGGTTGTGAGGAGGGCGGAGGAGTGTGGGGTTGATGTTGGGGCTTTGAGGGGGAGGTGGAGGGGGCAGGAGCCTGAGTAGATTATCACTTAACGGCATTTCGTGTGGGCCTGCGCTGGATGCTATACGGTTTTGTTGCTTTGTGGGCGTGCATAGAAACCTCTATGCTGAGATATACTGTACGTAGTCAAGCACTACAAACAACGAACATCTACATCATACGATATATAATATATTCTTATTCTGTCACTGTTGCGCTTCTATATCTCCCCGCTTCAGGAGCTGGATCTTGCCCATCGTCAAAACAGGACCCGCATCCTCCCCATTCGCCTCCGCCTCCTCAAGGCTCTTCGCCAGAGCCTTATCATAGCTCGATGGGTCAATGCCCAAGATCCCACCAACATACCCGCCTCGCTCACCAGGCACGCTGAACTCCCGGAACAGGTATTTCCACTCGTTGAGCCATGCCTTGACTGCCTTTCCGATCTTGTCCTTGCCGTTCTTGGAGTGGTGGCCTGTGCCGGTGATGGCGTAGATGATCCGGCGGCCTTCGCGCGCGTGTTTGAGGAGGATCTTCTCGAGGTACTCGATTGCTTCTTCAGGGTGGAGGCCGTGGAGGTCGACGTAGAGTTCTTCGGATGCGTCGTCGAGGCCGGCGTTTAGGAGGTGTTTGTTGCGCTCTTCGTAGAGCTGCCGGGCGGCTTCGCGGTGGCATTTGCGCATGGCCTCGTTTTCGGCCTGGCCGCGTAGAGATAGAGCTTTTGCCGCTCTGGCGTCGTTTCGGTTCCACGCTTGAGCGGCACTGATCTGGTCAGTAGGAGTCTAGATCGCAAGTCAAGAACGCATACCTTTGGAGAAACTTGTTTCTCACGGTACCGTGGCGGATCGCCTCTGTTCGGTACTTGATATACTGCTGGTTTGTTCGAGCGCCGGTCTCGAGCCACGGGATGTGCTGTGGCGCCGGTATCGACTGCGCTGCGGCGCTATTCTCACGGCCCTTTGTTTGGCCGTGCTTGGAAGAGGTCTTGCCCTTCCCTGGAACAGGGGATGGAGACATGCGAACTACATCTGCCAGAGAAGCAGGCACGTTGTCTCTAGTGTTGTCGCGGCTCTTTCTTCCGTGATTTTTCTTGCCGGAGTTCTTCGAATTCACGGCAGCAAGCGTTGGGAAAGCATCTGGGTCGTCCACCGACAGAGCTGCCGGGTTAAGTTCTCGATGCTGATGTCGGCTTCCAGGACGCGAGTGGGGGCGTGATAGACTTGTGAAACTTCCAGTCCGTTTTCCTGCCAGATACGATTTATTGTTGCCTCCCGGGGCGCCATATAGATAGCCTGGGTATTTCCCGCCTAGATGGCCGGCCCACTGATCGGATGATCCGGGCGTCGACTGCAAGGGTGGGAAGGCATCCGGCGCATTATCTACCTGGAAAGCGATGCCGGCGGACGTGACCGACGGGGTGCCCTCAACGCTCAGGTTGGCCACAAGTGCAGAGGGGTCATGAGAAAATGGGCATCCGTCGCCTGCAAGGCAGTTCCCCATTACCCAATATCTAGAGTCGCATTGTTAGCCACTGTATTCCGAAGTTTTCTACTTCTACAAACTTACTTGCAAAGATGACTGGTCAGGTCGTGGCTGAAACGACAATCCGCGCGGAGGCATTGGCCCGTTGACAGCCAGTACTTGCAGACAACCGGACTGCGGTTGTGCACTGGAGTAGCATTGCCTTTGTGGGGGTCCATTGACATGGACTTTCCGACCACAACGCGACTATCGTCCGGTAAACTTGAGGCGGCATCTGTATCTAGTCCTTGGGTAAGAGCCGCAATAGTTGCCCCTAAGTCATACCCATTCGCTTCTAGAGCAGTTTCTATTTCATCGTTGGATCGCTTGTCTCCGAGTACAGTGCGCAGTATATCATGGGGGCTCATATCAGGAACGAATTCTGCAGCCGTTGCGCTGAGACCGCCGTGCATGCTCAGGCCACCCAGCGAGGAGGTTGTGCTCATCGCATCGTCCGCCACTAACCAGTCCACATTACTATCGCTGCCAAAATCACCGTAGAAGTCCGACACATGGCTTTGGTCCGAGAATTCATATGCGTTTAGATTCGGAGAATGCGGTATAGGTTGCGCTAAAGCTAGCCTTGGCGACGGGCGAGGCGAGGTGAATGGCGATACAGTGGAGGATAGAGGCGGGCGTGCACCTTTGGAGCTTTGCAGCCACGAGGTACTCCCAGGACTGGTTCCTAGGTTCGAATGGGGTGACAGGGGAGTAGAGGAGCGGGCCATCTGCCAAGGGGCCGGAGAGGAGCGTCGGATAACCGTGTGACGCGGCGGTGGCGGGGAGGAATCCGGTAATGTGCGATTTCGATGCCGCCAGAGGATGTCGAGGACGGCATTTTCGAGTGATGTGCCTGATAGGGAGGTCTTTTCCCGGAGAAAGTCCTCAATCTTCTCAACCTGGTCTTCTTCATCAAGAGCCTTATCCTGGAGGATCTGGAGACAGTCCTCCAGGAGCTCCTCTGAGACCATGTCGGGTTCTTGGAGAGGTGGAAACGTCGATAAAGCCGAGAGGAGGGGGGGAAGGAGCAGCGCGGGAATAGCAGGGTGTCGGGGAAGTCAGCGAGATGTGGGGTAAGGAGGATAAAGAGTCCGCAAGGTAGTTGAGCTGCGAGAGAGGGCAAGAGATATTTCAAATGCCAGAGTCCATGGTCCTCATGCCAGGTCGAGTTCCACGAGATATATAGACTAGCTGGAGGTCCAGGGGAGATGCTTTGTCAAGGTGGCCGGATTGTTATGCGACAGGAGACAGATTGCGGTCACATCGCATCGGGTCAAAACGAGCGACCAGTAGAAACGAGCATCGATAAGCTAGAGATTGCAGGACATGAAGCAAGGAGAGCAGCACAGAACAATCAGACAACCAGAAAGCAAGCGTTGGAGAGATGGAGGAGAAGAGAAGACCAGGAGCGGGAGGGGATAGGAATGGGATGGGATGGGATGAGAAGTCAGGACTCCATCGATAGGCTGAGACCCGCCCAACAGTCAGAATGCAGCTGAATGGCACCGCACTAGTAAAATAGCAGACAGCTCTGGACCGCCAACCGGCGACCGTTATAAAAACGATATCAAGCCTTTCAGTCCCTGATTCTTTGTCAATGTCCACTCGTAGTTCTTTATTTACTTGCGCCTGGAACCTCAGGCCACCTTGCTATCCGTTCCTTGGCGCAAGCTCCAGTCGATCTGCCGCTGCCTCCATCGTGGTGGCCAAGGCATACGGAGTACTCGGAGTCGAAGTGCTCTGGAGGAGACGGGGTCCTTGGACAGCCTATCTCAGTTATAACCAAGGATGTTACACACTAAAGAGCGTCCGAGTACAAAGTATCTGTTACCGAGAGTCATGTTGCTGCGAATGCGTAAAATACCGTAATACCATCTATACTACGCCGAGCGGGCCCATCCTCGGGCGTACGGTAATACCAACGGGGCCTCGATCCTCAGTCATCGGTGACGAACTGGCCATGGATGCTCCGCCCTGTCTCATTATTTGGAAGACTGCGACAACCGCTCGAGCTTCTTCCTCCAGATTTATTTGGACAATTTCTCTCTCTCCTTCCTCTGCTCTCCGTGTAACCCGCTCGAACATCTGGTTGTTATCCTCCGCGCCCAGAACCCAAAACTAGGCAGCCAGCCTGAATCTCATTCTCAGCTGATACCACCTATCATCAATCAAGTCCTCAATCCACTCATGTTCCTCCTCGCGCCGAGGGTCACAGTACGCCCTCTTTGATTGACGACTCTCATCTCGTCATCACTTGCTCCCGCCCTCTCACGACCGATTGACACGCCCCCGGTCAGTCAAGACCAGTGCCACCCAGTGACGCAGTCGGCCTTTATCGCCGACCCGCCCGCAGATCTCCAAGCTCCAGGCCAGACGCTATATTGCTCACAATCTCCCATCATGCCCGCAGACTACACCTCTACCGCGCGGGCTCTTTCTGTTTCAACTACTTCGTCTCGAACACCATCTCCGGCGAACGGCGCTCGCCCATTATGGAGCCAACCTGAGGCTGACACTCGGAACAATAACGGCTTCGCTGCCCGGAGGTCGCCTCCCGCGCCTAAACAGGGAATCATGGCCCGGATAAATGTATTAAACGAGCGCGTATTAGCAGCATGGCGAAAGATGACTTTCTGGCAGAAAGTCGGCAGCGTTCTGGCTGTGATCGGTCTCAATGTCCTGGGCTTCGGCTTCCTGTATATCACCGGGAGGGTATTCCAATGGCTCGGACCCGTTGCTGAGAAATGGGAGCACTCGGTGACGGTCTTCATCTTGATGTGGCTGGGAGTATTCTTTGTCTCCTTTCCCCCATTGGTCGGGTGGTCGACGTTCGGCACAGTTTCTGGCTATATATTTGGCGTATGGAAAGGGTACGTCGAGCTTGCTTCATCAACCGTCATCGGCTAACTTATGGCGGCGATAGATGGCTCCTCTATGCATCGGCTACGGTGCTAGGCTCCATGTGCTCCTTCGTCGCTTCGCGAACAGTCCTCTCCAAATTTGTGCATCGACTCGTCGAGCGCGACAAGCGATTCGCAGCCCTTGCGCTGACATTGAAGTATGACGGCCTTAAGCTGCTTTGCATGATTCGTCTTTGCCCATTGCCCTACTCCATATGTAATGGCGCGATCTCTACTTTCCCCACGGTGCAGCCACTGATGTATGGCCTTGCCACCGCAATCATCTCGCCAAAACTGCTCGTTCCTGCCTTTATCGGCAGTAGGCTGCGCATACTATACGAGAAGGGAGAAGAGATGAGCCTAGGCTCAAAGCTCGTAAATATTTCCAGTATTGTCGTTTCCGTGGCTGTTGGGATCTTTACCGGGTGGTATATCTATAGAAGGTAAGAAGCATCACCCGCATGTCTGTCGATCAGTGCTTACCGACCGTATCAGAACTCTGGCCCGTGCCAAAGAATTAGAAGAAAGAGAAAGAGACGACATCCGACATTCGCTCGAGGCTGACCACGCCGCTCACCGTCCTCACCGCTCGTTCTCGGATGACCCTGCTGTCAACGCCGCAGCGACAACACTCGCGCGAGACGAGGAAGAACGGATCGGGTTCAATGACTTTGATGATGACAATGTTGACCTGGTCATCGACGATGATGACCTCTCCAATCGGCGGTCAAAGTCACCATATCGGGATGAGTTTACAGACAACGAGTCGGACGTATTTCGAGACGGAGATGGGCCTGACAGCGATACATACACGCTGCACACGCATGTGCGACGGGGCTAGGTCTTGATCCATACTGCCTGGTGCAGCTGTTCGATTTTGCGGAGTATCTATGTCGATATAGTCTTGGTCACGTGTCACGTCTTGTAAAGCCGTTTAGTAGTATGATGATAAACATAGACAGATTTGGTAATTTTCTGTGCCATAAATATCTGAATTCAGCAAAACATAAGTCTTGAAAATTAGATATCAAGATCGAGGATGTAAAGATCGAAAGCGAGTGGTGGGGATTGCCACATCGGGCGAGGAACGCCAAGAGCCTCTCCTGCCTGTCGAGAGGGCGACTGCGAGACTCAATATTGACTCGCTCTCCCCATCCATCGTCCTTCAGGGACAAGCTGGCCTGGTCAAGCCACTCAAGTACTTTGTCATTCCTTCGGCTCTGATCTGCTTTCACCAGTCTTAAATTATATCGGAGATACGTCCTGTCGCTTCCGCCTCGAGTGGTGCAAATTGCAAGGGTGGCTCTGCGCTGCGAACCCACTACGCTACCTGTAAGTCCAGCCCTGCCCTCACATACTCAACCCTCCATATAATCGAGCATCTTCTATCTCCGTATCTTTTGTATCTTTCTAACATCGGTCTCAGGTTTCCATCATAAGCACCTGTCCTCCTGTGCCCGCAGCCTGTCCTTCCCGACCACACAATTTTCGTATGAAGAGTGGGCCCACCATGGATGGATATGTTCATATCTGATATCTACACCAAGAACCGTCGTAATAATGGATGGGGATTGCATTCTACGCTTTTACTCATAGCTGGAATGTTATTTACGATAATTTAGGCCCAAGTCGGACTTGCTTGTCAACTATCGGTTTACTGGACGGACTCCTGACATGATGGAAGCTCCTCCTGTCCTGGCGGTACGCGCCGCAGGAAGCTTCTCCTCTCAGACAGAGACAATCCGTCCATATATTCCTTCGAGCGTTGTCGTTCACAGTAGCGAGCCTCCTGCGAAACAACCTCAACAACCTCAACAGCCGACTGGAGTGCAACCGCAACATGGGGCAACAAACTCATCTTCGACCCAGAACGATGCCGCTGGCACCGGCACCGGCACCGGCACGCTGGGATCTAGTACCATTTCTAATGGGATTGATTCTGCAACCCCAAATCTTGACTACATGACGTTCGATCTGACATCAGACACGGGCGGTAACACGCCGAATGATTCTACCTCTACTTCTTTTCCGTCTGCATCCAGCAATGGAAAGTCCAGCACGCCGTCAACGGTCGTAAATTTCACGTCGTCCGCTACATCTTTGAGCTCTGCTACATCTTTAGCGTCTACGAGAGCCGATACGCCAGACCAAACCAAGTTTCGCCCTCGTTCTTCCATTCCGTCACGCCTTCCGACCGCAGTGTATGCCCAGCAGTGTGTAGCGGCAGCATATGCGTCGAGGCTCAATCCCTACGCCCTTCACCACAAGGAGCAAGAAGCGTTGCAGGACTATTTGTGCCACCTTCATGTCACCGTCTACCTCAACATCCGCAACGGGATTCTCCGACTTTGGACCTGCAATCCCATGCTTAGTGTGAGCAGGGAAGAGGCTTTGGGGTGTGCCAAAGACTACCGTTGGATGAACCTTGCTTCCTTTGCCTATGAATGGCTTGTACGGAACGGGTACATCAACTTCGGTTGTCTCCAGATCCCCGAGACTCCGGTGCCCCCGAAAATGGGTCGCTGGAGTGAAAGTCCTGTGATTGTTGTCATTGGGGCAGGGATGGCGGGCTTGGGATGTGCCCGGCAGCTGGAAGGATTCTTCAAACACTACCACGACAAGTCCACATCTCCGCGTGTTGTTGTGCTTGAGGGTAGGCGAAGGATCGGCGGGCGGATATACTCACATCCTTTACAAAGCAAGTCGTCCACATTGCCACCGGGATTTACTCCAAAAGTCGAGATGGGTGCCCAAATCGTTGTCGGGTTCGACCGCGGGAACCCGTTAGATCAGATCATCCGAGGCCAACTGGCTCTTCCTTACCACATGTTGCGTGACATTTCTACAATTTACGATATAGATGGGACTCCGGTGGACGAAGTGCGGGACGCAACAGCAGAAAGACTCTACAATGAAGTGCTTGATCGCTCTGGCGATTACAGGTACAAGTCGGTGATAGTACCTACGGCGCAGGGCGAGCGCGATTATATCGACTCAGGGCGTGACATGACGGCAAGCGATGGTGTGACTGTGAGGCAGTATGAGGAGGCGCGAAGGGCAGGTACCATTGGCCTGTTGTTTCCGGCGAAACGCATTCGCCGCGGTGTAGGTCACAAAACTGCTGATCTTAAAACTGCGGCTGTTCCATTAGCGGACGATGATGAGGCGGAAGAGAACGCAGCTATTCTTGCATGCGAAGCTATGGGATGGAAGCTCAAACATGGGAACTCAGCAGATCCGAGGTTGGATCTAGGCCCCATTGCTAAGGCGTCGAAGTTTCAGACATTGGGTAAAACGATGGATGAGGGTGTCCGTCAATACCAACGCATGCTACCATTGACTCCCAAGGACTTGCGGTTGATGAACTGGCACTTTGCGAACCTCGAATACGCGAACGCTACCAACATCAACAACCTCAGCCTTTCCGGGTGGGACCAGGATATGGGAAACGAGTTTGAAGGAGAGCATTCCCAGGTCATTGGAGGATACCAACGGGTTCCTTACGGGCTATGGTCCTATCCCACGAAACTCGATGTTCGAACAAACAAGAATGTTTCTCGCATTACCTACGACTTTCACGGCTCAAACAAGCACAAAACGGTCGTACATTGCGAAGACGGCGACTCCATTGCGGCCGATATGGTGGTTTACACTGGGTCTCTTGGAACTCTGCAACACCGAAACGTCCAATTCTCCCCACCTCTTCCTGAGTGGAAATGGGGAGCTGTTGACCGTCTTGGTTTTGGGGTGATGAACAAGGTTATATTGGTTTTCGACAAGCCCTTTTGGGATGCTGAAAGAGACATGTTTGGCCTCTTACGCGAACCGACAAACAAAGATAGCATGGTTCAAGAGGACTACGCTGCCAACCGGGGCCGCTTCTACCTGTTCTGGAACTGTATGAAGACCGCAGGACTTCCAGTCTTGATAGGTCTCATGGCCGGCGATGCCGCTCACCAGGCCGAGCGCACGCCTGATGCTGAAATCATTGCTGAAGTCATGAGCCAGCTACGTAACGTCTTCAAGCAAACGGCTGTTCCAGATCCTGTAGAAACAATCATCACTCGCTGGGCTAGCGACAAGTTCACTAGAGGCACCTACTCCTATGTTGCAGCGGAGGCACTTCCAGGTGACTACGATCTCATGGCTAAACCAGTCGGCAACCTCTACTTCGCTGGCGAAGCCACCTGCGGCACCCATCCAGCAACCGTCCACGGCGCATACATCTCAGGGCTCCGAGCCGCATCCGAAATTATCGACTCAATCCTAGGCCCAATATCAGTCCCTATCCCTCTCGTCCCAGAAAAGGGCAAAACCACAAACTCAGCCAATTCCAATGGAACTCCAATCACCACCCCGCACATCCCACTTGACACAGAAGTCAACACTCCAGAAATCCCACCTCAGCAACAAACCCGCCCCACAACTTCAGCTACCAACTCATTCGCTTCCATCTGCCGAGACGCCTACGAACAAGCCGAGAGCGCAGCCGTCATAGCTCAAACCGGCAAACCCATCGACCGCCCCAACCGTGTCGGCATAAACCCCTTCATCCTTTACCAGAAGGACTGGGCGCAAAAAGCCCGCGACGACTGCGACGCCGAGCACCAAGCCAAAACAAATGACCCCAATGCAAAGGCGCCTCGGGATACGGTCCGCGCCGTGCTAGGCCAGATGTGGCGGCAGGCGCCGGAGGACGTGAAGCGTCCGTATCTCGAGCAGGCGGAGGTGAATCGGCAGACGAGCGCGGAGATCGCGGACAAGTGGAGGAGGGATAATGCGGAGTGGGAGAGGAAGAACGCGACTGCGAGGAAACGCTGGCGTCAGGAGAATCCGTTTGATCAGTGGGTTGCGGCGCACTTTGGCGAGCCGCCGAGGAAGAAGGTTGACTCGACGAATAAGGAGTTTGTTTCGGTAGCTACTCCTGCTACTACGTCTACTCCCGCTACTGCTACTGCTCCTGTTCCTCATCAGCCTGCGGTGTCATCAGGTTTGGCTGGGATGTCTACTCCTGCTACTCCTCTTCCTCAGTCCGGGACATCGTCTGGGCCAGCTGGAATATCTAGTAATCCTGTTTCTGTCCAGCCTGGGGCATCTTCTGGATTAGCTGGGGCATCTACTCGTATTCCTGCTGCTGCTACCCCTTCGGCTCCTCGTCCGTCAGGGCCGCCATCTGGATTAGCGGGGACCAGCGCGCAGAATACGAACACTTCTTCGAATTCGAATAGAATTGCAACCACAACCCGAACCCCCAATACGAATGCGAATTCGAATGTTCCTACTTCAAGGACAAGCCTCGCAGCACCAATGCCGTCCACTAACCCGCTGAAAGCGAACGGGTACATGAGCGCGAATCCAAACAAGAATTGGAATCCAAACGTCCCTCGGCCGTGGATGGGCTCGGCAGCACGAATGCCCTCCGCTAGTACGCAGACCATGAACGGGTTGAGGAATACAAATGCGAATGCGAATGCAAACGCAAATCCAAACGCCCGTCCGAATCCGACTCCGACTCTGACTCCGAATACGAGCTCGAATGTCGCTACATCAAGGACTGGTCTGGCAGCACCGGCGCCCTCTGCTAACACACAGAACGGGATTAAGAATTCGTTCCCGAATCTGAATTCGAGTGTCCGACCGCCAGGGACGCTTGGGGCACCCATTCGCCCTGCTAACGCGCAGAATACGAGCGGGTATCGGAGTGCAAATACGTTCACGACGTCGAATAGCCCTAGACCGGGGACAGGCCTCAAATCACCAATGCCCTCTTCTAGCACGCAAAATGCGAACGGGTTCAATAAAAATGCGGCTCCGTCTCCAAATCCACGTGCGAATTCGAATGCCCCGGGGACAGCGATAAGTCGCTCGCCATCAATGCCTTCTGCTAGTACGCATAGTGCGAACGGGTTCAATAGGAATCCGAACTCGAGCCCAAATCCAAATGCGAAAACCGCTTCTGCGGGGATAGGCCGGTCACCATCGATGCCCTCCGTTAGCACACAGAATACGAACGGGTCCAATAAGAATGCACGTCCCGGCCCAAGTTCATATGCGCATATTCCGGGGGCAGGAATAGGCCGTTCGACATCAATGCCCTCAGCCAGCACGCAGAACGCGAACGGGTACAATAAAAATACGAATGCGAACCCTAGCCCGAACCCAGCTGCGAATGGGCCTTCTTCTGGCATAGTCCGCTCACCGTCAATGCCCTCAGCCAACACGCAGAACGTGAGTCTGTGTCGAGATGGGTGTAGACATGCAAATCCCGGGAGTCCGAATCAAAAGCCGGATGCTCCCGACCCAGAATCCCGTCGTGCAGCACCCTCGCCCTCTGCCAGCACACAACTCACGAACGAGCTCAACAAGACGATCCCGAATTCGAGTTCGACTTCGAATCTGAATGGGAATGGCAATCTCAATGGACCTAGATCAGGGACGGCCCGTGCACCGACAATCTCAACGCCAGCGCCGATGTCGGTGCCGAATATGTTCTCCTCTTCCACGGGTGCCCGACCTCGAACGAATAGGTGGTGGTCGCCGTCGTATCTGGGTGGGCCATAACGCTTTAATACTTCTCGAAACAGATAGACTGGTGGTTTACCGGTGTGGAGGTTGATACACTCACTCACCTTCTCAGGGCCGGTTAGGAGCATTTACATTTAATGTAGTCTAGTGTCGCTAGATATTCGTAGGTTCGGTCCTTAAGACCAGCCTTTATTTTTAGATTACGGAATCAGGAATGGAATCTTAATCAAGAGAGGAAGATCGAGCGAGGTACCTGTAACGAACCCTGGCAGATTATTCTATCACGGTCTAGTCTATTCATAACGAAACGTAATGTAGTGTAGCCACCGACTCGAAAGAATCAACCAACCCGAGCTGGAAATGAAGTAAGATGTGAAAACGCTGAAGTCTAGTAACATATCATGACATGGAAAGAGCCGTCTAGATGGTGGAGATGGTGAAGATGAGGTTCGGAAGCCTCATCCGTCAGGTGAAGTTGTGGACGGTCGAGATGAGAGAAAGGTGGAAGGGGTAGAGTGTATTTACAGAGCGGGGTTGGCGTGGGGAGGGGGGATGTCCTCGACTGTCTCGTTCTCGCCGATGTAGCGTTCGGCCTCGAGGCCAGCAATGCAGCCGGAACCGGCACTGGTGATGGCCTGGCGGTAGCGCTTGTCCTGGACGTCACCGCAAGCGAAGACACCCTCGACGCTGGTGAAGCTGGTGCCGGGGGTAGTGGCGATGTATCCATCCTCGTCGAGCTTGAGCTGGCCCTTGACGAGGGCAGTGGCGGGGTCGTGGCCGACAGCGTAGAAAAGACCGTTGGCCTCGAGGGTCTCCTCCTCGCCGGTGCTGACGTTCTTGACCTTGAGGTGGGTCATCAGGCCATTGGGCTTCTTCTCACCGAGGACCTCGGTAGCGACGGAGTTGAAGCGGACGGTGACCTTGGGGTTGGCCAGAAGGCGGGTGGCCATAGCCTTGGAGGCACGGAGCTTGTCACGGCGGACAAGCACGGTGACGCTGCTGCCGTATTTGGTGAGGAACATGGCCTCCTCGGCGGCGGAGTCACCACCACCAATGACGAAGAGGGGCTTGTTGCGGAAGATGGGGACGGCGCCGTCGCAGACAGCGCAGGCGCTGATACCGTTCTGCCAGTAAACGTCCTCACCAGGGAGGTTGAGGCGGCGGGCATTGGCACCGGTAGCAATGATGACAGCGTCAGCGGTGTGAGCGGGCTCGTTGTCGGGGCCATCGTTCCACTCGGTCCACAGCTTGAAGGGCTTCTGGGAGAGGTCGAGGCGGGAGATTGTCTCGGTGATGACCTCGGTTCCGAAGCGGATGGATTGTTTGCGCATGGCGTCCATCAGCTCTGATCCATTGATTCCTTCGGGGAAACCGGGGAAGTTCTCGACGTCGGTGGTGGTGGTAAGCTGGCCACCGGCGGCGGTGCCATTGGCGAGCATACCCTCATAGAGGACAGGCTTGAGTTCCGCCCGCGAGAGGTAGATGGCGGCGGTGTGAGCGGCGGGGCCGGAGCCGATGACTGCGAGGGGTTAGCCACCTCTACCCCCTGGACATGACATATGCATGCATGACAGCATCAATGGAGGGTATACATACTGACTACTTTAGTGTGAACCATTCTGGAGGTTGAATTGACGCGCAGGGGCGTCGTGAACGAGTTTGATAGGACGGACGGAGCAGCAGGCGTGTTCTGACGGTAGAACGAGACAGCGGCAGCGGTGAATCCTATGGAGGAACTAAGTGTGGAAGAGAAGGGAAACCGACGAAAGGCTGAGGAAAACAGATTGGCGGTTGTAGAATGTAAAAGGTAAGAGAGTGAAGATAGAAGGGACGGAGGGGGGCTTTTAATTAGGCTCGAGGGGCAACGAGTGGGGACAAAGCACGACGACAGCAAAGGAGGGCTGGACGATCGGGATTAGCTAAGAAGAAGAGTCTTCTGGACAAAGATCAGATAAGAAACACGCGGTGAAAGCGAAGGGCCTGTTTGATTCTTGATCTCTAAGCAACACTGTGGTCCATGGGCCCCGAACTTTCTCCTGCAAAAAAACTGCGCGGTCACGTGTGGCCGAGACCGCCGCGATTATCAATCTTCTCTGTGTGCCTGTCCTATGCAAACACCCTCCGGTTCCAGTCCGACGCAAACTGGAACACTCATTAATCTCATTATAGATCAATTGTTCGAGACAAAGAACAACTCACATTCCACGCATCAATCTTCAGCACCGAAGAATCGTTCCCGCGCTCGACGTTGGTCAACTCCCCGATCGCTACCCCGGATTAATAACCTTAGCCATCCAATCCCTCCCCATCGCCACTCGGCTCTTACGCGGAGTAACTCACCAAGCACATTATTCAGCCAGTAATAGTCCGGATTGCCCGTCTCGAACACCAGCCGGAGATGCAGATTCCCCGAGGGAGCCTTCGGCCCAGACGTCTGGATGAAGATGTCCGCGCCGTCGTCTGTCCGCAGGTTATACCGTGTGTCGGCGGAGAAGACCCCGGTTTTGGGATCGACGGTGCCCCAGTCTGCGCCGACGTCTAGGATCGTGCCTGTCGCAGGGATTGGGTTGTTAGTCTTGTCCGACTCCCCTATGTTCCAGCCAGATTGAGGCCTGGCTTCATAGGTAGGTCTACATACCGGACAGCCGGGGACCAGTAAAGTTGCCTCCGACGATGGGAATCGCCCGTCGAGTACCTTTGGGCCCATCTTCGTTCATGAGTGTGCCCTTGCAGTACACGTATGCTGTGTAGAGGTACGACAGTTGCGGTGGCTGGGGTTCGGCACTTGTAGCGGCGACGAGCGGGGCTTCAGAGACAGTCTGGATAGCCAGCGTCGCGAAGATGAAGTCGCGTAGTCGGTAAAGCATTGTTGTAGATCAGTCGTAGTAGATTCAAATGATATGTCTTCAAGATGATGAATATATCTCTTCGCATAAACATCGGCATATATATATACCCCAGAGCCCCGTGGGGAAATGTCTTCGGATGGCATCATAGCGCTATCACCTCCCCTCTCATCGGTCGATACTTGCCAAAGCAGGAAGGATAACCAGGTCAAGCCGTGGACAAAGTTGCTCGATCGCCGACGTGAACAGCCGGGGAGAAGTGCGGAGTGCATGTTTCGGCAAGAGGACAAGCCTGAGTACCGATCGATTATATAGATCCGAGGCAGTGAGGAGTTGGAGATCTGTGCATAAAGTACGGAAAAGGATGGTGACCGGAAAACCCGGATATTATAGCCAGTCTACTCTCAGAATATACATCAAGGACGTCTAGGATAGAATAGATACATAGCATACCCTACCCAAGGCATTAAGGGTAAATGCTGTATAGAGCTGTGTACATGCGGGTCATGAAGATCATAAATCATCAACATAAGTCATCTCAAAATACAAGTCAAGTGAAGCCAAATCGTAAAAATATCCAGGCCATGTGCATCATTAAATGTGCTTTTCCCCGTCACCTATCACGCCGTCCAAACCACTTCTTAATGCTGGTGCTGCGCTTTACATTGGGTCTAGGTTCGGGCTCCGGCGAGAGGAATAGCTCCGACTCGTCTTCATCATCATCATCGTCATCGTCGTCGTCGTCGTCATAGTACTCATCATAGTGTCGACGCATGGGAGGTGCTGGAGTCGGTGCAGGTCTAGGGACCACTGGAACTGCCGCTGGGTGAGGTTGAGGGTGTCCTTCTCTGGGCGGTGCTGGGGGAGGGGCATGGGTATTGTGCATTTCCTCCTCCTCGTCGCTGAACTCTTCTTCTGCTTCATCGTCGTTTATAGAAGGTTTGCTCGAGGCGTTGCGCCGAACACCGAGCCATTTCCGCCAGCCCTTGGTCACTGGCACCGCGGGGGGTTCATCCTCGGTGCCTTCGAACCAGAGCGCCGGGATGAGCAATTTATACGGCACCGTGATACCCGATGGGTCCCTGGGGTTGAGTTCCAGGTTCAACGTGATGGCCAGCCCGCCTTCTAGATTAACGAATGTGCCTGCGCCGTCGTCTCCGCGTTTGGCTGCTTTCTTGGAGGACTTTTGGCTTAGATTGGTTGGTCGTCGGAGGAATGGACCGGGCCGAAATTCTGCTGGCGGCGGCGGGAAATAGGAATCTCCTGTTCCTGCTGGAGGGAACGGCCCGTCCATGCTCATGCGCCGTTCGGGGGCAGGGCGGCCTAGGTTGAATTCCTTCGTTGGTGGTCGACCCTTGCTGGAGAGTCGTCGCAGGAGCCCTTGAGGCCTCTCTCCGCGGCCCAACGACAATGTTCGTTGTAGCAATTTCGGGCGGGGCTCATCGAAAGGAGCTGGAGCCTCGGACTCTGGGGTTTCCGGTGGCGTGGCACCTGGTTCTTTTAGCAAAGATACGGCGTCACAATCAAAGCGCTTGGACATACCAGGCTCATATAAGCGGAGAGAACACCAGTTCCTCCTCGGTAGCATGCGCTTATTGTTGCGCGGTTTGTTATTGACATCATGGGTGAAAAATGGGATCATCTCTTCGTCAGTATTGCTGTCCATGTGATGCACTTGGTTTCGTCGGTTGAGTGTATCGGATATCATTTCAGTCACAGGGGCGTCTGCAATGCCGGAAGAGATGACGTTGGGCATATATCGGTAGTCCCTATCCTTGGGGATGTTGAGGTTGGGATTCGAATAAAACTGCCCGACTGCAGCTAGATGGACATCACCGCTAGTGAAATTGTCAGTGTTTATCACATTTACCAAGGCGCTTGGTCTTACCTAAGGATAGTCACCCGAATCGATTTCTCGGCGGCAAGATCTTGAAGATCTTCTATGAGGTACTTTCTTTCCGACTTCAACTGCTTTGCTGTCCAATGATCATCAAAGATTTCAACTTTGGCGCCATGTCGGTTTACTAGTCCGCCGAAGAGCCCGGCTTTACCGAGTGACTGTCTGCTGTTCAAAATATTCTTCACCATAGCCTGTCTATCGTCAGCGGGAGCTGTAGTATTTTCAAGGCTCAAGCAGGTACATACCACTCGAGGGTACGCAATGGGGATGCTCAATAGCACTACCAGATGCTTGGTTTCGCCCTTGACAATCTCACGGTGACACCGGTCCCAGATAAGATCGGACGAATGCTCACTGATAATTTCGTCATACTACGTAGTAGATTAGCATGCCTCTTCAAATCGCGGGCCTCATGACATACCATCCGCTCGGTCCTGCAGTCAAGTCCTAGGAAAGATATTCCGTTGCCAAGTGACATGAACAAGTGCCTGCTGCGCTGATTGATGTACGGCCCTGGCTCGGCGCCCAGAATCCAGCTGGGTTCATCTGCCTCGGTTTCTTCAGGCACACTATGGTGCTGGAATAGCATATAGTACTTGAATGCGAGATTCCCGAGACCTGAGATTACAGCCGAGCTCATAAACTCGTCCGGGTACGAGCCAAACCCTTCGAGGATCTCATGGTCGTTCCATATGTTCACCATGGGTATTTGCGAATTGGCGAGAGAGTAAAGGCCTTGGGAGAACCATCTACAGTAGTTTTCCAGGTACCCATTTTCTAATTCGTTCTTGAACTCGGGGTTAAGCTGAGTCTCGTATCTTTCGCTGGCGTCTCTGATCTTCAGCCATTCCTGGAAATACATTGACTCCGCGGTGACTTTGTCGTTGAATACCTGGTCCCCACCACCAATCATGACATGGAATGGACGTGTCTGATGCTCGTTAAGGACGTCTCGCCACAGAGGATCCGGGCCGCAAAACTTGTTCGAATCAACACCAGGAGTGAAGCCGTTACCGGAATGGTACATCACGTTCATCGCCTGTCCCTTGGCTGGCACCCAGAAACCGATAGCGGGGCCTTGGTTCAGACGATACGCAATGCGTTGTTGCTTCCTGCCCAGTTCAATCTCGAGATTGAATCTCCAAAATGTGACATCTCTCCCGGAGTCAGCGTAAAGGCGGAAGCCTGGAATCTCTTTATACATCCCAACTGTTTCTCCGTCTAGTGAATGAACCCTGTTCGCAGGTACTGGCTGCTTGAGGCCATAGTCTATGGCACTCGGGGACATTTCGTAAATCCCGTCATCGTTCTCCACTGAAGAAAGGTCGAGCTGCTCTTCCGTATGGTCAACGGGTTTGACATAGAGGGGGCGGCCATCTCGGCCCAATTTCGTCAATCCGGCGGTTGGGTCAATGTACTCTGGTGGCAACTGTACGTTCTCACTATTGACCTGGACAGGTGGCGGCGGAAGAAGATCCATCGGCTGAGAAAACAGCCTCAATGTAGGCACAGGTTCGTACGAGGAGATGGAGTCCTTGGTCACGATCAAGATAGTGCCTCTCCAAGTCTCTTTATCGATTGGCCCGTTTGGCCCATTTATTGTCGCGCGCCTTATACCTGTATACCGAAGCAAAGGTCCGCATTTCAAGAATATCAGGGGTTGGAAGCGCTTGTGTGCTGCGTATCAAGCCATCGTTAGCATTCAGATGCCTACATAAACCATTCAATCTCAACTTACACATTGGCTTCTGGACAGATGGCTGCTGGTAATTCTTTGGCAGCGCCCTGCTCTGACGGCGATCTCGGGTACCGGATTCCCACCAAGCCTTATTCCTGTCCACATCCAAGGCCTGTAAATCAAAGTCGGAGGCTCCGAGTCTCACAGTGCGTGCGGTCTTCCACTCAGACAGCGGAGGGGGCGTTGGGGGTGGTACATTGAATGAAACAGTATGACGCTTGGACTTGGTCTGCGGGCGCTGTATGTTCTCATTGCTCTCCGGCACTATAGACTCCGCACTATCTCGTATCTCGTGGGGACTAGGTATTTTATCAGACGGAATAATGGCAGCTGGCGAAGGAACAGGCCGCCCATTCTGTCTGGCTTGTTCCGGGCTGCTGCCAGATAGAGGAACCCTCACCCGAGCGTCGGTGGAGGGTTGGCTAGCCGTCGGTGATCTAGTTTGAGCTGTAGTGGCTCTGCGATCCTGACGTGCCATCTCAGGGTGAGGTATAACAAGGCTGCTTCGTGGTAGTGCCTGATTTGGTTCGTGTGGGGACATCTGAGGCTTCTCCGGCTGGTGCGTGATTGACACTGAACGCCTAGCAGTGCTGCCGCCGTTTACTGGTCTTATTGACGGAGGTTTGTTGCTCGCATCTTGATTTTCCAATAGTGGTCGTGCCCCGGAGCCATGGAGCGACGGCGCTCTTGCGCGTGCAGTCTGCGGCCTCGTGACGTCTGATTTCTGCTGCGGAATGATGTTATCCTGCCTGTCATACCCGCTGTTTTCCTGTTGCCTTGGCTCTTTCCGTGAAGGTCGCCGAGCGGGAACTTCGTTTTCGTATGTAGGTTGTTGCACAGCTGCTTTGGCGGCGACTCTTGAGGGCTCTGGCTCTGGAGTCACCGCAGATTTCGCAGTCGCAGCAGCCATCCGTTCTCGCAACTTCCTTTCGGCTTCCAATGCGCGGGCTCTCTTCTCTTCCTTACTGATACCACCAAGGGCGACCTCGAGCTTCTGGAGTGGAGACCGGCTATACGCCCAATCGCGCTGTTCGCCCGTCGAGGATTTTAACGTGTCGGACCGACTCAAGCGTGCCGCCTCGTCCTGCGAGGCTGGTGAGCCATGGTCTTCCGGTAATGCAGATGGACCTAACAACACAGCTTGTCAGTTTGTTTTGAAATGCCCATGAAAGAGATTTTCCATTCCCGCTAGTGACAAGGCTGTCGTAAAGAAGAAGTATACCTAAGCTTGTTCGCCGGGCTGCCATGGTGCCGTTCGCCGGAGCTCGAGAGCTCCCGGTGGACATGTCTTCAGATGTGCTTCAGCAATCGCTTACTCTCGAACTTCGCAAGCGGAGCAATGTTGTTATGCTCTGTACACAGTAATGAGTTGCAGTCAGCTGCCCAACACTGCAACCGAAGTATAGCCCTTTGCGCGCACTCTCTGCCGGCTCTGTTCGAAATTTCAATGGGTGGAAGTGTCTAGATCGCCATCCCGTGAACAAAGTACACGTAAGTTAATGCTGCATAAGCTGCCGAATTGAAGTTAAGGATGGCCGAGTGCTTGTAACAGGCGTGCGGCGGTCTCTGCCAGTGGCCCTGTCAGCCGTATGTACAAGGAGTCAGCGACAGTATACAACCACAAGACAGGCAGCAGTCGGGTGCAAGAACAGTTTAGGCAGCGAAACAATGGAGAAGAGGACGTGGATGAGATTGTTGCGATGAGATTTTATCTAGGATGACGCTGCGCATGCATTGTGAGAGTGGCTGGGCCCAGCCTCCTCGTCTGATCTTGCGGGGCTGCACGACAAGAAACCAGCCAGGCACCATCGCTTTGGACCACGTTGATCTGATCTGATTTGATCTGATTTGTTTCATGTGAAAAAGCAAAGACACAACTCCGGTGTACTGCAGAAGAGTTCAGGATCTGTCAGGGACTCGGTATAGTCCATGATGAGCACCAAACGCCAATGCTCTGCAGGGAACGATGGGAGTGGAGCTCCGTTTTTACCCATACTATTCGAAGGGTAACAGAATAACGGATCATGAGCCATCGTTTGGCTTCCTATACAATCAATAGAGCATTTACTTCCGTCCAAAGTTTGCCTTTGTTTCTGGCGCGTACTAAATCCGCCCCAACTTGGCGTGTCAGCCTTAGGAGTGAGGAACCCACAGTTCAGTTCAGGAGGCGATCCATTCTCTCCGGAGTACTTCCACCAACACCTCCAGGCTCCGCTCATTATTCACCTTCAGACCCTCTCCCTAAGACCACGGGGATTTTCTTCTTCTTGTTTCTATTATTGTGACCTTCATTTATAACTGTGCTTGAATAGACAGTTGTTTCCCTACCAAGCTTTGTGGCCTCGTTGTTTTTTGTGCTTAGTCCCACACGCCGTCCTCCAATGTCAGGGTGTTAGTTGTCCTTATTGTCGACTGTTTGTTGAGGAGTCCTGAACGTCACCCGCCTTCCATTCTCGCCCTCCTGTCACAATGCGTTTTCAAGGTGCAGCAGCAGCAGCCTTAGGCTTGTTCTGTGCCGCTACCGCTTCGCTTCATCCTCGCCGCTCCTATGAGACTCGCGACTATTTCGCCCTCCACCTCGACGCCGCTACTTCCCCGTCGGATATCGCTGAACGCTTAGGTGCTCGCCATGAAGGTCAGGTAGGAGAGCTTGACGGTCATCATACATTTTCCTTGCCTAGTGAGAACAGTGCCGATCTCGATGCGCTTCTCGGAGACCTACAAATCAAGAGGAAGCTGCGGCGACGTGGCGACGACGCTGGCCTTGAAGAAAGAGACGAAGACCTCGCCGGTATTCTATGGTCCCAGAAATTGGCCCCTCCGAAGCAACGGCTCGTAAAGCGATCACCTGCGCCCGAGAAGCTCACCAGAGAATCGGCCAGCGACGGAGAGAACGTGGAAGCTGTCCAAGCCCGGAGTAAGCTTATATCCACTCTCGGTATTGAAGATCCAATCTTCGGGTCACAATGGCACCTCTTCAACACCAAACAAGTCGGTCATGACCTGAATGTTTCGGGCGTCTGGCTAGAAGGCATAACCGGAAAGGGCGCGACAGCTGCGATTGTGGACGATGGCTTGGACATGTACAGCAACGACCTAAGCCCCAACTACTTCCCAGAGGGCTCTTATGATTTCAACGACCATACCCCAGAACCTAGACCCCGCCTTCGCGATGATAGACACGGCACCAGATGCGCAGGAGAAGTCGCCGCCGCGAGAAATGATGTCTGCGGCGTCGGTGTCGCTTATGATAGCCGTATTGCTGGAATTCGAATCCTGTCTGGACCAATCGACGATACTGACGAGGCTAGCGCCATCAACTATGCCTATCAGGAGAACGACATCTACTCATGCTCTTGGGGCCCCCCGGACGATGGGGCTACAATGGATGCACCCGGCATTCTCGTTAAACGGGCTATTGTTAACGGCGTCCAGAAGGGTCGCGACGGAAAAGGCTCGATTTTCGTGTTCGCAGCCGGGAATGGCGCGGGCTCTGAAGACAACTGCAACTTCGACGGCTATACTAACAGCATTTACAGCATAACCGTCGGGGCAATTGACCGCGAGGGACAACACCCGTATTACTCAGAATCATGCTCCGCGCAGCTGGTAGTTGCTTATAGTAGCGGAACATCTGATTCGATCCACACTACCGATGTCGGTACAGACAAGTGCTACTCCATGCACGGGGGCACATCTGCCGCGGGCCCGCTGGTTGTCGGTGCTCTTTCTCTTGCTCTGAGTATTCGCCCAGAGCTCTCATGGCGCGATGCGCAATACCTCATGATTGAGACGGCGGTCCCGGTCGACGAAGATGATGGAAGCTGGCAAGTCCTCAAGTCAGGGAAAAAGTTCAGCCACGATTGGGGATATGGAAAAGTTGATGTCTACAGCCTCGTGCAGAAAGCGAAGACTTGGGAATTGGTGAAGCCGCAGGCTTGGTACCACTCGCCGTGGCTGAGGGTACAACACGAGGTTCCGCAGGGCGACAAAGGCGTTGCTGCGTCTTGGGAAGTGACCGAGCAGTTTATGAAGGATGCAAACATCGAGAAACTCGAGCATGTCACTGTGACCATGAATGTCAACCACTCACGCCGTGGCGATCTGAGTGTGGAACTTCGTAGCCCCGGTGGCATAGTCAGTCACCTCAGCACCCCAAGAAAGCACGACAATGCAGAAGTTGGCTACGTTGATTGGACGTTTATGACGGTTGCCCACTGGTAAGAATCCCACGCAACCAGCAATGATGAATAAAGCTAACAGAGTATTAGGGGTGAATCAGGAGTCGGAACTTGGACTGTTATTGTCAAAGACTCGACTGTCAATGATGATGTTGGGGAATTCCTTGACTGGCGCCTTAACCTCTGGGGTGTGGCTGTTGATGCATCTAAACAAAAGTTGCACCCCCTTCCAGACGAACACGACGATGATCACACCATTGAGGATTCCATTGTTGTCACAACCAGCGTTGACCCAGCACCGACTGCCACCAAACCTCCAACTGAGCCTTCGCATACGGTTGATCGCCCTGTGAATGTTAAACCTACTTCGACAGACACTGCTCCTTCTGAGACTGAGACTGAAACCCCTACACCTACCCCGAGTCCAGCCTCTGACAGCTTCCTTCCCTCTTTCTTCCCAACCTTTGGTGCCTCCAAACACACACAGGTCTGGATTTACGCCGCGATCAGCTCGATCATTGTTTTCTGCATCGGGCTCGGAGTTTATTTCCACGTCCAGCGACGTAGACGTCTTCGCAACGACCGCGACGACTACGACTTCGAAATGATTGAGGATGAGGATGAGACGAAGGCTATGAATGGCTCATCGTCCCGTCGTCGTGGCGGTGAGCTTTACAACGCCTTTGCTGGAGAAAGCGAGGAAGAGCCACTGTTCAGTGATGACGATGATGACGATGAGCCGTACCGAGACCAGACATTAGGTGCTGAGCGCAGAAGCACAAGCGCAGATGATACCCGAAGAAACGACTAAGATGTTGTGGTTGTATTCTTATATTTATTGCTATTTCTCTTCCCTCATGTCCTAACCCCTCGGTCCTCTTCCTGTCTCTTATTGCTATTCTTGGATTACTGCATCACTCAGATGAGCACCTACAGACTACGTAAATGAACAAAATGTACATACCGCATCACCTACATGGAGCCAACTAGCAGTGGCCAACAACTATAACGCTACGGACAACATTCAAATCTGGCCAAGCATCTATCTAAACATTCTGTCCTGCACACAGCTAAAACACACCTCCTGTTTTAGAAGCCAAGAAGGTTTTGACCATGTATTCCGTACAGGATTGAATAGCGGGTATTAACAGTGAGCCTTGGCGATGACGCTGGGCACCCCATCGATCAACTTCACCTCCGCAACTCCCCACGACCTCGACAACCCCGACTGACCAGCCTCCTCTTCAGCGCCAATCATTATTTGAATCTGGGGCTGCAACACCACCTTTCTCACTGTCGCCTTTTGCTGTGTAGTTTCTGGCCAGCGTTCACGATACACTGCCACCCCTCGAGCAACCTGCCGCTCTCCCCTCCATGGATCACGACGACTTCGATAGCGTCTCGTGGCGCCATGGCCCAGACAGCGATACCTCACGACCCCCGACGTCTGAAACCGATACCGAAGAACAACATGAGAACCGTCGCGATCCCAATGGCAAGCGGAGGATGAGCTCGGCGAGCGAGATCCCCCAGGCGGGGCCACACGCCGACGCCTTGGACCTCGCAGGCATCGGAGATGGAGTATTAGAGTGTCGGGTGGATTCCCCGATCAAAGAGAACGACGGTACAAAAGATGCATACATTTCATACCTAGTATCTACGCATGTAAGTGTCCGTGAAGTGTTCAGGCCAAGCTATCTCGCTGCCTAAGCGAGCCCCGAAATCAAGCGTTAACAGGTAGCACCAGACCGATTTCAAGTCCTTTCAAAGATCCGACTTCACTGTGCGCAGGCGATTCACCGACTTTGTTTTCCTCTATAAGACGCTATACCGGGAGTACCCTGCCTGCGCGGTGCCGCCGCTGCCGGATAAGCATAAGATGGAGTATGTGCGCGGAGACCGATTCGGGCCGGAGTTTACCACGCGGAGAGCGTGGTCTCTGCATCGCTTTTTGAAGCGCCTGACGCTGCACCCGGTCCTGCGGAGGGCTCCTTTGCTAGCGATCTTCTTGGAGTCGCCTGATTGGAATGCGCATATGAGAGTGCGAGGGTCGCGGGCTTCGACAGGTGGATCGGATGGAGGTGGTACGGGGATCTTCGATAACTTCACCGACACGTTTGTGAATGCGTTTACGAAGGTCCATAAGCCAGACCGCAGGTTTATTGAGGTGCGGGAGAAGGCGGACAAGCTGGATGAGGATTTGAACCATGTCGAAAAGATCGTAGCGCGAGTTGCTAGACGCGAGGCGGACTTGGAGACGGATTACAATGATTTGGCCACGCAGTTCCGAAAGCTTGTACCGCTGGAGCCGGATGTCGAAGTGCCCTTACAAGTTTTTGCTGCCTCTGTTGAAGAAACAGCGCGGGGAATCAAGAATCTTAAGGACCACACGGATCAAAATTACTTGGGCTCCCTCCGCGACATGGAAGCCTACATATTATCTGTCAAGGCACTTCTAAAAACGCGCGAGCAGAAGCAACTCGACTTTGAAGCCCTGGTCGACTACCGCAACAAAGCGGTGGCGGAGCGGGACTCCCTCGCCGCGAATCCATCCTCATACTATGCCTCCAACCCGCTCACGTCCTCCCCAGCATCTTTCATCCGGTCGAAGATGGAGGACATGCGCGGAGTCGACCACGAGCAATCACGCCGAGAGCGGATGCGGAAACTGGAGCTGCGGATCGACGAGCTCACGCGGGAGGTGGAATCAGCCAAGACAACGTCGGAGATGTTTGACGAGGAGGTGGTGCGGGAGGTGGCAGACTTCGAGAGAATCAAGGCAATCGAGTTCCGAGATTCCATGGGCGCGCTGGCAGAACAACATATCGAGTTCTACCAGGGTGTACTGAACACTTGGGAACGATTTGTTGCTGAGATGGAGGAGGAACAGAGTAATGCGGGGGACGCTCATCCCAACGTATAACGTCTTGTCTGGTTTACTTGCCCTCTTTCAATCACCTACAAAGCTACAGCTAATTATTCCGAAGTATCTGCTTTTTGCCTCAAATACCAATTTCTCGCCTGAGCTTTTCAGTGAATTATCTTTTAACAGGTTGTCCAGAGCCCGTCTCCCGGTTGATTTTCACACCCATCCCATAAACAGATCTAGGGCAAGACCTAGTTGGAGCCCCATCGCCAACGGAATCCGTTCCATCTAGTCATTGCCCTTTTTATACTCTACGTTTGCAGCCCAGGTCATGAATCAATCACCATATGTGTATTTTCAGGCAGCAGTAGATCTAGCCCTGCCAATAGGAAACCCTCGCTAGGAGACCCAAATGAATACACCACCACCAACCCGCCCCAGAAACGAACCTCAAAACCTCTCCCTAATCCTCTGACTCTCCGCGTACTCGAAATCAGACGGACTCGGCTCACCCCGCGGATCTGATATCGCGGGATTCAGTGCGCGGCGCACCCATTCCTAGTCTCGTCAGTGCAACTTTCGCTACGTAGACATTTCCCTCCCACTGGGCTGTGCACGGTATGACAAGCGAAAGAAAGGCTGCTGGTGCTACACACCTCCCGATAGATCTGCTTCGGCGTCTTATTCTTGTTCTTCTTGCTTATGTCTGGCGTCCCTGTCCCCGTCCCCGTCCCTGTTCCAGTCGTCCCAGTCCCTTCTTCTCCGGCCATGAATTGCAGGTAGACCTCCTGGTCGTAGTTGACGGTGAAGGGGGCTTTGGGGTCGTGTGCGAAGTTTGCGCCCAGGCCTGGCCAGGCTGAGGATGTTTGGGGGCTGGGTTGTGTGTGCTGTGTCTTTGTCTTTGTTTGAGACTCAGCTGGTTTGGTGGATGATGAGGAGGCTGAGGGGCCGTGGGCGTCTGAGGCTTTGGTGTCGCTCATGTTGTTGCCTGCTTGCCTGTGTTCGATTGAAAGGTGGACAGGGGGGGAAGTTGGTGGGTGGATATGGAAATGGTAGACTAGATGTAGATATCAAACGGGGCTGATGTAGGCAGTGTAGGCAGGCAGTACCTATGCTCCCAGCCTGACGTCCACGATACCTACTCGACAGACTAGCGTTGCGGTGCGAATGATATAGTACTTGGGCCGGCCCAGCTGCAGGGGCTAAATAACTATAAGTTTATGACAGTATATCTATCTGGACCTAGGTCTAAGATGCGCGACGTCCACGTCGACGATGAACCCGGCCTTGCCACCACAACCCTCAGCTGAGCGGACCGACTGGTCTGCTAATGCTTATCCCGTAAATGCCAGCATTCCACGGACCACCGCCGGCAATCACGGATGGAACTTTGAGGTCCCTAAGAGCGAATGAAGCGTTGATGGTAGCGTGGCGCAGCGACACCCGCGTCATACCGGCGGTGGCAGTGACTGCATGTAGTCGTTCTAGTGCCTCGCTAGTAGCGCTCCTGGATAGCCCTGTGGGAGCGGGCGTCCCTGTGCATGCAGCATGCAGGAGAACGGTCTATATTTAGGCTGGGCTTTATTTTTGCTTTTGAGGCTGGTCACATTCGGACTTGTGCATAAGTATCTGCTGTGTGACCGGAACTGATTTCAGGGATGCCGGATCATTATCCATGAGGCCCCCGAGAGCACCGGCGATAAGATTGGAATGAAAGTGCAGCCGAAGAGACCGTGTTTGGGGAAATGGATAAGCAGAAGCACACCGTAGGACGAGGCTGAGTGTGCGCAGATATCCTGTGCTTGTTCCCAGGATGGTGATGGGCTTATGTAGGATGCCCGCGGACACCGTGGCTAAGGCCGTGCCCTGAGCATGATAATGCTAGCTCAGATGCTAAGAATAGCAAACCATAGAGATTAGCAGGTACACGAGCTGTGTAGATACCTCTTAGGCAAAGCAAGAGTCGCTGGAGGGCCGAAGGTGGTGATGTGCGACAACATGTTTGACGTGTTTGCACCAATCTCATGATCGGCCCAGCAGGAAATGTCCGGACGGGGTCGGACGGTTGAACCTCAACAACCACTCGATATGCGGCCGATTTCAACTTCGGCCCTTCGGCCGTATGTCTGTCCGTCGTGTCGATATGCGCGTGTCTCCAACAGGAGGAGGTTCGGGTCGAAACCTGCGCCGGTAACGGATATCTACGATGTGGTTTGCGTCGGAGGTGGTCCTGCGGGACTCGCACTTCTTGCTGCTCTCCGTATGCCATTGCCCATTCCACTTATACCTTACCATATCATGACTCGGATATACTAACTGGACGCATAGGCGCATCCCCCGCAACCTCAAAGCTGAAGGTCGCTCTCGTGGAATCGCAAGACCTCGACAAAGCCCGCTCGTGGAAGCTCGACCCGCACCAGTTCTCCAACCGCGTCAGCAGCCTCACACCCTCGTCGGTATCATTTCTACAGAAGATCGGCGCATGGGATCGTCTAGATGTTTCACGGACACAACCCTACCAGGGCATGGAAGTTTGGGACGGAGAAACAGGGTCCAAGATCTCATTCGACTGGTCCGCGGAGACCTCGCCGTTCGAAGATCTCCGCACCGTCGCAACAATGACCGAGAACGCCAACCTCGTGCACGCCCTTCTCTCTCGGATCGCTGCATCAGGTGACGAGAACCTCTCCATCTTCTCCAAGTCTACCGTATCCTCCATCGAGAACGGCGCCGCGGACGGTCCCAACGGCGCGGACCTCTCAGCATGGCCGGTTCTCTCTATCGCACCAGCCGGACCTGCCCGCCAAACTACATCGCCCTCCCGCATTGCCGCAAGACTTCTTGTCGGAGCAGACGGGATCAACAGCCCCGTCCGCCGGTACGCGGACATTTCCACAGACGGCTGGGACTACGAGCGCCACGGCATCGTCGCGACGCTATCCCTCGCCGACCAAGTCCCTCCTCTGTTCCCCCTCGGCACAAGAAACGCATACCAGCGCTTCTTACCCGCCCTCGGCGGCCCAATCGCCCTTCTTCCATTACCAGACAACAACGCCACGCTTGTCTGGTCCACGACCGTCGAGAATGCAGCTTACCTCAAGTCTCTGTCGCCCGGCGCATTCATTGCTATGGTCAACGCCGCGTTCCGCTTGTCTATGCCGGACCTCCAGTACATGATGCGCATGGAGCGCCCCTCGCCCTCTGTCACTAATCTGGACGAGGACCCGCACGAAAGCGAACTCACCTGGCGCCTTCAACATACCCCTGCCCCTTCGCATCTTCCGCCCATGGTTACAGGGGTGCAAGAAGGCACAGTCGCCTCGTTCCCGCTGCGCTTCCGTCACGCATCAACGTACATCTCGCCGCGGGTTGCGCTCGTCGGCGACGCGGCCCACGTCATCCACCCTCTCGCAGGCCAGGGACTCAACCTCGGTCTCGGTGATGTCGCATCGCTATCTAGTACGATCGAATACGCTGTCACACACGGCATGGATGTCGGCGATATCCTGACGCTCGAGCGATACACGGCGGAGCGGTACGCGACTAATGCGAAGATTGGCGGGACTTGCGATATCCTGCACAAGCTGTATAATGTGCCGGGTCAGGGTCCTGTTGCGTGGGGACGGAGCTTGGGATTCGAGATCATCGATCGCGTGCCCTTCTTGAAGGGGTTCTTGATGAGGAATGCGGATTCATGAGGAATGATCTCGAGGCCTTCTTGCTCTTGTAGCCGTTGTTGCAATATTTAATGTATTTCTAGTATATCGATGTAAACTATACCTCTTCCTCTACCGTCAAGCACACATCTATCCCTATTTGGCGCTGGCTTGCCGTAGCTTGCAGACTAGCGCTCGGTAAGCGCACGGGGTCCGGATTGATCAAGTGCTTCTTTATATAAAACCGCAGCGCAGAGAGAATCAGCCGTTGGCGGGCTTGCCTTTAGCCGAAAACCGAGTATTTCCGAAAGATAATCCCGACTGGTCCCTGGATGACAAGGTAGGTGATTTTGACGGTGAACCTTGATTGATCCTTGATCCTTGATCCTTGCAACGATGGCCTGAGAGTTATTCTGGAATCTTTCCAAGCAAGGTGCTGTTAACGAACCGGATTCGATCTGCATTGCCGCCAGAGTAAGCAGGAATGGTTGGTTGGAAATAATTGACGCAGTGGAGCGTTGACCAAGTTTGTTCCCCATGTCGGTGCAGGAAGATGTCGAATTGTCGATGCTCCCAGCCTATCAAGCGCTGTGATTTGATTACCCCATACTCTGCTTCAAGAATGAGTTTGTTAGTCGGATGGCCTCTTGCCTGTTCTGAACTTCTGTGCTGTTCGCCATGGAGCCTGTAGCCTAGATACATACTCCGGAATTGAAGCCTCCGAAACTCGAGCCCAAGTATCCTGGTGGCCGGTGGACTAGATATCGACTAGTTTCGGGGTTTGCAACCACTATCACCGAGAAAACGAGCGGCTTCAGCCCTCATCATCGACTCGTCGGACGGTAAAAACGGTATATTTCACTTGGTCGAGAACTTGATACGAGCTTCTGGCTTCGGGACTTGATCCGTGCACTTGGATTGGCCGATTCCATGACCTGCAACCGCAATAATTGTAAGATCTCGCGTAGCGATTGCAACGGTGACAAGCCACACAGGCGAAATGACGCTACTAGATCGAAAGTTGGGGTTAAGTGGCTATGGGTCCTAGATCAAGCCGCGATTGGCCAGAGCGCATTCATGTCATCTCTGGAATTCCACGTGGTTCGGTCGTCGGAACTGTTCCTTTCCTAGTGCGATACACACTGTCAGGCGGCTCAGGCCCGCGCGGTTAGGTATGACGTCTCTCTACCAGAAGATCCGGGGTAGCAATGACGAGGGCAGCCTTTCAAATCCAGGCTAGAAGCTTATTAGTGACAAGATGAGCAGGTACCCTCTGCCTATGATGGTTATTGCCGGGTGGCAGAGCGCGATGGCTGTCCTGATTGCTCCACATTACAGACGCCCGCCAAGAGCGCCGCCCAGTCGGAGACTTTGTAAAATCACGCACTAATTCCGCCTATCTCCTCTCTGTCTGACACGCTGTTGTGATCGCTAATCGCGCCAGGGCATCGCGGGTTTCAGACAAAATGGGCCTCCGGACTGCCGCAGTGCCGCCAGGTCGGGGTGCTGATAGTGCTTCGAATGCCGCCCTCGAGCAACTCGAACGGCCTTTGCCGTTGCGGTTGCACAGAATGACTCGTGGAGTACAGAGAAGCTAAGCCATGCCAAAGGGCTGGCAACGAATCAGAGGCCTTGGGGACATATTGGATGTAACCCTGCTGGACTGGGATAATAGCGAGTGCTGTTATTTATCCGCAGGATGCCCCTGCCGCGTCGAAACTGGTGGAAATAGTATGGGACGACGACCTGAACGCTCTGTGCCTCTCTAGCGGGATCCCCTCGTTCTAATCATGAGGTCGAGGTGTCATGTCGGAGGTGTGCACATGTGCAACAGAACAACTCGACGGTAGGGCGCTGGGGCGATGTAAGCGTCTCGTCTCACCGTATACTGCAGTTTGCGACCTTCGACAGCGCATCTGGAAGTTTCGTAGCCGCCCGAGCAGAATGCACTAGGTAAAGAACGTTGCACAGGGAGCCGAGTAGACAAACTCTCAGAGCCTACCAGGCAGACTGGCGCTCTGACAGCATATTGAAGTCTTGTCTGAGGTGAACATCATAAGGCCCCAATCGATCCTGGGGGCGCAAACCAGGTTCGCCTCCTCCACAACGAAGGGGACGAGCGACCGTGCAGACAAGCGAATTTGCCTCTGTCTTATACGGGTCAACGAGGGGGCTGTGTTAGCTGTTGGCAGTCGAGGGTGGGATGGAGGGAGACGGAGAGCTGTAATTACCTTACGATAAGAGAGATCAGAGCAGGTGCAAACAGCCGCCTCTCTCAAAGCCGGGACATGGCTTTCAATATTCTGGACTACTAAACGGCAAATGCAGTCAGTGAGATATCAGTAATTGGCTCTTCCCCTCATTTTGACGCTCTCGGACCCGTCCACCGTCGTCATCCAGATTACCGTTGTCTGTACGGAGAGAGCCCACCCGGCCTGGAGAGCCCGGAGGTACAGCGGCCTCGCCCCATCGTTCTCCTCCCTCTCCTCAATCAATCTCGCTCTGCCTCGTTTCTCCTCTCCTTCTGTCTCCGGCTCCTCCTCCGTTTCGAATTTCTGTCCTAATCTTCTCCCGCCTGGAACTCTTGCTCAGACTCAATCTCGCTCCTTCCTCGCTTCCTCAGTCGATCGGCCTATCGTCGTTGGATTCCGCCCTCTCGTTTCCGCCCCATATTCTTCCGTTCGCTCGCCCACTTCCCCAACCTTTGCTCGCCTAGTTCGTGAAATTCGTACACTGCTCGGGCTTCTCTTTGTCAGCCTCGGTCTCAACCTTGCCGTGTATCGCCCAATTCCTTGCGCCGCTTCCTCGACTCCTTCCTCCGCTTAGCCTCCAGCCGTCGCATACTTGAGCCGCCTGCAGGTTATCTAGGCAGCACTTGCACTGTTCAGCGAACTGGGTAGCGGCTTCTTTTCCCGCGCCGTCGCCAAATGACGGCGGTCACTACAAATCAAGAGAACCGGCGATAATCATGGGGTCGTTTTTGAGGACTTTCCGGAAAGATGCGGTAAGTGCATGTCCATGGCCGCCCTCGAGGCCTCGCCTATTTTTCCCTCTGCCCAGCCCTTGGTTCATTCGTTATCCACCGAGTGCGGTAGACCTGCTTCTCAGAACTCTCGGATGCGACGGGGGCTACGTATAGCTTGGATCCGGGTCCATCGCTGTCCTACTCGAGCAATGCTAATTCTCCGCTAGGGATCCGCCGCACCTTCAATTGGGGTACCTGCCCCAAAGAAGGAGCTCCAACCGCCTCCGATGACCCCGTTAGAGAAGATGCTTACTGAGCTTGGTCCTATCCGAGGGGATGGTAGTGACAAGTTCTTTGGAATGGAAAACGTAAGCGTCTATTAGAGTTTCCGCCTTGAGCCTTTACTGATCTCGCTCATAACAGTTCGGAAACACTTGGTAAGTGGCTACTTTGTAGTCGCGGCTCCTACATATCACTAACGAGCTATGGCAGTTATTGTAACTCGATACTGCAGTGTCTATATTATTCTGTCCCTTTCCGAGAAGCCGTTCTCAACTATCCCAAGCGAACACCAATCGAAGACTTAGAAACAGCACTCGCAAAGGCCCTGCGTTACCAGGATCCGAATGCACGCCAGGAAGCAGAGGCGTTAGCCGAGAAGCAGAAAGCCGCCAATTCCCCGCGGCCTGGCCAGCCTCCAAATCCCCAGCAAAAGCCAGAAGATAAAGATTCCCCGGAGTACAAGAAGAAGGTAGCTCTGCAGACGCTTCCTCTCCTCGAGACTGCCGATAATTCACCGAGCTACGGTATATCGGAATCATTATTTTCTTCGCTCAAGGACATATTTGAATCGGTCGTTGGGAGTCAATCGCGTATAGGAATAATCCGGCCGCAACATTTCTTGGAGGTGCTCCGTCGCGAAAATGAGATGTTCCGGACAGCCATGCATCAAGACGCTCACGAATTCCTCAACCTCTTGTTGAATGAAGTTGTTGTGGACGTGGAAAAAGCCGCAGCAAAACTACTGGAAAATCCCCTTCCTGGGAGTGAGGTTTCAGACGCCCTCATACCCTCGTCTAGCTCCGGTTCCAGAACGCCAAACACGACGCGGTGGGTTCACGAATTGTTCGAGGGTCTTCTGACCTCTGAAACACAATGTCTCACTTGTGAGAAGACGTCGCAGCGCGATGAAGTCTTTCTAGATCTTTCGGTGGATCTCGAGCAGCATTCTTCGGTTACTTCATGCTTGAGGAAGTTCTCGGCGGAGGAGATGCTATGTGAGAGAAACAAGTTTCATTGCGACAATTGTGGTGGACTCCAAGAAGCAGAGAAGAGGATGAAGATCAAGCGTTTGCCCCGAATCTTGGCTTTGCACCTCAAGCGTTTCAAGTATACTGAAGATCTTCAACGACTCCAGAAACTCTTCCATAGAGTTGTTTACCCATACCACCTCCGCCTCTTTAATACGACGGATGACGCCGAAGACCCCGATCGCCTTTACGAGTTGTACGCGGTTGTCGTGCATATTGGCGGTGGGCCATATCATGGGCACTATGTTTCTATCATCAAAACTGAGGATAGAGGGTGGCTGCTTTTTGATGATGAAATGGTAGAACCTGTGGATAAGAGCTATGTGCGCAACTTCTTCGGCGACAAGCCGGGCTTGGCCTGCGCATATGTGCTGTTTTACCAGGAGACAACTATGGAGGCAGTGATGAAGGAACAGGAGCAGGAGAACATGGAGCCGCCCGTGGAAGTGAATGCTTCCACCCTTAAGCAGAACGGTTTTGCGAGCTCGGCCACACTTGCTCACGCTCAAAGTGCCTCTCAGTTCCCAACTTATGAAGAGCATGACCGCTTTACGGGCTTGAAGCGAGCCCCAACCGCACCCCAGCTATCAACACATCTTGAACACACTACCACGGACTCGGAAAGCCTACCCTCTCCGGCTCCCGTCTCTACGCCTCTTACTTCATTGCCTCCTATACCACCAATTCCTGAGACACCCCCAACCCCGCTAACATCTCGAAAGAGCGATTTACAATCCAAAAAAGAACGAGTCAAAGAGGAGAAAGAGCGAGAGAAAGAGCGGAAGGCCGCCGAGAAAGACTTGGAGAAACAGCGTCGAAAAGAGATAGAGACAAGGTTCAAAGAGAGGCAACGACGCGAAGACGACGAGTTGAAGGCAGCTCTTGAAGCAAGCAAGGCAACGAAAGAAGACGAGGATCGACGCAATCACACCGAGAATGGTTCAACCAAGAGGGCAGCCGGCGGTCTTGGTCGATTCAGAAGTCTTAGCCAGCGATTAAGCAGCAAAGAAAGTCGGACATCTCTGTCCAAAATACCACCGCTGCCAAACGGAAACCACGCCTTAAGCAAAGTCCCAGATGAGCCTGAGCAAGATCACCCAATGTCACCAGCGCCGTCTGAGCCCCCATCACGACCAGCATCACAGCCATTGAACGACCATCTCATACGTTCTCCAAGGGCTGAGAGCCCTGCAGTATCATCGAGCGAACAAGAACCCATCAAGCACTCAAAACACGAACGATCGAGTCATGGCAAGTGGCGAAGTTTCAGTCTTAGAAAGAAGTCATTCAATATTCTCTCATCATGAGCCTCGGTCGTTTCTCTCCAGCCTGGCCCCTCCCCATTTTCCCCTCCTCCTGTGCACATACCATACGCCGCCGTACATATATTCTTGATGTATCATCAGTTTTCCTTCCTTTCTCTTCACAGCTGGATTTGAGCACCCATAGCAAGGCCTGCTGTGGTAGCTGTCCGGTTCATGTGTTACTTCCCTCCCTTTTTCTTGGACATGGGTTGCATCTACTTCATCTCGCGGCATTTGACTCGCATATTGATCTAGCAGATCTTCGTTAAGGTTACTTTCGTTTCTTTCATCTTCCTCTTGATCCATCTATTTGTGATATCCGTGTCTGGGTCACACAGCTCGGCGAATATGGCGTTTGGGACAATTTCCATCTTTTCCTACCGCTTTTCTTGGTTGTCTCTTCGAATTCATGCTCGCAAGCTTTTATTCATGAAGTTATGGAGGCATGCTACATTACAGTACCTACCAGCTCGATTGTCTGGACCAGGGAAAAGATATCATTGTTATACTCATGAGAAGCAAAAGAGTTACATCAGACTGTACATTTCAGAGGCTAAAACTCATATGGAGTACATGCCGCATTCTGCGTTTCTGGTTACCTTATCACCTTCCTTCAGCTTGGGGATGTAATGTGGGTAGGGAAGACGGTGTACAACCAAGACTGAAAACATATGGTTACTTGCATTTACGAGTGTCCTTTTAATAAGTCTAGTTCATAGCTCAGATCAGACAGAAATATAATGAAGACGTTCATAATCATATCATAATACATCCAGATAATGCGCTAAGAACAGATAGTATGGAGAAGATTATGGACCACCGCGTCATGGCACGTCGCAAGACTACTTGGCTTGCCCATTCCCAGCTTTAACGGCACCTCTAGGAAAGCTCTACTCGTATCCCGGCAGTAAGGCGACATTCGTCGCGTAAGCAGATGCCTCTTTTCTCCGGCTTTGGTGCCCCCATCCCCATCCCCATCCCACAAATGCGCAACGAACCCAAAATAGCTTTGGCGGCAGCCATTCGATGCAATGGAGAATGACGCAGATGTGTCAGTAATTATACAGTGTAATGCGATGCGCTAGTTTTGTTCCTCGTCTCGTCTATCCATTGCGGCGAATGGCGAGAATATGAATATCAAACACAAAAAGGAGAAAGCGATGATGGCGTGTCGAATGGGTATTTCTCGATCATCCGAGGATAAGTTCGTAGACGATGATTATCGTATTGATCACGATTAGGGGTACTGAATTGTTTTCCACGTGTTAGCTTCTCATGCATGTTCCCGGCCATAGGTAGCGGATCGCAAGAGGCCCCTCATATTCCCCCTCAACGAGATAAGAGAGCTAGGGAGTAGAACTAGTGGTATAAGAGAGATAAATCACGTACTCCGCATCACAGTCCGCACACTGGCGATCAAGTTTATTGTCTTCGCTTTCACGCTCGTGCTGTCGTATGTAGCGCCGAAGGCAGGGTCGGCTGCTTGTCGGCCCCATCCGACTAAGAGAAGAAATCATTAGTGTCGGCAATCGAGTATGTCTTGTAGAGGAAATTATGCGTACTCCGTGCGAGGAAGCGGTCTTCGGAGAGGATTGCGATGGAGTTGGTTATGAGGATTATTACTGCGGAGAAGAGCGTATTAGTTGCGGGCCTCGATTAATGGGGAGAGCGAGTGGTCGCGAACCGTAGACGAGTCTTCCGAGGCCGAAGAACGACATTGTGAATGTGATTGTATGTTTCGAACTTGTCGTGGGTTGTTGGAAGGGAGAGAGGTGAGTCTGGTGGGCTAGATCGGAGGAGGTGATGGTGAAGCTGCCAGATCGACTTGACTGACGGCATACCTACTTCCGAGAGGGCTCCGCTCGGACTTTCTTACAACCATCAACAACTGCGTTGTCCGCGGCGCACAATGTTGCGGGATGCTGGTAAAGTTGTTAATTACTCTACTTGGTTCATGCGAATACTAATTCATGTCCAGGATACCTGTTGCTGCTCGCTTCTATCCCGGCGCTGGTCCTCCTGCATCTGACGATCGCTCCATACACCAAAGTAGAGGAATCGTTTCACATTCAGGCCATCCACGACATCGAAACGTATGGGATCCCTACGCGCAATGTCAAGGATACCCTACAGGCCGAGTACGACCATTTTACATTCCCCGGGGCTGTTCCTCGGACGTTCGCCGGTGCTATCGCTCTCTCCGGGCTTTCGTCGCCGATTATCTGGTTGAAGCATGATATTGACCGGCAGTTCGTAGGTAGGTGGCTTTCGAGAAGGATTTACCCTTGATTACTTACTGACTGATGTTGCGCATTAGCTCGGGCAATTTTAGGCTTGTTCAATGCTCTCTCACTCCTCTACTTTGCGAGCGGCTTGCGACGCGCGGCCGGGAAGACCGCCGCTGTCTGGTACCTCTTGTTCCAGGCCAGCCAATTCCATGTTCTATTTTACGCATCGCGGACGTTGTCCAATATGTTCGCCTTTAGCATGACTACATTTGCTCTGGCATCTCTTCTTCCAGAGCCCGTGAGCTTAACCACATACCGCAAGCGGGGCAAGATAGCCCTATACCTCATCACAATCGCGGGCATCGTCTTCCGCGCTGAACTGGCGCTCTTCCTGGCAACGCATACTCTCTTCCTTCTTGCGACAGGCCGCATCAGTATTCAGCGTGAAATTATTCCTGCGGGCATTTTGGGTCTCCTCCTCGGCCTATCCATAACCCTGCCCGTCGACTCTTTCTTCTGGCAGAAGTACCCCCTTTGGCCAGAGCTCGCAGCGTTCAAGTTCAATGTCGTCGCTGGTCAGGCATCAGAATGGGGCACACACTCATGGCATTACTACTTCACTAATGCTCTGCCGCGTCTCCTGATGAACCCCCTAACCTACCTCATCGGTATCCCCGTATCCCTCCTCCAACCCGCGACCCGGCGCATAGCCGCATCAATCCTCGTCCCGTCGTTCGCCTACATCGCCATCTACTCCGCGCAGCCTCACAAGGAATGGCGCTTCATCGTCTACGCAATCCCACCCTTAACGGCCACCGCGGCCATCGGCACCTCCTACATCTGGACGCACAGGACTAAGTCCCTCATCTACCGTTTCCTGTCCCTGGGAATGATTATAGCAACCCTGGCCTCATTCATACTCTCATCATTCGTCCTCCTCCCAGCCTCGTCAGCAAACTACCCCGGCGCACATGCCCTCAACACCCTCCACGATTATGTCCTCAGCGCAGCACCCAAAACAGCAGACAAACCAGTCCCCATCTCCGTACATCTAGGGAATCTCGCCTGCCAAACAGGCGTGACCCGCTTCCTCCAACTCCCCAACAACCAGTACAATATGTCCGATCTTCCAGTATCATTTACATACGACAAATCCCCATCCCCATCATCCCTCACCGCAAAACAAACCTTCTGGTCCCGCTTCGACTACGTCCTCCTCGAACCAGCCGAAGCAGAATCCCTCCTTTCGCTCTCCGGTTCGTCGACCGAGTACGCTCATTCGCAGAGCTACGCATGGGAAACCGTAGACTCAGTGACGGGGTTTGCGGGACTGCGCGTTGTTAAGCCTGGTGAAGAAGCGAGGGGGGATATTGAGGAAAAGATTCTGGTTTGGGTCTTTGGAGTAAATGCGAGTGAATGGGGCATTTTGGGCCTTTGGAGAGGCCTCAAGGAGGAGCTTAGGAGCAGGGTTACGAGGGGTTGGTGGGTTGAGATCCGGATGGAGGAGAGAATTAGGATCTTGGAGAGGGTGCGGTAGGTTGTGGTAATTGGGTTTTTGTTTCTTTTGCGCTGCACTGAGTAGCACGCTTCAATAGCATTACTTCCATGTAAATATGTAGCAGTACCAGGAACGACCTGCATTTCTCTTTCTGCCACATTACTGTAATCTATCACTGGGTATCCGCGTCAATTATGCTATGCTATATTAATTCAATTTCCGCTCTCCAGCTTCTCCATCCTCTTCTCGAGATCCCTAACCCAGGGCTCAACGAGCTCAATGTTACTCTTCAGCGCTGCCTCGCCCTGGCCCATCTTCTCCTCGACAGCCTTCAGGCCCTCCCGCCACTGCTCAATCTCACTCGCCATATCAGCCTGGCGCTTCTCCAGCTCGTCCAGCGATTCAGAGGCTTGAGCGGCCCCTGCGTGGATAGCGCGGAGGGAGCGTAGACGCTCAAGAACACTGGGGAGAATCGGGTGAAGGGATTGAATGGTTGGAAGTGTGGCGTATAGAGCCTGGATCTTTGTAGCTTGTTCGTCACGCTGAGCGGCTTGCTCGGGCTCAATGGGTGATGAGAAGTCAGATGCTGTGCGGTGGCGGGAGGTCTGGGCGGCCTTCGCTGAGTCAAGGGCGCGCTTGCGGGCTGATGCTAGGGCCTCGGCGTCTGTTGTGAGTTTCCTGACCCGGGTGGAGAGCATTTCGAGGTGTGGTGTTGTGACGGTTGTTGAGGCGGCGGCAGAGGTGGTCGGCACAGCGGGGATAGGGCTCGGTCCGACGAGGAGAGTCATGAGGGTTGAGAGGCGGGAGGTGAGGTGGTCGAGAGCTGGGAGAACTGGTTGAAGGGGAGGATCTGAGGATGCTTCGGAGATGAAGGGGTTCGAGGAGGTGGATATGCCCATTGCGGATTCAATGAGAGCAAGTCGGGTGTCGAAGCTTGCGGCGTGGGAAAGGATGCCGGCGGCGGGTGCGGCAGTTTCAGCCTCATTGCTTGCGGCTTTGGTCTGAACTGCATCGGCTTCAGATACCTGTGTTGAGGGGGCTGATGCAAGCTTCTGGGATAACAAAGCGGCTGCTGAATGAAGCTGGGATGCACCCCGTGATGAGGCGTAGAGGTTATCCAGTGCCTGACTGAGCTTCTCAACACCGTCATCTAGCGTTTTCTTCGCCTCATCAGGGGCAGTGTCGGACTCCATCGTCTCCGGTCTCTGGGACGCCGCCATCTCATCCTTCAGTTCCTCCACCTCGCGCTGTAGTCGCGCCAGTTTTCTTTCCAGGCTCTCGGTCTCGCCATCGCTGTCTTCGCCATCCGCAAGTTGGCTCCTTCGCTGCTTACTCTTGCTCCGGTATGACTTTCGTTTCGTAGCGATGCTGTCTGAGAAGTTCACGTGGCGGGCGTCGACCGTAGCTCCGAGAAAATGATTGCGCGCTTCGTCCGCATTGACAGGGTCCCGGTCAATATCGGGATCGGAACCAGCGTCGCCCGCATTTGATGCTGTGCGAATCGTCGCTGTCTGCGCTGATATCAGAAAATGGTCTCAATTGGAAGGCTGGTGCAGTTTTAAATACCGGGACGGTGGAGGCTTCGTCTGTTAGATCGGGGGTCTCGTAAATATCGGGAGCGAGGTCCTGGGCAGGTTAGCCGGAGCTGGTCAACGAGGATTGATTAATTCAGAGGCGTACCAGGTCCGGAAGACCGGCATATTTCTTATTGAAAGCCATGGCTCAAGCAATGGGGGATGTTGTTTCGTTGTAGCGGTGTTTGGTTGTTTGGTCTCTTACTCCAGACCACGTGAAAGGGGAAGTTCGATGCCTTGGTGCCTGGGGCCAGTGACTCCACTCTCGGATGAGGGGTCGCAGTGGCACAGCTACCTTCCATAGGTACACAGCACTTTATAGACTAAAATCTTCTAAACATACACGCTGCTCAAGTGGTAGAACCTTGTTCTGTTACACTGGCGCTACTCTTGATAGCTATCACATGCAGTCAGCGAGGTTCATTCTGTCCCAACAAGCAATCTACTACGGAGCATCTGCGTGTATACAAACCCAAGAGAATTATACTCACTTGCTTAGCAGACTCGTGTATGTCGAACTTTCTATGGATTTGGTCTAAGCACTACACTCGATTGAAGCTTCCTTAAAACGTTGATTAAAGGTCAGGGTATGGGGACCACATGCACGCCCGACCAGCCTGCCTCGGTCTCGAAGCGGCGGGATCTTCGTCCTAACCTCAGAACAAGCGGAGTAACAAGATCAACAACTGCGGAGACGTAATCACATTCGCCGACCACTGTTACTTGATCCCTGTGCGCGACGTGAAACTGCAAGGATACACCTAGCTCAGACACCGGGGCATATAAAGCAAGCTCACCGACCAGTTCCGCTTGACTGACAATTGTGACACTGATTCCCCTCCCCCACTTCGATATTCGGACTCCCCTTCGACGTACATACCACGACATCCAGCTCTCCTTATCCCAACTGCACCTTCCAGTCAGCTCTCATTCAGGCTGTCAAGATGGCTACCCCCAAGGATATTACCTTCGAAAACTACAATGGCAGCTGGTCAATGGTACGTTGACCTCCGGATCCGCCGTCGCTCCCCGCTGCCCCCGAATTACACTACACTACCCCCCAAAGCATCGACATGAATAACTGCAAATACTGACAATGCCATAACAGGACCGCACCATCTCCGACCCTACCGACCCTGTCCTTGCCATGGTACGCCTCTCCCTCCCACCCGACCACGCCCCTCTACTAACCCCCAACCAGCAAGGCCTAAGCTGGTTCATGCGCACAACCCTCGCCTGGGTAACCGTCACGCTAAACACAAAGCAATACCCGGACCCCGAGCACCCAACCGACAAAACAATCCAGCACATTGACGTCGAGAACGTCGTGACGCGCGGACTGCAGGGGACCAGCGAAGCGCGCGTAACAGACTGGAAGCGCCGCGAGCACAGCGACGCGATCTTCGGCACAGTCAAGGGCCAGTCGCGGTTCATCCGCGGGTCTGCAAAAGACGGCGGTAAAGTGAGGCCCGACGTGGAGGTGCAGACTAAGATCCAGGACGAGAAGATCGGGCGCTTTTTGCGCGGTGAGATTACGGAGAATGGGAGTGAGGTTGAGGGGTTCTTGGTTGATTCTGTTGGGGAGGGGTTTGGGGAGGGGGAGGGCCTTTGGTTGCAGAGTTGGGTGGAGAGTGTGGATTCGACCTGGACGGCTGAGCAGGTATTCATTCCATCTTTCTTGTGATGTTGGTGTTGATGAGGTGTTGTGGCTAATCTGTTTTCTAGGTTTGGGGCTTCGAGACAATTAATGGCGAGCGCTATCATACACGTCGGGTAGTCTGTGCCAACAACGGGGAGTACGTCCTGGCCAGGCTTGTGTACACTTTTGTTCCTCTACGGGACGACGAGGAGGACATGGCTTACTAGATTGGGACGGTTCAATATCTATAGCGTAGATAGAAGCACCCTCTAGAAGGCGAAATCTGATGGAGTTGTACCCGGTTAGAAAATGCAACAGTTATTCACAATGGGAAAGACAGAAGTCATATAATAAATTAAATCATGGTATTCGCCAACAATAACTACAAATAGAGTATATAACAGAAGCAATCCAATCATCATCATCAGAACCGAAACCGAATCACTTAAACTTATCATTCGTCAACTTTTTAGCTTAAGAATGAGTAGGCATCACAACATGAGCCTTGGTGCTGACAGCATCCTCAGCGCGCCACAAGCTCGTCACGGTCTTCTGCTGAGTGTAGAACTGAAGACCAGGCTTGCCGTAGAAAGTGTTGGCACCACCACCAGCAATACTCTTCTTGTTACCGGTGAAAGAAAACATGGGCAGCGGGACGGGGATGGGGACGTTGATGCCGACCTGGCCGGCTTCAATATCCTTCTGAAACTTGGAGGCCGTGGGGCCAGAGCGGGTGAAAATAGCGGCACCGTTTCCGTATTCGTTCTTGTTAATGAGCTCGATGGCGTCGTCGAGAGTCTCGACTTCCAGGCAGACAAGGACAGGGCCGAAGATCTCCTGCTTGTAGCACTTCATCTCGGGAGTGACACCGGTGATAATGGTAGGACCGACGAAGTTGCCGTTAGGGTACTTCTCGGGCTTGTAGCCTCTTCCGTCAAGGAGGATAGTGGCGCCCTCCTCTTCAGCGCTGGCGATCAGGTCCTCGATACGCTTCTTGCTCTCGGGGCTGATGACAGGGCCAAGGTCTGCACCCTCTTCGAAGCCTCCGTTGACGTTCAGGGCCTTGGCGCGCTCTGCCATCTCAGGAAGCCACTCCTTGGTCTCGCCGACTGTGACGAGTGTGCTGAGCGCCATGCAACGCTGACCAGCAGCACCGAAGGCAGCCCCAACAATGGCATTGAGTGTCTGGTTCTTGTTTGCGTCGGGAAGCACGGCGGCGTGGTTCTTGGCACCTAGGTTGGCCTGTACACGCTTGCCATTGGCGGATCCACGGCTGTAAATGTACTCTCCAGCACGATTACCACCGACGAAGCTGATGGCCTTGATCTCAGGAGCGTCGAGGATGAAGTCGACTGTCTTGGCAGATCCGTGGATGATGTTGATAACACCAGGAGGAAAGCCTGCTTCCTTGGCAAGCTCAGCGAGGATCATGGCTGCTCCAGGGTCACGCTCGGAAGGCTTCATGACCAGGGTGTTTCCGGTGATGGTAGCAACAGGGATACACCAGAGAGGAATCATGGCAGGAAAGTCTGTACACTCGTTAGTGCCTACCACCAGAAGACGATAATCAGAAACATACTAAAAGGGCAGATAGCAGCAACAACTCCAAGGGGCTCCCTGTAGCTCCTAGTCTCCATGTCCTTTGCGACTTCCAGCACTTCACCGGTGATCTGGGTGGTAATACCACACGCAGTCTCAGCGACCTGCAGACCACGAAGGACATCACCCTTGGCATCCGCAAAGGTCTTGCCCTGCTCGAGAGTGATCGACGCAGCCAGACGATCCCAGTGAGCACGAATCAAGTTGACAAACTTGAACATAATCTGCTGCCTAGCCATGATACTTGTAGCCCTCCATGCTGGGAAAGCCTTTTGGGCGGACTCGACAGCAGCGCGGAGTTCCTCATCGGTACTCTGGGGCACACGAGTGACGAGATTGTTGGTGGCTGGGTCATACAGATCGATCCAGGTGCTCGCCTTGGAAGGCAAGAACTCATTGTCAAGGAAGTTGGTAGTATCGATTGGGTTGGTAATGGCCTCATGGCTCGTCGGGTATTCGGTGGCGGTGCTAGCCGCGGATGTAGTTGCGGGGGCGAGTTGTTGAGCAGTAGCGTGAAGTCTGCGTCGGGCAGCCATGGAGCCGACTGATGGTGTTTGTGATGCTAGCGAGCGAGAGGAAGACAGGGAAGAGGTTGAAAGAGAGCGCGATGCGGACGCTGCAGCAGCCCTGGCGGGTGAGATGCCGGCCACCGTCGTGCGGGGAGACGCAGCGCGGAGAGCGGGGATGGACCGGGTAAGAGACCGACGGGCGGCCATGGTGAAAGACAGGGAAAGGGGAGACGTGAGTGAATCGAGAGGAGACGTGAGATGGTCTTCAAAATGGAAAGAGGCCGGAAGAGAACAACGGAAGTCCTGGTAAGAAGCTTGAAGGGGGATGGGATGGCAACGACGGTCAAGGGAGAGTTATATGTGCCTGTGTCGCGGTACGTTATCCGACGGTATCCCCAGCCCGAGGGAAACCACTTGATTTGATAAGAATCTCGGCGATTGCAGCCAATCACAGCATTGATTGCTTTAGGAAGGCGATTCCTCACAATCATTACCCCGGAATCAGTCACTGGTCAAGCCCTCTGGCGGCGTCTGGCCTCTCAGATACATGGTCGGAATTTTGAGAATCTGGTGCCCATAATCCGATGACCAGGGCTGAGCTTGTCTACTCTGGTTCCTTTGCCTCCTAATCCGATGTGTCAATGGGGTTCATCTCTCGGTCGAAAGCCAATCTCCAAGTTGGGGTAACCCCGATATCGCATATCGCTCTGGGAATCTTGAGGACACTGACACACTCTATAAAACTCCTAACCAACAGATCTGAACTTCGCCCTGGAACAAGACGCCAAGTCAGCACAAATACAACCCCGGTCATACAGCAAAGTGTGGTTACATTTCTCCGAGTACCCCTAAGCCAAGTATACGGATGTGCTTGTCGGTACTCCATGCATCCCGACTCTCGTCGACGATCTTCATCAAATCTTCAGTTGCATCGTGACACGATAGACGTTTGATTGCTAATTTGATGGCTAGTGCTAAATCACTAATAAGGTATCTGCGTTGGTCTGGTCCCAGGATGCAGTCGAAAGCCGGAAGCTCGCTGATCAAAATTCATGGTACATATAATTCATTCTCATAGAAATATCATGTGGAGGGGGCAGAATCTTTGAAAGATACTGCAACAGCTATGAGCAGGAGGGGGGAATAAATGCTTGTTATGCATGCCGTGCCTAAAGTTTTTTGTCTGCCATAGTAGGCATTTTCCTCGTGCAACGATCTTACTCCGCAGACGATCGGGTGTTGCGCTTAGTGGCTCCGCCCTTGACAGTTTCCGCGGCGGAACTGACAGCCTCACTGGCCTTCTCCTTGGTAGCCTTGGCGGCCTCCTTACCCTTCTTGACAGGGGCAGGGGCGGGGCTGCTGGCTCCAATGGCGCCAACAATGATGAGGATCATGGTCACAAGAAGGGCACCCAGGCCACCGGCAACTTCAGGGACCTGCTTGACAGCGTTGATAGGGTCTTCCTTGGCAAGCCCAACGAACTGGTCAACCTTCTCACGGACAAAGGTGACGGGGTCCTCCTTGAAGCTAACGGTAGTGCCAGCCGGCTTGTCCTCCTTCTTGGGCTTCGAAGCTTCCTCCTCAGCCTCCTCGATGGGGCGCTTGACGTCAAAGGTCTCCTTGCGGAGCTTCTCAGCATCCTCAACGGAGTGTCCAATGTAGATGTTGTCGAACAGAATGTCGTTCTGCATGGTCCAGATCTCAAAGCCAATCTAGGAGAGTTAGTAGTGCTCTTTGAAGCCAGGGGAAGAGGGGTCGTACAGCGCCAAGGGGCTCGAAGTTAGAGGGGGTCTTGTCCTCAAAGTACTCAGGGTTGGCGATCTTGCGGGGAGCCCAGGGTCCCTTGTAGGCAGGGTTGTCAATCAGAGGCGCAGTCCACTTGCCCTTGTAGGCAGGGTTCTTGATCATGGGAGGAGACCAGGGGCCACATCCGGAGGCTTCGCTGCACTTGGGGTTGGGGACAGTTGGGGGAATCCAGTCACCGTCTTCCTCATCATCCCAGTCCTCGGGCTTCTCGGCCTCGGGGTCAGGAATGCTGTTGGGCTCATCCTCCAGCCAGTCATCAGGCTTTTCGGCAGCCTCGTCAACAATTTCGAAGGGAGCCTCCTCATCCCAGTCTTCGGGCTTGGTGGCTTCAGGGTCGGGGATCTTGGCCTCGTCGACCCAGGTGTCGGGCTTCTTGTCCTTGGGGTCATCAATCTCCTTCTCGGGGTTGACGGCGGGGGTGAAGTCCTCAAGAAGAGTGCCGTTCTTAACGGCAGAGCCGTCAATGAGGATCTGGAAGGACTGGTCGGGGCGGACGATAAGGGTGTAAAGAGAGCTGAGCTTGCTGGTACGGGCAGCAGGAGGAGCCTTCAGGTGCTTCTCCTCGTATTCGCCGGTCTTGGGGTTCTTGTGGCGGAAGATGAAGTGGACCTGTAAACAGTAAGCAGATGTCAACGGACAGGTGAAACACTGATCGTACCTTGTTGGTAGCACCGCACTTGTCGGGACCAAACATGATCACGTAGGGAGTAGTGTTGGAGAACTCCTCAGACAGAGCCTTCTTGTTGTCCTGAAGGAGCTTCATGTAGGCACCACCGCAGACCAGGGAGTCTTTTGAGGATAGTATTAGCACCGCGTTGGCCTCAAATTAGAGGAAGAATACTCACTTTGCGGCTTGACCTCATACTGGACAACGAGAGTCTTGTCCTTGTTGTCGATCTTCTTGGGGAACTTGGAGGAGATGGCGTGGTGGGCCGCAACGTTCTTGACAACCAGACCCTTGTCTCCTTCGATACCTTTGAAGACAGATGGTTCCTCAACGGACCATTCACCAACGTAGGCCCAGTCCTCCTCCGACTTGGAGTCTTCCTTCTTGGCGTGCGAAGGAGTCCATCGCGATTGCCAGTCGTCCGTGAATTGTTCTAGGAAGGGAGCCTCAAGGCTTGTGGGCTATAAGGGACGAAAGTCAGCAAACGGGGAACATCAAGCCAACAAACACAGAGAGAACTGACCGTGAAAGTAGGTCTCTCCACGACCGAGGAAGCATCAGCAGCAGATTCCTCCTCGGCATGGGCGTAGCCCATAAGAGAGGCCGAGGAGACCAAGGCGGAAGTAAGAGCTGTGTTGAGACGCATGGTGAAAGGCAGAAAACAAACAAGCAAGCGTTCGGCAATTGGCCCTCCGTGGAGGTAAAGGAAGGGCGGCTTCAAGTCGAGCTGGAACAGCGCAGAAGAGGACAAAGGGAGAAAGGAAGAGAGAGGTTGGGGAGAGAACCGCAGTCAGTCATATAAAGCAATGAAGCTGTTAAGTTCAAGGTGGCCTCTTCCCGCCGCCTTCCGCTCAATCGGGTTAGTGCAGCTTCTCCAATGTTCTGTCGGCACGGGCTAGACATTCACCTATTGTTCCGAACTCCGCCAAGGGTACGGAGTACAACTGTGATTGTCTTCTTGTGCTATCACTAATATGCTACTCTGATCTTGCCTACAACATAAAACTACCTACCTTCACGAAAATGGTTCTCAATGGCTGGTGCTGTGAAAGCTGGGGAAAGGTCATGGAGTAGATTACGGGGAAAGCTCAGGCGACTGGTCTCGACTTTTGTTTTGATTAGAACAACCTCACGGTTCATATCATTGATGCTGGTCCACAGTTTCCTTGGTTGTTTTCCTTTCAATGACCCCGCTATCAGACTACCAGCTTCAGCAGGTACGGAGTATAGGTTTACATATCGTTCTTTGCGGGCATAAAAACGGCATAATTGCATCATACAGCAAACTACAGCCAATTAATTGATTAGAGCGACATGCTTGATTAACCAGAGAACAAGAGAGGTGCAAGAACGGAGCATTCCAATTGGTCTGGCTGATAATGTTAAGGCGACAAGTGGGGTCTCCGATTTGCAATCGCGGATAATTTTTATAGCGGCATTTGTACGTAGGTCCCGTCATTTTTGGGGCGCAGGCTTTAATGCCGGGAGTAATGCGCGTGGCGCGGAAGGCTAACCTGGCCAAATTAGGAAATAGGGCGTAGCTCTATTTCTCTATAGAATAAGGCCTTTAATAGGAAGGCGTTGTATATCTATAGTAAGAACTAATTACTAATTCTCTAAGTCAGAGTTCTAAGTTGAACTTGGTGTTTTATGCGTTATGTGACTGGCCGCCGCCTTGGCGCGGGGCTAGTTCGGCGCCGAAGTCTCTTTGTGAGGCGGCCTTAGGCCACTATGCGTCATGTGACTGGCCGCCGTACCCTGGCCTAATTAGGAAATAGGGCATAGCTTTATTTCTTTGCAGAATAAGGCCTTTAAGTAGTATTTAAGAATTCTAGAACTAAGGGGGCTGCGCCCCCTTAAACCCCCCTAGCTCTGCGAGGCAGATATATATATTTATGGCAGAGCTGGGAAAGAAAACGCGGTAAGAAGAGATCATGTGATTACCGTCGCGAAGTTGGAGCGGTGAGAAGGTCATGTGATTGCCTTTTTTTCTGGCCAATCAGCTTCATTCCTTTTGGCCAATCAGCGTCATTCTGCCGTTTTACATGATCCCTAATAAAGCTCACGTGACTGGGAGCCGGGACCTACGATTATCATGCGCTTAGGCCTCCACTTCGTTTCGGCCACGCGCAATAACCCCTCCATCCCTCATCCTCCGGTTGACTCTCATATTATTCTCTTTTCATTCGCTCCCGTGTCTGGAGCAAGGCGCAGAGCCATAAAACTTCAAAGAGCTCTCGCTGCAAGTGACAGTCATCTTAATTCACGGTAACCTACTACACCCATAACCTCTGCAATCCGCCATCGCATCACGATGTGTCAAGACATCCAGCATCAGAACAATGACCATCTGGTCCAGTCCAACGATCCAGAGCACCCGTCCAACCTCATCCCTGAGCTTTGCCGAAAGTTCTACAACTGGGGCTGGGTTACTGGTACTGGCGGTGGTGTGAGTACCTGTCGCATTCCGCATGCGCCTTGGTTACCTTTCCAACTCATCGGGCTGACTATCTCGACTAGACCTCAATTCGCCATGGAGAGCACGTCTTCATTGCCCCTTCTGGTGTTCAAAAGGAGTTGATGCAACCTCACAACATCTTCGTCCTGCAGTACCCCACCCCCAAGTATCCTCCCTCTGAGCGCAAGTACATCCGCAAGCCTCTCGATCTGAAGCCCTCCGCCTGCACCCCGCTGTTCCTAGCTGCATTTGAGCGCGGCGCGGGCTGCTGCATTCACACACACTCCCAATGGGCGGTCCTGGTAACCCTCCTGGTTGAGCGTGAGAAGGGCCCCGAAGGCTGCTTTGAAATCAGCAACATCGAGCAGATCAAGGGTATCCCCAAGGGCCCGGGTAAGGGCATGCTAGGGTTCTTCGACACTCTCAAGATTCCGATCATCGAAAACACTGCCTTTGAGGAGGATCTTACCGAAAGCTTGGAGAAGGCTATGGATGCCTATCCGGACACCTACGCTGTGCTCGTCAGGAGACACGGAATGTGAGTTGCCCTGGCACCATATTCTAAGTGTATAAAGGGCTAATGTGTGATGTAGCTACGTCTGGGGCGACAATGTCGCAAAGGCAAAGACCCAATGCGAGAGTCTGGACTACTTATTCCAGCTGGCTGTTGAGATGCACAAGCTTGGTATCCCATGGGTCAAATAAACAGCGAACAATCTGCTGACCTCGCGATTATTCACGGAGTTATGAGGAGAATATGAGTGTTGAAACTTTGTATGTAGCGTGTGCATAGAATTCTACGATTTTGATGATATCATGCCCTGAAGCCTAGCCACGTGCAAGAATATATAACCCGCTTAAGGCTCAAAGTTAAACAAGGCTTTGCTACAATTCAGCAGCCTTGAGCTCCAGATGTGCTTGTTATAGCGAAGATGGCCAAGATCAGTGAACATCTGAGAATAAGATCAGAAAATGTAAAATTGCATTCTCTCCCAAGTAGATGAATAGGCGCGAAAGGTGATGCCTCGAGCTTAGCGGGGAAGCCCACTAGTTGCGGGCGGTGTTGAACCAATCTGGCCTGCTTGGATCTCCGACTCTCCAACTCCAACCCGCACCAGATCCCATTTGCTTTCCGATCTCAATCATACAGTTTGTCGGATTCTTGATTTTCTAGACTTGTACTATATACCCTTTGTTTTTCCAATTCCAATCAGCCATGGACTTGGACGGCGGAGACTCACCATGGGGCGGTAGGCACCGACAGTCACCGTACAGTCGCATCATAGCTAACCCGATATGCAGATGTGCCCTCGCAATCGGCCAGCAACGTCAGTGCGTCACGGCCTAAAACTGAAGGAACCGGTATGCTCTCATCAAGGTCAAAACACTGTTCGAGCTATGTATGCTAACTCAATCACCCTGCGCACGCAGCCCAAGATCAATCCACACAGCAAGAGGCTCCCCGTTCGACGGTACGACGAGGACCCCGAGGCAGGGGCAAGATTACTGCACAAGCAACGAAGCTCGAAGCGGTCGACGACGCGATTGATCCGCTGGGTCCGCTTGGCGACAAACCTACTGAAAGCAGCCCGACTGGCCTTGAACAAGCCCCCGTGCCGCCTCAGAAGGAGGCTTTCGCGAGCCGCAATGCGCGCCCGACCTCATCCACATCTCAAGCATCCAGCGGGGCCGGTATGATGGACTCAGTGAATCTGGAGGAGGATGGCACGGGCTTTAGGAACCCTCCACCGGTGCAGCCGCCAAGTGACCTGGAAGGCTCCAAGAGACAACAACAACCAAGCGTCAGCGTGGAGAAAGCTGCTCATCCTACCTTTGAAATCTCCGTCGGCGACCCGCACAAAGTTGGCGATCTGACTAGTAGCCACATCGTGTACCAGGTTAGGACCAAGGTAGGCCATCATTCTCCGCTGGACTCGGAGGGATCGAGCTGACTTTGGTACAGACTACATCGAAAGCTTATAGGCAAACAGAATTCACTGTTAGCCGGCGTTACCGCGATTTCCTCTGGCTTTACAATTCTTTGCACAGTAACAACCCCGGTGTGGTCGTGCCTCCACCCCCCGAGAAGCAGGCAGTAGGCCGGTTTGATACCAACTTCGTGGAGTCAAGAAGAGCTGCCCTTGAGCGCATGCTGAACAAGATTGCCGCCCACCCTATCCTCCAACATGATGGCGACCTTAAGATCTTCCTCGAGAGCGAGGCTTTCAACGTTGATGTCAAGAACAAGGAGAACAGGGAGCCAGACCTTGGTCAGAGCAAGGGTATGTTCAGCTCATTTGGAATTAGCGTTGGCGGCGGCGGAAAGTTCATCGAGCACGACGATGTGAGTTACAGAACTACATGTTGAGCTCTCGTGCTAATGGTGATAAAGTGGTTCCATGACCGAAAGATTTACCTTGATGCCCTTGAGAACCAACTCAAGGCATTGATGAAGGCTATCGACACGGTTGTGGCCCAGCGAAAGGGCCTTTCAGAAGCTGCGGGTGAATTCTCAACCTCAATACAATCACTAGCTGCCGTCGAGTTGTCTCCTGTTCTCTCTGGTCCCCTGTACGGATTATCGGACCTACAGCTACGTATCAAAGAACTGTATGACCGTCAAGCACAGCAGGATGTGCTGACCCTCGGAATCACAATCGATGAATATCTTCGCCTGATCGGTAGCGTCAAGACAGCGTTCTCTCAGAGGCAGAAGGCCTACCACAGCTGGCATAACGCTGAATCAGAACTACAGAAACGCAAGCACAGTCAAGAGAAGCTTCTTCGACAAGGGAAATCCCAGCAAGACCGCCTGAACCAAGCCAATGCAGACGTGGCTGATGCCGAAAGGAGGGTCCATCAGGCGCGGCTGCTGTTCGAGGACATGGGAAGGTTGATGCGTAACGAGCTGCAGAGGTTCGAGAAGGAGAAGGTGGAAGACTTCAAGTCTGGCGTGGAGACATTCTTAGAAAGTGCCGTAGAAGCTCAAAAGGAGGTTAGTAATCCTAAAACCGCTGAGCAGAAACGAGGACTTGGCTAACTTGCGCAGTTGATTGAGCTATGGGAAACATTCCTGCTGCAGTTGGATGCAGGCGAGGATGGCAACCCATTCTATCCCGCAGATGAACACAACGCGCCTGCGGAATCAGCTCCAGAGGCTCCATCTGAAACCGGGACAGTGTCGGCATCTGAAGAGGCATAAGGTCGTTTTTCTCCTTGCTCTGTACAAAAAACAAGCAGCGGATATCCCTCATCGTTTCTCTTTCCGTCTACTCGCGTGTACGCTATCATGATATTTATGCTATGGCGAATTCTGTGTGCGCAATCCATCTTCATCTAAATAGTCGTGACACTCCATATTCCAAAGTTCCTAATGCAAGGTATGCTGTACCGGCTACCGCAAAAATTTGAATATGATGTATAAATTCTGATAATGCTATAATACTGTACAAAAGCCTAGAATACAACCCAGCCAGATAAAACAGTAAACAGGGAATGGATATCTTCCTGTCACGCAATCACATCACTTCCGCAATCTATTTCTTCTTCTTCCCAGACTCAGCCTCCTCCTGCCCAAACGAACTAATCAGATCCAACAAATTATCCTCCTCCTCCTCAGCCTCCTTCGCCGCCGCTTTCCTAGCCTCCTCCTTCTCCTTCTCCCCCTCAACACCCTCCTCAGCCGCAGGAGCAGTCGCATCCCAGTTCCGTCCGAACTTCGCTCGGAACGCAGCCAGGCGCCCGGCCTCGTCGTCCTCCATGTTCCTCAACTTATTGCTGGTCGGGTTCCACATGAGCGAGTTGCGCGTGTCCCTTGTTGACCGGTACACGGGGAGAGGGCTGGTCGTGCGGTGCGTGAATGTGCTGCCGTCGGAGAGCGTGATGAGCTGTGTGAATGTGTAGGGGCGCTTCGGGCGGCGGAGAAGCGTAGCGTGTCGGCATTGTGTGCAGATGAAGGTTGTGGCTGTGGTTCCTTGTGAGATGATAGGTGAGGCCGCGGTGCGGCGGAGGGTGGTGTGGAGGGACATTGTTCGCGGGGACGGTACTCGGTTCGCCTGTTTGGTTTTTTTATATGGTGTTCGTTCAAATCGAGTTGTTTGGATATGTGGAATGAGATTGCCGGGTTTCGAGACCGTCCGGATGCGATTGGATTGGGTGCGCTTCCTTCTAGATGCTTGTATGGGCTATCGACACTCCGGAGAGAAATCTGGTCGGAACCGGATCAGCATTCATCCCGAACATTTTCTAAGGCCCGGAGCGCCATACTTCCTCCGAGACAGCACGAATCGATATGACGCAGCCAGAATGTTAGTGTGATTGAATTTGTCGCTTTCTCATGATGTCTACTTGGGATCTGGACTGGTTATTATCGAGCATTTCTTTAGCCCTTGGGTCCGTCTTGTCGGGATGAAGCTCCTCCACCCTCGGGCTCTACTAGCTGCCTCGCGGAGCGTGAGGTCATGTAGAGGTTCGTTTGTCAACGCCTGGATTCGAGAATGATGCTGACCCGATAACCAGAAAGCGGACACATATATACAAAACCTCAACACTCAATATCCTCACAATACCTATTACAGCAATGCCGCTCCCGAGCTTTCACCACCAAGTCATCTCCGGCGGCGACCCCATCATCAACCACGGACTCCAACCAAGATGAGCAACCCTCCCTCTCAACGCAAGTCCGCCTCCTCATGCGCCGAGCCCCCTACCCCGTCGCTATAATCACCTCTACCGATCCAAACCCGCCAACCGCTTCCCCACCGCCCACACCCACAGCCACACCCTCCTCCAGCTACACCTCCCAGTTCCGCGGCATGACAGTCTCCTCCTTCAACACCGTAACACTCACGCCGCAACCCGTAATCTCATTCAATGTGCGCCGCCCCTCCGAAACACTGCACGCTCTGTTATCGTCCGGTCGATTCCTGGTACACCTGCTGGCAACTAATCAAGCGACCGCCAGCCTGGCGCGGGACTTTGCACGCGGGAACCAGAATCTTGCGCTGGGGGAGGGCATGTTTGAGTTTGTGGGGGTGAAGCCTTCATCTACTGCTTCCGAGACTGGGACAGAGATTGTTGGTGCTAAAGAGGGCGAGGGCCCTTCAATACCGCCTCTGCCGATGCTTCGGCAGAGGAAAAGTACCGACACGTCTAGGTCCGGACCGGGGTCGGAGTCTAACCTCTTCCCGTTTATATTCGAGTGTCGACTTCTCCCGGAGAGCGTAGTCGATGTCTACGACCATACTATTGTCGTCGGAACGATTGTCCGGGCAATCACCAGCTCCAGCGCTGGCTCCACCTGTGGCAATGCTGAGATTCCGTCGGAGGATCTGTGCTTGACATATGCGAACACCAAGTTCTGGGAGATAGGAAAGGAGGTGGTATAATCATCAGAATCTAGACCATCGAGCAGTCGGCTATGACTCCAGTGTATTATAGATAGAGGAGACCATTTTGAACTACGTGATGAACTACTAGGATAGACATGTAAGTCAAGAGAAGAGCAGCAAGTGTATATAGCGAGGCGACAGAACCAAAATCTTTTCTTTCGGCAAAAAAAACTATCAGATGTGACTCGACGCAACGAGCACAATATCTATAGACCATTGGCGATGGGAAGCTATATAACCACAACCAGAACCACGACTCACGGACGTTCCGAATCATGTCCGAGGACCAAATATGAACAGACGGGCGAGGGCTAAAGAACCAATCTCCAATATTTCTTCTTCGCTGAAATACAGCACTTGATCGACTTGGCTGGCATCTCCCCCTTCCACTCAGTTGCCTTTGTCACCATCACGGGCGGAGCTAGGGCTGCCGCTACCGCTGCCGCTTCCTCCGCTTCCTCCGCTTCCTCCGCTACCAGTTTCGCTTGTACGGCTGGCAACTCGTTGGAAGGGGCTGGAGATGGGACGCAGGCCTGACGGACCGTTGAGGGGCATGCTGTCGGATCCAGAACCACGTCTCTTCTCGTTGCCGAGCTCGAAGGGGTCAACGCCAAAGGGAACTCGGCGGCTCGTCGTTACATCTGGGAAGTCAGGCCCGTAGAGGCTGCTGCGGGCGGATCGGTTCGAGAACGAACGGTCACGGTAGATGAAGTCGGGATCGAGGAAAGAGGCTGCGTTGCCGAATGGCGAGCTGGAGAAGGGGTTGTAGGACGGAGCGGCGATTGGGCTAGTCGGATGAGACGGAGCAGTTCCGATTGGAGACGCATAGTGCTGCAGTGGACTGGACTTGAGCGAAGGGAAGCTCTGTCCGAGTAGGGTGCGGTGACTTGGCATATTGGTCGCCAGTGTGCTCAAAGGCACGCTGGGCGCGTCGGTAAAGGCACTCGTACCAGGCAGCTCGCCTTCAGGGGTGAGGGGAGCGGGTTCCATGAGTAGCTGCTGCTGGAGGGCTTGTTCGACGGCGGTACACTGCTGCCACAGCGCACTGGTGCGCGCTTGGTAGTCCTGCACTGACTGGGAAATGCTCGCAAATTGTTCGTTGAAACTCAACTCCAACTTGGACTGATCCTGTTCCCTAGCAAATTGCTCGGCAGCACGGCGCTCTCGCTCGTTGAGGCCTTGTGCATTGGCGGAGATAATCCGTTCGTACTGCTCATTCACTCTGGTTCGGCGACCCTGGAGACGTTCGCGCCTTTGCGCGGCGGAATTCAACTCGGACTCCAACGACGACAAATCGCGAGCATTGGCGGTTCGCGTAGCGGTTATTTCTGCCTTGGCCGACTTGAGCAGTTCCAATTCCCGTTCGTACTTGGCCTTTTGCTCAACCCATTCCTGATACTCCTCGTCCGGAACATTGCCCATGGTGTCGATTTGGCTGTCGAGAGCCGCGGTGGCCTCCTCGGTTTGTTTGATGTTCCTTTCCAGCTGGAGAGAGCGCTGCTTCTGCCTGTTTTCATCCGTACCGCTCTGAAGACGATTGGTGTAGTTGTCCAGCTCCTTCTTGATCTTCGAGATAGCAAGCTTGTGATCGTTTTTGGCCTTGCGGAGTCGAGTGCGCTTTTCGTTCAATTTCGCCTCGGCATTGATGATGGAGTTCTTCAAGGTGGTGGTTGGAGAAGACGGTCGATACGAGGGTTGCGGAGGGGTTGGAACCGAGTTGGCTGTAGAAGCGAGACATTAGACTGTATCGAGACAGATTGGAAAAGCAAAGGATTAGCTTACCTTGTTCTGCGTCATTGGCCGGAGGGGTCTTGACACTCATGGCACAAATCTCCTCATCGGTATCGCTTTTGACAAAAGAGCATGTGTAGGCACAATTAGGAGCGAGGCCGGAGATCTCGCCTCGCCAATAAATTGTATTAGACGCCTTCGAAGAATCATGCTCTTTAGTGATGATAGCCGTTGCCCATGGCGCTCCATTGACGCAGACGTAGAATGGTTCCGTATCCTCCCGGGTTGCACGTCCGGATTCATAAGCACCTGACGTGGAATGGTCGTCCGAAGATGCAAAATCGCCAGCTGCGAACTTGATCGTCGAACTATCCACATATGTAATCCAAACAAGTCCATCATCTAAAGAGACGCCCTGAAGATCGTCCTCCGTTGTTGCAAGTCCTCTAGTAGTTTTCGACAAGGCCCTGGAATGTTCATACTCCCTCATAACCGTCACCTTTGTGCTTGCGAGTGCAGCCCAGAAAGGTTGGCGGCTCCGAACTTGATTTGCCTGCCTTCGTCGCTTTTTTGCCGAAATCAAACGATCCCTACCATCCTTATGCGTCGTGTTGATAATCTGGCCGTCGGGGCCGAGATAGGATGAGACGCTGGCCGCTGACTCAAACGCCGAATCGATCTGAGTCTGGGAGCCGGCAGATGCTTCCGTATCCACACGCTTCCCTGACCGGGACGGAGTCGGGGTCCTATTCTTAGTCATTGATCGTCTCGCCATTGCAGTGCCCGCCTGGGCCAAAATATGTACAGCAAGCAAGCTCCGGATCCAACTTGGGGATGATTGCGATTCGGTGCGCTTGAACTCGGCGGGCATAAGGTAAGAATAATGCGATAGTAAATCGGGGCTGATGATTTTGGCCGAAACGAGATGGCCAACAACAAAATCCTGTATCCCTCTGCTGCGGATAAGATGCAGAATCAAAACAATACCGACACATAGTGCGTTAACACCTCCATTTTTCCCTGCACCCCCACCGCCCAAGGTTATGGCAACTTGGACATGAGCCAAGTCGAGAGCGAAATTTTGAGCCCATGTCCACATAAAAAGACCCCAGACAAGCAGGCAGAAACCGTCCATCGCAATCATCGTCCCGAGTGAGGGGGTCCCGGCGGGACCCTGAAAGATATCGAAGTTGGAGGTAAAGGAACCAGACGCGGTACCGCTAGGAGGCATAAAAGTCAAGGACGCAAACAAGAATTGGACCAGAGTAAGGACCATAGGCGGAAGCTGCAGCAGGAAAATCAGAATGGCAATGGTGTCGTACATCGGGCACGATCTGAGAATGGTGGATGCCAACTGAAACGGGTTCACGGACGCATTCGAAGTTGTCCGCTTGGCCCCAGTGACCGACTTATCCGTACGACGTGAAGCCTGGCCGGCAAGTCCACCGTTCGGCACCACGCCAGCATTCGTCTGCCCGTAAGACATATCAGCATTCCCCTTCGCATACCCGCCCAGCTGATTACGTCCGTTGTTGTCCGCTTTCGAGTTATCGGTCGCCCCGTTACACTTGGCGACGGTCGCGGTTGATTGGTCTCCAGAACGATGCGATGGCCAGTCGACCTGCGAAGATGGACCAGTTTCGGATCCAGCGGCGCTGTTATAAGTCGTGTTTAGATGACCATTTGACTTTTGTTTGTTCGGCTTCTTCCCAGAACCGCCGCTGCCATGGTCTTGCCGATTGCTATGACTCTTCCTAGCCGTAGCCGATGAACGTGGCATGGACGAGTGAACCCAACAACCAGGTCCGAGTCGGCTTGGCGGATAGCAGCCAAGGACTTGGACCAGGTGGAAAATGAAGTCGAAGACAGTTCCAAAAAAGTGCGCGGGGAAGGGCGGGAGAGGGATTGGACGAGATTCGAGGCCCGGGTCTCTGCTGTAAAATGAATGACAAGGGAGGGAAGTAGCGTGAGAAAACACGCAAATGAAGATACAAAAAGCAAAGAGGGAAAGAATTCGAAGAATAAGATAGACAGAAAAGCTGAAGGGGATAAGACGTGCCGTGTGGGGGTGTAGAGGGGAGAAGAAGGAGAGGAAAAATGGACGTGGACGAGATTTGGTCGACCTGGTCGGGTCTGGATAGAAGAGGCGGCAGGAAAAGACGAAACGAAGAATTGGAAACTGATCGTCAGAGTAAGGCAACAACGGGTCTGTGGCCTGACGTTGCAGGCAGGTGGTCGTCATGGTACTGTCACAGCAGCTTGGAGACAGCAGATATTAGCCGGCACATCCGCTGAATTACGAATACGACTTTACACAGAGCCAGCATACACACTGCTTCCGTCCCAGCTCTACGTTTTATTTTTAGATTTAAATAGACAACATTGTGTTCAATTCTATGGAACAAAATCCATCCCTTCACCCTCTATCTTACAAGTTACGAGAGCTTCAGCGGAGACCTTCACAGCCCGGCCAGACGCTGCAGGCATAGTCGATATGGAGGCTGACACTTGGCTCCTGCAAAGGTCCATCATTCCGGCCTCCCGTCGATGGCGTCCTTGGCTTGATATTAGCCGTCTTCTTCAGAAGCTGTCCAAGCTTCCGACAATGTCTTTGAGTATGAAGGGAAAAGCAACGCATGCTCGAGCTGCTGTTTGAAGCTAGCGAGCTCAAGATCATGCCATACTCTTCATTGACCGCTTGTCCCACTTGGGTTAAGCAGGCGCAAGCCGGAGTACACTCGGTATAGGCGGAGTATAGCTGCACAGTGCACGGTGTCCGTCTGGGGTATCGGTCTTTGCCTCTTGCAGGAACTATCTACCTATATGCCCATTTGGCCTACCGCTCCTGTCGGCTTTCACAACAGCCCAATCATGCCCATCTACCTCTGCAGGGCTTGTAAGCTAGGGGTGAAGGGTGTGATTGACGCCCAGCCTTCATAGGCTGAATTCGCCGAAATGCCTATGCAAATCCAACCCCGTTATCAGCTACACCCACCATCGCGCACAGTTGGTTTGATATGCAGCATATATCCCCCGCTTACCCATATCATCCAAGATACAAGGCTGTGTGAGGATGATCCGTCGATCTTGTCTCTAGCTGGCTGGCTCTGGAGTGCGGGGTATAGAGATATCGATGTTCTGTGAATGGACTCGAAGCCAACCTGCAGGAAACTTTTTCTGAAACAGAACACTCGAGTCTCCAGCCAATACAAAATCGTTATAATGCCTGACTGCAACCGCAGCACATATCTGCTTGATCGGTACGGCCTATTACAGATTTTGACCAGATAAGCTGAAGTCAGCTTCACATGCCTCCATTTGTTTAATGGAGATGCGGCAATCCAGCGGACCGTCGACTGCCAAATCGTCAATGCTCCCAAAAAGACTGTGAGGTCTTCACAGGCGGCTCGCGTGTTGCAATCAAGATGGTCTTCCCGCAGGTTGAACCGGTGGCATTGTGCTACACTGCTAATCTTCCAATTAGGGCAGGCTTTCACGAACTAGGGCTGTATGTCGTCAAATTAGGCCAGTCTCATGTAAGAGCGGCCAAGCAAACCATAAAGCGATATCGATCTCTCGAGCGTTCGGTGGAGTCGTCACATATCAGCGCCCATGTGACGCTCACGTCAAGTATTCGAGAAAAGGCTCCTGATATGAAAGAACACCAATATTCAGTCCATCCAAGACGAACGGCGCTCAAGGCTCTAGAGATGGGAGGTAGTTAAATTTACCTGCAGTTTGTCAGACACATAATCCTTGCCCTGGGAGCTCTCTTCGTTGGAAAGCTGGGCATGGCCGAAATCAAAATCAATGATCGACCAGTGCTGTGCAGCTGGGACGTTTGTGTCGGCAAATCTGCCCCGCAAACTTTGTCATATGATGCGATGCATTTTACGCTGGTTCATTCGGACTTTGACCTGCCTGTCCAGGCTGTCCTTCACTTGTAAAGCCTCTGCTGAAGCCTTGCGTGATGACTCGAGACAACCCACAGTTATGATTGCAGGTCCGATTGACAATTCTCTGGGACGATGAAGCATGGCCTGTGACTGAGTTTCGCGTTTCGGCCGCAGCGACAAAAAAGCATGCTTGAAACGTGTCGGTGCCGAAAGGCTGAAGAACCCAGGACCAGGGATATCCGAACCTTGGAAAAGTTTCCTCGCGCGGTGGATTTGGTGCTGGCGCTAAGCCGGGCTAAACGGTCGATCCTCCCGGCTCCCACCCACTTTGCTTGGCGGTCGGAAAGACCCTGGTTCATGTTCCCGTTTACCTCTGTCCTCTGGAGACCTCCAAGCATTGTCTTTGCGAACACAATAGGTTCCAGAGATTTCTTACATCTGACCTGCTACGAATCTGACGGTGCAGTCTGGCCCCCAAGCTGACCAACACGTCGCGATATCAGCCCCAAGTCTTGACTTTCTGTGAGCGGCTGAGCCAGGGTCTTTTACTGCTTTGATCTTAGCAGGGCGCTAGTCGATTCAGGTTTCGCAACGACGCAAAAGCAGAATTCTGGCCAGCCACCACCTCTTTTAAGGTTCTACCTCGGCCGGAGCCCCGAGATTTGACCAGCCTTGCCAGGCCCAAGATGGCGATGTCTACCTCGGTCAGGATAGCTCAATCTGCTTGAGGCGGAAGGCGGGAGCCGATGTCATGTATGGCTCATGTCAATTTCTGGTAAAGACTCACTGGGCACCGGACTTTATACATGCTTCGTATACGCGGGGAATAAGTTTGATTGTTCGTTCATTCACCTCATGGATAAGATAAATACGTGGCTTATTTGGACCGATAAACTTTTTTTATGGACAACCTTCTGGATGCTGCCTCTTATGAGCCGTCCATGTGCGACCAGGGACAGCATAGGCTATCTCAGCGGCCTTGCAAGGACGCTTACCGGGTTCTTGCTTGAAGGGACTGAAGCCGTTGCGCTGCACTCTCCCACATAACATCGACAGATAGATGGCCTTGTCCAGATGTTACGTTGTGAATGCGTGTATCACAAGATCTACTTGGAAACAAGTACGAATCGCAGACTGGTAACTGCATTGAGGGACTGGGTCAATTTGCCTTTCACACGAAGCTAAAGAAACGCAGTCAAGGCATCATCATCTCAGATATAAAACAGACTGGACCGCCTATGTCAAAGGCCGGATATTCTGCCTAGTCACAAGACGGCTTCGCCGAATCCGACATTTAGTTGATCTTAAGGAGCTCGACCTCGCTAATTCCACCATTAGCAAAGCAATTAAACAGGTATATCACAATGAAAGACTCACAAGGTGAGGGTCGCGTTGGGGGGGATAACGGGAGGGAAGCCGCTATGAAAAGCAAGAGTCAGCAAAAGACCACACGGAATTGATCCCGAAATGGAGAGTCCCCATTGGATCAAGCCGACTTGAAGCAGGGCAAGTATATATCTCACCGAGGACCGTAGGCGTAGTCACTACACCGAAACATCAACGTTAGCAATCTGTCCGGCTACACCGAAGTACAATGCAGGAGGCTGAGAACTTACGGAGTGCAGATCAGCTTAGCCTTCTCGCCGAGACTGAGCTGGGGAACACCCTCATCCCAGCCCTTGATGACACGGCCGACACCAATGGGGGTGACGAAGGTGCCAGGGCGATCGCGGGAGCTGTCAAACTTGCTGCCGTCGGCGAGGGTTCCGACGTAGTGCATGCTGACGGTGTCACCGGGCTTGGGGTAGTTGACACCATCACCGGGGGAAATGCGGACGACTTCGACACCCATTTTGATTGATTGTTAGGGGTTGTTTGGGAGGGGGAGATGAATTGATGGGTTCTGAAGACTGAAAGAGAAGAGCTTGGAGGGGTTAAAAGCTAGTGTGGGGGAGGGGTTTTTATCGCGATCTCACGTGATTCAAGTCTAGAAGCCAATCAACAGCTTCAGATGAGCATGCGGTTGGGGTTTATTCTATTCTGGGAATTGCCGATGCTTGGCCAGGGGAGGGGGTCTGTGTGGTTTTACTCTGAAGTACTGGTGTTGAGGTATTTGGGGAGTATGTCTTGCTTGAAAGTGGCATTGCAGAAGTTGTGGTTCAGGCACCATATCTCTCCATGGTGGGACAGCATGCGAGTGTAACATATAAGCCCGGCATGTAGACATGGTCCCGGAGTAGTACAATCATCATCCCCGGCATTCTGACAAGGTTGAGGTCGACTGCTTGTATAATTACGTTGTACGGCCACTGTCCTCAGCGAAATACCACCTTGATCATATGCAGGCCCAAGGGTATAGTCTAGAACAATCGGCTTCATTCTAACAGATGGTCTATAGTGCAGACTTCATCTGTAAGCACACTTCGATCCGTGTTTATATGCATGTCCCTTATGTCAAGTTTCTCCGCAAAGCAAAAATGCTCTAATTCTTCGCGGACCCCATATCCTCAACCGCATCCTCCCGATCCCAGCTCTCAACCTCCAACTTCCTGACCCTGGCCTCAATGTCCAGAATCCGTTGCTGCCATTCCTTCTTGGCCTGCTCCTGTCGCTTCCACGTATCCTTAAGCTGGTCCATCAAGAATGGTGGGATAGCCGCCTTCTTGCCTAGCTTGTAGTCGTACGTGACAAGGTCCTCATGAACACGGGCGGCCGGGCGCTGGCGGGATTCTGAGAGAATCATAGCCTGTAGATGGAATGCGAATTGCGAGGACTGCGAGGATGAGGGGTCGTGGATGAGTTTGTGGTAGACTGTTACTTTGTCTGGGTATTGCATGGGCTATGGTCGGATTGTTAGCAGGCTGTGTGTACACGCTAGAGGCTGACTGGACGTACGAATTTGTAGTCAATCTTGATGCTCCGCAGGATAATGCCTAGACCCCTGTTGCTGACGAGATTCATCCACTCTGTCTTATGCGCTGGGTCGATATGCAGAGCGAAATTGCGGGTGAAGTATACGCGCGCGGTTTCGGCGTATCGGACGTATGTGACATTGTTGACATGTCCTGTAGCATTTTGTTAGGGCTTCGACGTCTCAAATCTCGAATAAAGAGAGGAACTAGATACCCTTTCCACACATCCGTCAGAAATCACTCGCTATACACGGAGTCGTAGCGGCTTACCATGCTATCCTATAACCCCGACCAGCAATTAATCACACGTTAGCATGATTGTGCCTAGTAATTGCATGAGTAGACAAGTCCAAGCTCATGGGCATACCATTTCACCCCACGCGACACTCTGCCTGAACAACCCTCTTCTTCTAGGATCCGTCAAATAGCCCTCACTACCCGCAATCAGCTCGCGCCAGTCCGTGGCAATCTGGCGCATAAGCTCCCCAGCCTCCTGGATCTGAGATGGTTTCAACCCAAACATCATGCATCTGCCGACGCGCCGTTTTGTCATGGTAAGCCATCGTGGGTCAATGTCGTGGGGTTTCGGCTTGGAGCTCGGTGGTTGCGGCTGGGCATTGTTCAGCTGGGAGGAGATTGAGAACTGGCGAAATTCCGTGGCTTGTGGGGGCGCGAACCGGAAAGCCAGGCGCTGGCTTCGGAGAGCAGGCGTGCGTATCATCGTCGGCAGTAGATTGTGAGGTTAAAGTGTTTAATGGGTTCTGGTTTACCGTTTATCAAGCTCCAGCCGGAGTCTGGGGAGCTCGACCGCGGCGGAGTCGGAGAACGGCGGCCTACCCCACTCCCGGTTGCTCGAGCTTCAAGGGACCGAGGAACTCATCTGCCATTGGTATAGTGACCGAAATCTACTCAGCGAGGCCAAGCTAGTGGTCAGGTCCAGCTAGCTATTGCCAGGGCATCCATCTGTGTTGCTGATACCAGGCCAAGTCGGGAGCGCCTCAACACCGTTGTTTGGCCTGTACCGTACGACGTCACCTCCACTTCACAAAGAAAGAAAGCAAAAATCTTGCTCGGCCCGCACTGGCTGCTTCCCTTTTTCCATCATATCTTCTCTTAACACACTTTTACTCCGTATATCGAGAAACAATGGCAAGCCCCGAGCTTCGACGTCAAGTCATCACCATATACAAGGGTTTGTTTTTGGTCTCATAATCAATCTGCCATGCTTTCGTTGATCTTAACTCGCAGAGCTTCTCTATATGGGCCGCGAGTATCCGCTGGGCTACGACTTCTTTCGGACCAGACTGCATCGCGCATTTTCAAGTCAAGTTCATCTCCAGAACGAAGAAGATATTCGGAAGGGCATCGCTAGAGCGGAATTCGTTAAGAAAGGTTCGCTTTTCCGGCGCACTGTTGCACTGGTTGCTAACACGATTACGCAGAGATCGAGGCTTTGTAAGTTTGTCCGACATAGACGATTGGCCGCCCGTCTTCGTTTACGCTGCACAAGGCTTGATGTATCCAATCTTGTCATTTATATCATATCATCATCCAGGCCCTAAGGCCAAGAAATGGTGCTAACAAATACACAGGTACTATCTAAAACGATATCGAGCGTTGAAGCAGCGCTATGAAAACAAATAATGCCAACCACGGGTAGTGCAGAAACGTCGTGGGAATATACATCCGAATGAACAATAATAATATCAACCAAACCGAGTCGGGGTATCACCAATATGACATGAGCAATGGTTGCTGCGCTGCGCTTTTGTCGTTCCTTCCTGTCGTCCTTATCAAAACACCAAGTACTCCTATAGAGTCCAATAAATGCTGTCTGTTTTTCAGTCTGCCGATAACTTATTTCTTTTGACCCCACCACGCGCTTACTTCCAAGCACTCTCCATTGGCGAGGCCTCCTTTCTGGAACAGGTCACTGATCATGGCAGTCCACCACCTGTCCCATTCGTCTCTGCTCTTGCCGCTGGCTTCCATGAGCATGGGTTCCATGCCTTCAATCATCTGAATGACGGTCAGGAGAGCCGTTCGTCGGATGGACAATTGATCTTTGGTCAACTGTTTGCGCGGACCGCTGCCGTCTTTTCCGCCTTCCCGCTCCCAGCGTGGTTCACCTAAAGGAATGGCGATTCGACGACTCTCGACCTTGCCGAGGACGTCAACTTCTGAGTTGAAAGCGAGACCGATGGTGGCACACGGCAAGGTAGTAAGTTTGCGACGGTCAAAAGCCTTTGCTATCCAGGAGTTGTAGTTCTGCAAAAACTTGTTTTGCGCATTCGTGAAAGGGGTCGCTGCCGAGAATGTGTACGTTGCAGTCACATCCGCCGTTTCTTGTTCCTTTGAAGATAACTTACGGGCGGGCGCAGGATTAGGGAGCAACGAGCGAAAAACCGAGTCGGAATCCCAAAGTTCTAGGATCCCGCCCGACTTTAGTACCCTTAGAGGTTCGGACAAACCATGTGCTTGTTGCGCCGGGCTGAGCGGGCACATGGCGGCATCTTTTATGAAGACGAAATCAAAATAATCGTCTGGAAAGGGCAGGCGTGGCTTGCGGAGATCGTGTCGCTTGAATTGCCAATTCACACCGTTCTTGCGAAGGTCCGGCGCGACGTTTACAATGTCGATACCATAAAACTCAACATCACGATGCCCGCGCCGGGCGAAATAATCATGGCACATGCTCGACCAGAGACCGGAGCCGCACGCCAAATCTAAAACTCTCTTGGGCGCCTTGTCGGCGAGGTATGGGTTGCAAAACGGGCCGCCATAAACGCGCATCAGCATGAGCGAGCGCAGTATCTGGCGCTGGATCTCGGGGAGGTCGCATGGTAGGGGGTAGTTGTTCTCGGGATCGCGGAGGTAGGTACGGTCGCCTTGACGAATCAAAGGGTAGTTGGTGTAGTCGTTGAAGGAGGCGATGGAGGAGGTGGATGTTGCAGCCCATGGGGCCGAACTGACTGTAGAATGCGTCGAATGCAGGTCGGAGCCGGACGTTGTTGACGACACGCCCGTGTTGAACGGCCCAGTCCCGGACCCAAGAGCTACCGACATCATGTCCATCTTGTGACAGTATTAGGCGTTCTCATCGAAGAGCGCAAAGTAGGCCACGGAGAACTTTGCGCATGGCAAGGGTGCTCTTCAATCCGTTCACAGAATGGCCTGAACTGATGCAAAGATATTCATTGTCCTGTAGACAAAACACGTTAGCACAATGAAAGCATATATCAATTGCTCAGGGAGGACAAAGAACAAGGAATAATAATGGAGATGCAGAAGAAAAAGAAAAGAGCAGCGGGGTGGACACCATGCAAGTGGTTGAACAAGTCAGTGCACTATGACTGATCGAGGCCAGACCAGGCGAACCCATGGAAAAGGAGTTGATCGAGATGGAGACGCTCCGAGAGGGGGCAAGACACTTAAAAGTTCAGACACGCTACCATGCGAAATTTCGGGCCTACCGCTAAGTATGACTCTGTTTCTTCCCCCAAAGATAGGGGCTAAGGTTTGAGATGTAATACACATGTCACTCGAGACCATTCGCCTGTCTCAACTCTCCTGCTACAATACTAAACAACTAACTGGCCCTGGACTCTTCATCCAGATTCCAGACACCGACAGATCCTTCATTGACGGTGCCACGGCAGGATCCCCTAAGGTTCGTTCTTCAACTCTTGGTCTAACCACAAGCGCACAACTCCCCACATCCGCATAAGCCTTGCTCGCAGCTCCTTGCATCGCCCCATACCATAGTAACCATAGACCATACAAGTCTCCGTTGCATCAGAAAAGATGTTCAGAACTTCAGAACCCAGTTTTGCTTACACTCCACCATGCAGCATGGTTATTTCCTGAATCTGCCTCCGGAATGATACCAAGTCACCGTCGTATCTGCCATTCTATCTACACCGTAAGCTCGCGCTTACCTTCCTCCAACAAAAACCACACAAAATGGACGGATCTTATTTCACGACTTATGCATGGACTGCATGCTGGCCTCTTGTCGCTGTGGAACTCATGCTGAATTTTCCGCCCCTCTTCGGAGTCGTTTCCTTGCCGCGCTGTGGCTAACGTAGGTACACCAAGCTAGTGGCGGTTTCGCCGTCGAGCAGCAGGGATCCAGTAACGAACACGAGTCACCAGGCAATTGCCGGACTTGAAAATTGGAACGACCGGGATCCCACGGGCCACGATAAAGGAAGCAATAGCTTCAAATGATTGACATCATGATATCATGATAATCTTGAGGACGATGGACATTGGAACCTCAGTGCCTCACCCGACCCGAACCAGATTCTTGCCGCGCCTGGGCTCGAGTCTTTGTCCTGCGGATCATGGGACTCTGGTGCCATCCATCAATCGATTCAATGATCCATCATCCGTAAGACATGAACACGCATTGTCGCCTCCCATATCCCAATGGCTTGCGCATCAAAAACATCATTGGGCATCAGTGTGATGCGTGATGCACAGTTGTCTCCATCCAGTTAAGCGCCCTCGAGCTCCATCTTGGCTCCGGGCTATCATTGCTCTGGAGCCTGAGCTTTGACCTCGGGAGCATGCGATATCGAAGAGCCTCACATATATAGATGTGACTGGTCGATATTTAAGACTCATTGCTGAGGATGATCTACCCATCAGTGATCACGTATTTTCTTTTTTGCTGCATGTCTTGGCCGCGCATCTGATCTGAATCCTCATCTGATTATCACGTATTGATCTTTTTTCTACAGTCCGAGCGCCTATCCAGGTATCGAAACCGGAGAACTCGAACCGAGTGTGGATAGGTAAGGCCAGAGCCTGGATTATCTACTCCGCCAGGCGCGGAAACAGAGCTGCGCTGTTTTGTTCGTTGCGGCAGTCAGTGCCTCGTTACCTACGGTCTTCTACTATTGAGCAACGCCTCATCTCTCACAGCCGGATAGTCGGTGCCATACAGGACATGCCCCTTGGAAACAAAATCTAGCACGAGCTGGAGCGGCATCACATGCGCAACCATTGCCAGGTTAAATCAGAACAATTTCGCATCATCAACAAACTTCTCGAGGGGCTTCCCAGATAGATGAGTCTAGAGCCCAATGTCAGCGATTCGACCAGCCACAAACGGGAGCGTGCCTCCCCCATGAGACAGAATGATTCGACAATTTGCCGCGCACCGACGCAGAGTGTCGGTCAGAGTCAGATGCACGGCCATGCGTGTTGTCTCTCGTGATCAGTCCATCAATACCGTGGGATAGTGAACGGCTCGTTGATAGAGTTCTTGATCTCCTCCATGATGGGATAGTGAAGACAACTGCCGCGTGATCATTTAGCTCTTTTCATACCGGCTCAAAATCAGGATGGCCCAGATACTTACTGTTATAGCTGGTGAAAAGTACGACGCCGTCCGCCTTGAGCGCGTCCAGCACGTACCTGATCTCTACGATACGTCGAACCGTGTCTTCAGCCCAGGGCAGTGTAGCGAAGAACCCAAACCGCTTGGGGCACTGGTCGTGTATTGAAGCGAGATGTATTGGCCTAACTGGCTAGCGCTGCGGTTTCGGCGGCATCCTGGCATACGACCATGAGGGGGAACAGGCAGTAGAGGATGGACGTCCCAATGTCGTTACAGAACCCGGTCCGGAGCTTCCATGCGCTGTGCGAGCTTTGGATTCTTCTCGATGACTTGTCGCAACACGTGGTCAGCTTGTCTGGCATTATTCTCTCTTCCTCGTCTTGGACACCTACCCTTCCTAACCGCCAGTGGCAAGACATGCTGGTTATTGCCAAACTTCATCGGTGCCATCTAGTCTAATTTACAGGCCGGTGGTCCGTTCTAATTCTTTGGGACTTGAGTGAACCCCTATCAGGCTTGATGGGAGCTGATGCAAGGTCCGGGGATGGGTTGACAGTGCCTTAAATAACCCGGATCGTCTCTACTGAGCCGACGTTTGTTACACGACAGCAAGCAGTTGAATTATACTTTCGGATCGCTTGTTGGACAATAACGGCTGCCAGTAAGCTAGTAGGGGTAAAGTAAGCGCGAGAGTATATAGGATGCTGGTGAGTAGCTTGTGGGATCGGTTTGCGGGCAAATGAGCATCTTGCCTAAAGCCTGTCGGTACTTATACCACATATTTTCAGGGAGAGAATACTACGTATTGATAACTTATATAATTTTGTTTTGCGCTCGCTTGATAAGGTTGAGAATTGGCTCTGATGCTCAACCCGCAATGTGATTATATATATCTCGGATATCTCCGGAGTAGAGGCGTGCTTTGGAACCAAAATATATTAGGCTAGGTTTCATTGCATGCGCACTCGAATACTAGGATAATCTTAATTCAATTCTAGATGATAGCATGCAGAGCATAAATAAATATGTATGTTCAATGACAGGACTTACCCTGTCCGCTGTGCTTGCTGAGCATGCTTTATCCTACATTATATAGGCACCAAAGATACCCTAGTAACGATGGCAGCAAGAAGTGGCTTTGAGCTGGCAGTCTCACATTGAACAGAAGCTGACACTACCGTAGTGTACTTGTTATGGACGTTCAGTGAAGACATGACCATTTCGAACACATCACTAGGCATGCTGTACTCCCACACTTCAATTACCTAGCAAGCCCGCGTAGGATGCCATAGTAGGATCTTTGCGAGCACGAGATCTTCTGTAAACAAAGCAACAAGATATATTTGAAGCACCCACCGGGCGCTTGAACGCTTGAAGAGCCATACTTCAGGAAAAGAGTGGGAGATGGATGGTCAGGGCACCTCTGTTACAGAGTGAGCACTATGAACTATGATGATGCATTGAAGGTGTGCTTCCGACTTAGAATTATAAATATGGTGGTCAGCCACTTTTCTTTTAATAGGGTAGGGAGAGAGAGCAAGGGTTTATTCGATGTGTCGACTGACCCAGAGGTCCCACGGATGATTCTAGAGCGTACCGCGTTCTTTGTCTGAAGACGTTTCAAGGGGCTTAATAAAGTCTGCTCTATTGACAAGGAGAATCAAGGGAGAGACCAGAAAGTCAATAATAAACCAACCGATTGGGTAGAAATCTGGCCTTTCCAAGCTTTGCGATTGAAAGGGTCTTTGATCTCTTGGGATTTCCGTGGCGAATCACAGCCTCCCGATGCTGCACACGTGACCCCAGCTTGGAACCTCCCGCCTTCGATCGTAGACGAGCAAAGAACAAGAACCCATCTCGACTGGCGAGGACCGTCATTACTTTATCGTCTGATTGCCTTGTTGTATGCGCTCAGCCTTACTTGCTATCCGTCAATTATCTGGGTAGCCCGTCTAACGTCCGACTCTCTAGGCTTCTGTGATCCCGCCCGACGTCTCTCTCTGCCGTGACTCGTTCGCCCAACCCCGGCCTACCGTCCGATCCTTAGATCTTTCGACCCCCAGCCTGTGCTGAGACTAGTGCGGCGGAAACAAATTACTTGTGGGACAGTGCTCTACTTGTCCGTCTTGCAGTCGCTTTCTCTGGGGTGGTTCCATTCCAGGACCCCATGTTGAAGAGAAGGAGAGACCGTATCCGACCCCCGACTCCTCCTCACTCCCCTGCTACGGCTGTCTCCCCCGTGCTGCCAATTCGGTTCCGCTCCGAAACCCCCTCTGAAGAATATAACACCGGGTCTCGTCTGCCACGTTAAATGGCAGATGGTACCTACAGGTTCCAGCAGCCTGGGGCCGGGCAATACTTCTTCCAAACGCAACAACCTCACCAACGTCACCTTATCCGCAACGGCACCGGTTCCCCGACTGGACGTCTGAAATTCAACCACGAAACCCCATCCCCCTCGCGAACTCCCCCGCTCGGCTCGGCAGCTGCTCTCAATCCGTTCACAATGTATGGCCAAACACATCAACAGCAGCATGTTATCATGAATGGTGGCCAGGCCCACCAGCGGTTCGGCATGCAGATGAAGTTTCAGACGCAGACACACCACCCACACCCCGCCCAGCAACCACATCACCATGCCCACCACAACCAGCCTCCTCAACATGTCGGCCACCAGCATAACTTCTCCAGCGGGGCTCTGGCATCCGCTACCCCACACTTCACTCCTAGCCACATTCAAAATGGGACGCACACCAACATTGACGAAGATCTTGACGAGTCTATGAACGAACATTGGCAACAGCAACTCCAGCTGGCTGCGGAATCTCGACAGGCCAGTTCACCTCACTACTATGCCCGGGCTGTAGCACAGCAGACCAAGGGCATTCAGATCGCGCCTAGCCAGCCGGATACTCAAGACAACGGCGTCAATTACAAGAATGGAGTTGGGAAGGCAAAAACTGCCTCACGGCAGCAGGGTTGGACTGCGCTGGATTTTGGCGGCCAAGGACTCCGGGCCCTGGCACCGTCACTGTTCAAATATGATTTCTTGGAAAAACTTTATCTCACTCACAACAAACTGAAAGTGCTTCCCCCGGAGATTGGTCAACTACGAAAGCTCACCCATTTGGATTTGTCCGGCAACGACCTTTCCGAGCTTCCAGAGGAAATCGGCATGCTCACAAACCTGAAGCAGCTCCTCCTGTTTGACAACAACATTCGTACCCTTCCATATGAAATGGGATACCTTTACCGACTGGAGATTCTGGGAATCGAGGGTAACCCGTTGGAGGACGTTTTGAAGTCTCAGATCATGAAGGAGGGCACCAAGGCCCTTATCAAATATCTCAAAGAAGAGATGCCAGGTCCGTATCATCTGCACTCCACACATGATGAAGTTTACGCTAACTTATCCAAGAAGTCCATGTTCCCCCGCCCGGTCGAGACTGGCTCGTTCTCGATGATACTGCCGCTACATCGCCCGACAAGGTCTCCGTCCTTTCCTACAACACCCTTTGCGATTCCTCCGCGACTCAATCACACTACGGCTATGCGCCTGCCCGCGTTCTATCTTGGGAATTCAGGAGAGAGACCATACTCAATGAGCTCAGGGCTCATGATCCGGATATCATCTGTCTTCAAGAAATCGACCAAGGTAGCTACAACGAATTCTTCAGGGAGCAATTGGCCTACAGCGACTATAAGGGTGTATACTGGCCACGAGGAAGAGCCATGGGTATGCAGGAGGAGGACGCCAAGGGCGTTGATGGATGTGCTACCTTCTTTAAGGGATCAAAGTTCATTCTTCTCGACAAGCAGGTGATCAACTTTGGTCAGACGGCTGTACGGAGACCCGATGCTAAAGGTCAAGACGACATTTACAATCGACTTTGGCAGAAAGACCACATTGCTGTTATCGTGTTTTTGGAGAACCGGCAAACTGGATCTCGGTTCATCATCGTCAACGCTCATCTCTACTGGGATCCCGCTTTCAAGGATGTCAAGTTGATCCAGACAGCTATTCTTATGGAGGAGATTACGAAGCACTCGGAGAAGTACGCCAAATGGCCCGCCTGTACGGACAAGAGTGCTTTCCGCTTCGCCCAAGGTGAGCAGGCACAGCCCGAGCCCGAATTCGCTCCGTCAGCAGAGTACGCCAGTGGTGATCAAATTCCGCTCTTCATGTGCGGCGACTTCAACTCGTCACCCGGTTCGGCGGCGTACAACGTTATCGCGAGCGGAGGGCTTGTCGAAGAGCATCCGGAGCTGGAGAAACGAATGTACGGAAACCTGAGTCGAGTCGGCATGACGCATCCGTTCAAGCTAAAGTCGGCGTACGGCGCCATTGGCGAGTTGAGCTTTACCAACTACACCCCAGACTTCAAGGATATCCTCGACTACATCTGGTACACATCGAATACGGTGCACGTGTCCGGGTTACTAGGGGAGGTGGACAAGGATTATCTACAAAGGGTGCCTGGGTTCCCTAACTATCATTTTCCAAGTGATCATATCGCATTGTTCGCGGAGTTTTCAGTTAAAGGTAAAAAGGGCAAGGTTGTGGAGGCAGATTTTGGACCGCAACGGAACTGAGCTGGTGGGCTCGGTGTTTTGTTCTTTAACCCATGGGAGCGGAGCATGTCATGTCGAATCTTACGAAGACTGGTGTTTGTGTAGCCCGGTTATTCCTGTTCTTGTCTTGTTATCTCGGAATCTTCTCTTCTACTTTCTAACGCTTTGGGGGGCTTTTGCGCTGTTGTCCGTTTTGTTGATGTCCGCGGTGTTACGTCCGTTTCTCCTGTCTTGTTTTGTCGGTGCTTGCTCGCCTCGTCTCCTCTTGTCTTCTTATCTTCTTTCGTTACATTCTCGTTTGTGCTGCTGGAGCGGGCTGGAGGTGGTTTTGCAATCCAGTTCGAAACCTGTGTGTCGATCATCTTCTTGGAAAGTGAGTAGTCAACGGCGTGGTGTCAAGTTACCTTATCTTTCGCTTTCTTTTGCGCTCTTGGTACTCTAGGTATGTGTTAGGATTTGATTATAACTTGATGATCTTGAGACACGGTCACGATGTGGTTGTCTTCCTCTAGTATCATATTTTGTACGCTGTACTGTAGAGGGATAATTCTGTCGACGGCAGGTCTCATGTTATACATTTACACGTCTATAAGTTCGTAGTATACAGTTCTATATTACAGGGAGTCAGGAAGCAAGTCGCCTCACGACGAAGCCGAGGGCATCTGCATCTTCCTCCAAACGCCCACGAACCCTCCAGCCCCAATCATCTGCCCAGCCAGCGGCCGACAAACAAGGACGGGCTCTTCCTTGGGCTTAGCACCAGTCTGCGCCTCTGCCGCCTTTGCTGCTGCCTCCTCGCCTTCGCTTTCAACAGCAACGCTTTCCTCCACTGTACCCTCCGACGCCGACTGATCATTTGTGTTATCCCACCCGGGATCAGCCTTCGACTTTTTCACAGCGAACCTAACATCCCATGTCCGGCCACCGCTGATTCCTGTCCCAAGCTCAATAACCTTATCTAGCTCGAGCGGAATCCCCTGTTTCCGTATGTACATCGCGCACTCTGTGATCTGCGTGACGCTGGGCATGAAGACGGCTAGGATGCCGTCGGCCTTGAGGACAGAGGCGACGAGCGGGATGCGCAGGTGGGCGGAGGGCATGTCGAGGATAGCGTGGGTGAGGAAGGGCTCGGATTTCGTCTTCGTCTGCTCGGAGACCCAGGTTTCTACACGGCCGACGTAGAAGTCGATGTTACCGGCGTAGATGCCGCGGCGGAACCCGCGGACGAGCTTTTCAGCGTGTTTCGAGAACGTCGAGTGGACTTCGACGGTGTGGATGATGGCTTTGCGGGTGGCGCGGTAGGTGTTCCATGCTTCTTGTTCTTGGGCTTGCGTTTGTTCTTGTTCCGCGGAGGTCTCGCGTTTGGGTTCTGGGGCGGGCTTTGCTTCTTTACTTGGGTTTGGTTGTTCGGGGGGTTGTTCGAGGTATTCTATCGTTGATGTCTTTGGGATCGGAGGTGGGAGGGCATTTGCGGCTTGGATTGCGCGGGATAGATGGAGTGTTAGGGCGCCGTGGCCCGTTCCGGATTCGAGGATCTGCAGCGGTGCAGGGCCATTGTTGCTGTCGCCCTCGGCGGGTTGTGCAACGTGTAAATCGAGTAATTGCACGATGACGTTTGCGTCTTTGCCGTAGATCGGCGTCACATGGCGCGGAGTCATGGAGATATATTGTTCGAGGGTGGGAAGTGTCACTAGAAATTTCGTTCCTGAATTAGAGTCATAATATTAGCAACTCATTCAGAGAAACCTCGCGAATGAGCCCCAGCTTCTAACCTTTATTTGTCGGGATGATCTCGCGAGGTCCCTGGCCGATAACATGGTCTGGGTCCAACGTCCCTCTGGGTGTATCGATCTTCTGGCCTCTCCGCAAGGGCGCCGTTAGATGCGGTTGTCTCCTTTTCACATTATTTATCACGAGTCGGTCGCCCTCTGCAATTGAATGGATATGGATATGTCAGTCCGTCTTGTCGTGGCGCATTGAAGGTCGTGGAAAGCAGTAGGTACCTTGAAAGCGCGAAAAGTCTGTATCGATTGACCGCGGGAAGCGCGGGGGAGCGCGTGGAATGGACGGAGGCGCGATTGCCGGCGATGACGATGGGCTCTCCCCAAAGATTTTCCGCAGAGACCTCAACAAGCGCGCCATTCTTCTATCTCACCTCCGAAATGCCGGGGTTGTTTGAACTTCGCGGAGAAAATGTCGGCGGAGGAAATGAAAACCACGGGCTGGGCAGCCTGGGATGCCGACTCCACCGCAAGTCCACAGCGGCTTCTGAACGGCGCGTTGATATGGAGATGATCCGCAGGTACCGCAGGACCCAGCCTGCGATCTCTGATATGATGAAATTGGGGCTAATTGACGTCTTTCAGGAATAGCCCGCTGCCTTGCTTGGGCGCCTTTTAATTCCTGGGGTTCCTGAGCGGTTCGCTGTTCTCTGGATAGACACTCTCCTTTACGCTCACAACACTGCCAATTCTTCACCATTAGGTATGCAATAATCCATATTCCCCTTTACTAGCTCGTCGGACCTACCTACCCCGTTTTCTCTAGATGTTCCTTCACAGGTGCCGCCGCTGACCCTTCTCCCGCAGCTCTCAGATACCCCGCCATTCCTCCACCATGGGCTCTGCTTCTACTCTCCCTCATCTCAGGACCAACCCCAAGATCATCTTCTTCTCGGATTTTGATGGCACCATTACTCTTGACGACAGTAAGTCCCTTGCACTTCCCGAGTGGTCTGTACCGATCGCTAATCGCAACAATTGCAGGCAATGACTTCATGGTAGGATTCATGCCTTCCATCGCGATAACTAATACTGATTCAATCCATCTGTAGACCGACAACCTAGGCTTCGGTGGGGAGAAACGCCGACAGCTGAACAAGGACGTCCTCGAGAACAAGGTCACTTTCCGGTAAATGGTGCGAACATAGTACAACCGGACAAGATACTCATACTGCTTGTTAGTGACTCCTTCCGGGAAATGCTCGACAGCGTCCCCAACGCTTTCGACGACTGCCTCGAAATTCTCAAGAAGAACGTCCGCCTTGACCCTCACTTCAAGGAATTCTACTACTGGGCGAAGGAGAACAATGTGCCGATCGTGGTTCTGTCTTCGGGTATGGTTCCTGTTATCGAAACATTGTTCGAGACTCTTCTCGGCCACAAGACCGACGACCATCTCAAGATTGTCGCCAACAATGTTGAGAGCCGCGATGGCAAAGATATCAACACCCCCGGTGGATGGCAAATAAAGTATCACGACGACAGGTATGATTGATAATATGAACTCGGCTGCAGTGGATTGACTTGCGAATCTAGCCACTTCGGCCACGACAAGTCCTTGGAGATTAAGCCGTACGCTGCGGTGCCGTTCGACGAGCGCCCTACTCTGCTGTACGCCGGGGACGGTGTTTCGGACTTGTCCGCTGCTACAGAGACAGACCTTCTTTTCGCCAAGGCTGGAAAGGGTATGTTTGTCCCCGCTCCGACTGAAGATATAGGAGCACTGACTTCTCTAGACTTGATCACCTACTGCGAGCGAGAAGGCATGCCATACACCGTCTTTGAGGATTGGTCATCGATTCTTGCCACGACGAAGGATATCCTGAGCGGCAAGAAAGTTGTGAAGAAGGAGCAGAAGGAGTAATTCCTGCCATTTAGAAGGACGATAAAGTGGACATAGATTAGAGATAAAATAAAGACGGTCGTATTCGTATCTCGGCAAAGTTGCCACGCATGTGACCGCCTGCCAGATTGACCCCTGCCGCTTCCACCCCAGAAATATGGACAACCGGACCCCTTGAGATGGCCTGCCACTCGGACTCAACCCTTCGCACGAGCCCCTGAATGTGCTCTGCAGCTCTGCGTCCTCAAGACTCGTTCCCCATCATGCTCCAGCGCCCGGCTGTTCTACACGTGCTTAGAACTTGCCAGGGACGCTATCGACGATCATGACACGCCGATTTGTATGACACCCTCCGCTTGAGCCGCTTTCCCCAATTTGTGGAGCGGAGCTCAGTGCACGCATACTGACGTTTTGCCTCTCTCTACAGGTTCGCGCGGGCATACAGCTCGCTATATTTGCTTCATTCGTTTTACTTCTTATCGTCACATTAGACAACAAATTCCGTGTCCTCCCAGCCTCGATACACGGCCACCTTCCCTCTCATTATCCGGGCTTCGTGATCACCGATGTGACCGTAGTGACATGTTCAGTTCTCGGTCTATTGGGCGGTTGCAAACCTTCGACACCGGGATGGACACAGGTGGAGAAGGACTTGTATCTTAACACGGGGTGGACCTCCGCTGCATACATTCAGTTCCAGCGGAAGAAGGAAGAGGAGCTCCTTCCAACGGACAAGGTTGTCATCGACTTGAAAATCAGCCGACTTGCGCCAGAGTTCCAGGATGATCCCAAGGAGGACAAGGTGGAGTGGGAACAGCGTCCTGGCGGGCTCTGGCTGAAGAGGACGGCGAAACGACACGCGAGCGATTCTCATAGCGCCATCACCTCCGTCGATGTCCTGTTCGGCGCCGATGCGGTCGACCCGCGAGCTGGCTGGGAAGTTAGGGATACACCGGTGTTGCTGGATAGTCGGACAGAAGGTCTGGAAGCCAAGATCACGGTTCGGAGGGGAGACCCAGTGAAGATCAAGAAGCCGGTACCGAGGATCAACGAGAACGGTCGATTTAAGATTATGCAACTGGCGGATTTACATCTGAGCACTGGTCTCGGACACTGCCGGGACCCTGTGCCTCCGGAGCTTACCCCCGGCGAGGGATGTGAGGCGGACCCCCGAACGCTGGACTTTGTGGAGAGGCTTTTGGACGAGGAACAGCCAGACTTGGTCATTTTGAGCGGAGACCAAGTGAACGGTGAAACATCTAAAGATGCACAGAGCCCTCTGTTCAAGTCCGTCAAGATGCTGGTCGATCGTAAAATACCCTATGCCGCCATATTCGGCAACCATGATGATGAGGGTAATTTGAATCGCCAACAATCTATGGATATCCTGGAAGGCCTGCCATACTCGCTATCGTCGGCTGGACCCGAAGACGTGGATGGCGTTGGAAACTATATCGTGGAAGTGCTTGGTCGTGGGAATACCGACCATTCTGCGCTGACGCTCTATCTCCTCGACTCGCACTCATACTCTCCCGATGAACGCCAGTTCCGGGGCTACGACTGGATCAAACCCAATCAGATCCGTTGGTTCAAGAGCACGGCTCAAGGCCTGAAAGCCAAGCACCAACAGTATACCTACATGCACATGAACATGGCATTCATCCATATTCCTTTGCCCGAGTTTGCTCAGAGAGGGAATTATTTCCGCGGAAACTGGTCCGAACCCTCCACTGCACCAGGTTTCAACTCCGGATTCAAGGATGCCCTCGAGGAAGAAGGAATACTTTTTGTCGGCTGTGGACAGTAAGTACCACTCTAAATTCCATATCGTACTCCGGTTTCTAACCCCCGCAGCGACCACGCAAACGACTACTGCGCATTAAGCAAGAATGAAGCCCAGAAGCCGTCCCTCTGGATGTGCTACGGAGGAGGTGCGGGCTTCGGCGGGTATGGCGGCTACGGCGGCTTCATCCGTCGCGTGCGGTTCTTCGAGTTTGACATGAATCCTGGCCGCGTTGTTACGTATAAGAGGCTGGAGTATGGCAATACGGAGGCCAGGATTGATGAGATGATGATTGTTGACGGGGGGATGGTCAAGGGCCCGGATTGAACCAGGCAAACGCGGATTTGAGCTTGGCTTATATATGTAGGAACAGACACACAGGCTGTTAAATTGCATAAAAGTTCTTACTCGTCATTGATTCTTTTTGTTGTAGTTACCCGTGTCTCGGTGGTGCGCGCAGTAATATGCCTTGTACTTCGGCATCGGCCAAGGGATACATGCATAAAGGTTGTGAAGGAGAAGACTACATACAGCCTGATCCACATATATGGATTTGATCTTGTCACAACACACAAGGTCTTTCAAGTTGCCATGGACTCCTTGAATTACTTAAAGTTTTGAACATTGAATGGTACTGAAACGTGCAGAAAACTGACCTTGCTTCCGCGGAGAGCCCGAGACGTTGAAGCATTCCATCCCAAGGACAATTAATCAAGATGCTGAATCTCTCACCACCCACATACGTCCGGAGTATTTGTACAGAATAAAGGTAAACAAGCATGATGTGGTTATCTGAAAATAGGGCAAGAGTCACCTATGAGACCGGACGCTATGCCAGCACCTGACTCCAACCCACCAACACTAGAGCCACAGCAGGTCTCTAGTCTAGACTCTAGACGCGCGTGTTTCAGACATCCATGGTCCTGGGACAGCTCCGGGCTCTGCCGCAACTCAACATCAGCCCGAAACCCCGGTCCAATAAGGGCACGCCTCAACGCGTAGATCGCAACAAATCGTCAAATTCCACTTTGGCAATCGTGGCCAATGCCGACGCGCCGACTTGCGTTTGGGTTTGCCGTGCTGTGTTCCGGAACTCTATACTCGGCGTTCTGAGTCCGGGCCAATGGGAGAGTGTAGAGGGGCTGAGATTGCAACAAATCGCCAAAATCCACTTTGGGAAGCTTGGCCAATGCGGACGCGACGTTCAAGGATGGGACGCGTTTAGGTTTCTGTACCGGGTTACGGGTGCACCGCGCATGTGGGTGGGTTGGTAGGGTTTCGGACGTGGTTGCCGGGGGGAGTATGACGTTGAGGTGGTTTTTGTGGTATAGTGCCATTATTCTGGAGAGGGAAATTTGACACTACCACCATTTCTCGAAAAAGACGTGGTCTTTTTGTCCGTTTAGGAGTCCCGTAGCGGTCTCGACGATCTCATCCGTCATCTGAGGCGGACCACAGACGTAGCATACCGTTTCGTTCGGGGCGAATTTGGTATCCGTACCAGTGACACTTCTAGCAAGGTCATCGCGATTGATGCGTCGTGATTGAATTGCCACATCCTTCGGAGGCTGACGCAGAAGTGGAGAGGACTGGTTTAAGTTGCTGAGGAACAGATCCAAATTGATACGCAGGCGCTGGCACTGAGATTGAGCGCGGATAATCTCACGAAGACGCCGGAGAAACAGGATCTGGTCTAAGGCCGATTCTGGGTTTGTCGACTCTGACTCCGGGAGCTTGGAAGAGTAGAGAACGTGGATGTTCAAGGATGGGTGGTAGAGGCCAGTGCTCTCATCATTGTTGTTTAGGTGAGAGAGCATGGAGATGAGAGGACTGACGGATCATTAGCGCAGGTACTTTTATACTGCATTTCGCAAGTCGACTTACTTGATGCCGACCCCTCCAGCAACAAAGACAGCATTGCGGAGTTCTTCCAGCTTTATTCCCGCTGGCGGCCATACAAAGCTCCCGCCAACCCGTATGCTCAGCTCCTGACCAAGGATCTCTTCCTTGGATCTCCAGAGCCAGGCACTGGCTGGGTTAGAGGGGGCGTGCTGAACAGCTAGCTCTACAAAGGGCTCGCGACCCCGTGGATCAATGGGAAGAGGTACCTCTTCGTCTGCTGGTGCAAGCTCAGGTGAAGGTTCCAGTGAGAGAAGAGCCTGGGCATCTGCAGGTGTTGATGTGATACTAAATCCCCCCGCATCTGGGATCGAAGGGATATGGACATCGAGCCACTGCCCTGGGAAGAACGTAAAAGGCTCTGGTGGCGTTGCCTGCAGGATTGTCAGTAGACTCTTTTCGATATCGAGCTAGCATCAAAGAGGCTATTGAGTGCATACATCATCTTCCCCAGCTTCCTCAACTTGGTCTTGATCACTTGGAGATATAGTGAGCTGCAGGAGGCGGACCGTAGGAGTAGCCTGCTCGATGTGCGACAGCCGGACTGGGAACAGTCTGTTCTGTCTGGGCTCTGCAGCTGTACGCACTGTATGAGGTGCCGAGAGCTTCCTTGATGGTGGGGAACTCATAGTCCGCGGAAGTAGAGAACTAGCGGGCAGAGTCCGAGAGCAATGGAAATGACGCAGGCGGCGAAACAGCCGTGAGGTCTGCATACAGTGGCAACTATTAGCTGTGAGTATGTCTTTGATTTCTGATCCCAGCATTGGAAGATGAAGACGATGGTCAAGGTTGAGGAACTGGTGGAGTGACGTTTAGCTGTCGATTACCTAAGCACGATATACTCCCCTAGGCGAAGGACAAAAGGACAAAACTGAGCAAAGTGCCAATGATTCCTAGATTTTCCAGTCCATGGCCCGCTACAATGATGGGGCAGAAGGGACAGGAAAGGCAGTACCGATTCCTCCGTACTTGTTGCAGTCCGGCGAGTAGCAAGACACGTCTGACACCTATTGAAGCCATTGAAATCCGAGGAATTCAACTCAAAGACTGCATCCATAACTTAGGGAACAAGGAGATATACTAGCAGCGTAGATAGATCTAATAGATGTCCATGGAATGGAAAATGTAGAATTTCAGCTTACTCTGTATACTTCGGAGCATATAAGCAGTACTGTCACATGACCCGCCGCTGTTTGTCTACCAGCACAACACCAACTTCTCATCACATTTCCAACAACCCTGTCAACATCAAAATGTCTCGATTATTATCTTATCAACATCATATTCAATTGGATTGAATACTGCGAATTGTGATTCACGGGTGATTTATCAACTTATCACTGTATCCCGACAGTTGCTAAGATCGTTCATTGCTTATTCTCTGCCTGTATCCACCCAGGATGAACTGCAGTCAGCCAGGCTGAGCCAGCTGCCAGCGTGAGCATTTCGACCCCAAATGAGGCCAAATCACTGGCCAGGCTCTCCGCCAAATACTTTCAAGGCCCCCACTGAGCCTTTCGCCTGCAGATCGCCTCGCCCATCACACGGGCTACTTTAGTGTGTGACGGCCCAGCGCCGACATTCGTCTTCTGCCGCCCCATTGGTGGTCGGCCCTCACCTTGCGTCGGCGCTGGCGCTTCGTCGACAGCAAACATTGGCCGGATGTATGATTGGAACATCTCAGAGCACGCCTGTGAGCGCTTTCGCCTGCGATTGATGCGCCGAAGCTTCCCCTCTCCTGATGCCGGGGATCCATGGAGGCCTCGAGGTTTCTGACTGCATAACTATGGACGCCTCCCCGGGCAGAGTCCCTCGAGTTTTTGTCTTGGTATCTGTTTCACCTCTTCGTGTCTTTCCAAAACCCGACCGATAGGCTTCCGATGCAAGTGCACTGAATATAGCCAGCCGGTCTGGCCTCGGTCACTTCGATTCCTCTTCCAGAAGCTCTCATACATTGCCCTGGTAATCAGCGACCTGGTCCGCAAGGCCAGAACCTTGAGCACCATGTATGTCCCTAAGAAATACCGCAACCACAACCTGGTCTATATTTTGTTGGCCGTGGAGCTCGGGTTCATCATCGTCATTCTCACATTCACCGGTATCGCTGCACATGATCGGTATCGGACAAAATTATGGCAAGACGGCTACGATAATGGCTTCAACAGCTCTCCTGACACAGCGGTCTACGCAGCTGCCAATTATCGCTCGTATGATACCCCCAAAGTATGGTCGTCATTGTAAGTTCACTCTACGACAGTTCATTCTAGGTGATGTAAGCTGATAATTCAAGTACTACAAACTGGAACCTCGTCATCTCCATCCTGAGCGTCTTCATCCTGATCACCAAAGTCCCACTGCATGTTCTCGGACTCTTATATCCCATCGCCTTGGCCATTGTCCAAGTCGGATTGATCGCCGTCTACTGCGTGTCCGCCGCATGGCAAGCCGGCAGCGACACATCGGACCCAGAACATCGCCAGTCCGGCCCACCATGGTACATCACCAAGAACTGCAATGTCGCGCACGACTCCGGCAACGTCACATACTGCCAGCAAGCCAAGGCGCTTTTTGCATTCACCATCCTGATAATGTAAGCCTCCGTCTTTAACGTCCTCCACCTCTTCAAGAGACTAACAATCTCCAAGCGTCCTCTACACCGTCGAGCTAGGCATCGCAATCCAAAACTGCTTTATCACGAAAGAAGAACGCGCCGAGCGTGACGAGGAGCGCGAAGAGAAAGAAACAATGAAGGCATACGAGGACATGATCCTCAAGTCACCGACCATGATCCCGATGACACCAAGCGCAATCCCCATGACCCCAGGGGGTACGCAGTTCCCGCGCTCGCCGATGCCCGTGATGACGCCACGCAGTCTAGCCTTCAACCGACTTGACTCATATAACACGTCCACGTCCACGCCCACCTCGACAGATCTCCCCCTCCGCGACCACTACACCGCGCCAACGCCCCAGGCTGTTGCCGTGAACCAGGAGGTGGAGGCTGGCCCGACGATTCAGCAGCCACAGCCGCAGATCTACTTTCCCCCGCCGCCTAAGAAGGCGAAGAAGTAGATCAAAATGGGCGCGCTATATCGGATGATTGCGGGGCATCTAACTGGTTGAGCGTTGGAGACTACCTGATAATTGATTGACTAATTCGACGTTACAATGGTCTCAAAACGATAGATGCTTGACGTGCATGCGTTGGGAGGAAATAGGTAATGAGTTCGGATTCTTCTCTTTTGGACATATTCCCTAGTCGGTCGGCGTCCACGTTGTTTATACCATCTCCGCAAGCTAGGTACGGGTGTTACCATTTTACGTTATATAATGTCACGAATGCCAATGTGGTCGATATTATCGATAATGCATCATGTGGCTCAATCTGAATACCAGAGAAATTGACCTGGAACAATTATCGTACAGGACGAAGCGAGTAGAGCTTCGGACCGAAATGGAATAACGTAGCCCGAGAAAAGAAACAGAGTATCATCATATGAATAACTTCATCAAAGCCCGAAATGTATGTACGGAGTTTGGAGAAGCGCGTTACGTCAGACTCAGACTCATTAGACCTGTAAAGCATATATCATGTCGTACCATAGAGTGAGAGGGCATGGGTATCGTTTCTCATATTCATAGTCCTAGCCATGGCTGAGATTCGACAAACCCATTGATTGGTCCTCAGCCAGTATCCTGCCTCCTCTTCTCCATCTTCGCCCACCGCACTGTAAAGACAAAACCGTCAGGTAAGTGAAACCAACCAAAAAGAAACAGAGCTTCGTCGGACATATTAAAAGAAAAGGAGCACTTACACCCACAAGCATTACACAGCGTCTTCGGCCCCTCAGGCCCCTTCCTCCACTCCGGCGAATCAGACGTGCCGCAGTCCGCGCATTTGTACTCGGCACGCAGCCTCTTCCTGGGCTCGCTTTCTGGCGGTACACGCTGCTCCATAATGGACGGGGGGTTGGCATTGGTATTAGTATTGGCAGTGGTGTTAGAAGCATTCGCGCCGGCAAGTTGATTATAGAGTCTGTTTTCACGCAATCCCGTGCTTATACCCTGGGATCGTTCGCCCTCTCGCAGATACAGACCCGTCAGGAGCTCGACGTCGTTAAGATGAGGCGGTGCTTCCTCGACCTGGCCGCCGGACGCGCCGGATCCGGAACGCCTGATATCCAGCTCGTTGGCGTTGTCCATTGTATCAGAGGACTCGTTTCCATCGCCGGCGGCACCAGGGCCAACGGAAAGTAACGACGGATCTAGATTCGACGTGAAGCTCCTACTTGCTTGGGAAGTTGGACGGGGTGCAAGGTTTAGCCGGCTGTGCTGTGCTGCTGCGGCGAGGTCACTCTCCTCTTCGCGCTTGAGCTGCGCGATTCGTTCCCTGAGTCGGATATTCTCGAGTTTGTGCTCGAGGAATGAGTCGATTAGGTGCTTGCTGGGGGTAAGGTAGGGCCGACAGACGAGGAAGACGCCGTTGCAGAACTGCTGCTGCTGCTGCTGGTTTGCACCGGTGGCGTCATTGTTGTTGCCGGGCCCGAAATGCGGGTGTCCATTCGCCTCAAACAAGCACGTCGAGTTGTCGAACTGGTACATGCGGAAATGGCAGTGGAACGGGCGGCCCGTGCTCACGGAGTCGCGGAGCTCACGCGTAAAGACGGGCTTGTCGTCGTCGTGGATGAAGCGCGAGAGGTAGTCGTTTTCGAAATGGGGCGTCTCGAAGCCCATGATCTCCTTGCATGATGGCGAGATGTAGTTGACCAGTCCGTCTGGACTGAGAAGGAGTAAAAGGTCGCGGACTTCGCTGAGGACGCGCTGCGGCCACGGGAGTTCGTCTGTGCCGGTGGCGGATGGGTTGATGGAGGGCTGGGATTGGAGGAGGGAGTGCTGGAGTTGGGGGACCCCAATTGGGGTTGTGTAGGAAGTAGCTGTCAGCTCCGGGTCGAGGGCATACTGATGGGAGGGCTGTGCGAGATGGAGATGGGAGGGATCCATCTATTCTTGTTGTTGGAGGTTGAAGCTGGGAAATGTCATCATCGCAAGTGAAGGCCAAGTCTGGACCCTCGGGCGGGCGCTAACCGCTTTGGGAGGACTAGTACAGGGTGGGCCATGGTTTGATTGATTGGTGGGTCAAGCGGGCCCTGAAGAACAACTTTAATGAAGCCAATCTATCAGATTCAACAGTCCCTACACGTAACAGTCTCAGCTACTTATTCCCCATAACCTTCGACCTCGTCGCAGCCAACACCGCAACGCCCTCAATAGTCGCCCCACCAAGCATATCAAAGATCGGCATATCAGCCTTAACCTCCTTAGCAAACCAATTCCTCATCTCCACAGCAACAAGCGAGTCGACACCATACGCATGCATGGGCTTCGAGGTATCAAATTCCTCCTTGCCTACGCCAAGGACCTTCGCGAGCTTTGCGACGAGGAGCTGTGTCATCGTGGCCGCGGCTTCTTCGGGGGATGTGGCGGATGCGAGTTCGGCGCTGAGGTTGTTCGAGCCGTTTTGGTCTGCGCCGTTCTCTTGGCCGGAAGAGGCGTGAGACAGAGCGAAATGGCGGAAGGCTGGTCTAGCGAGCCAGGTGTGGGTGTCTGCATCCCAGCTTCCGTTTCTGGAGGGTTCGAGGCCCATGATTGTTTGGGTGGCTGATGCGCTGCTGCTGCTGTTGCAGTGGTACGCTAGGAGAGCGTGTAACTCGCCCTCCGTGATTGGGTTGAAAGGCAGGTTGGCTAGGTATCTGTCCCGCTGTGCTTGTGACTGCGTGGCCACACCGGCGTCAAGGAAGAGACCTAGGTTCAACGATGTAGCACGCTCCCCCTGGGCATGTCGGTAGTGTGCGAGGCCGTCCATGTACGAGTTGGCAGCGGCATAGTTGGCCTGTCCTCGGTTGCCGATGATGCTAGAGATGGAAGACATCATGACGAAGAAGTCCAGGCCCGATGGGAGGAGCTGATGCAAGTTCCATGTGCCTTTGATTTTGGGGTTTGTGGCGGCGGCCCATTGATCGTGGGTCATTGTTTCGAAGATGGTATCCTATGGCCATGATTAGCAAGTCAGGACTGTACCTGCGAAGAGAATCATACCTTGAGAACCATAGTCGCCTGGATACACCCCTTGATCGGCGGGAAGCGATGCGACGCCGCACCCAAAACAGCCTCTAACATCAAATAATCCGTGATATCGCACGGCGTTGCAATAGCACTAATCTGACTAGCAGCCAGCTCCTTCAAGAACGCTGCAGCCTCGTCATCGACGGCCCCCCTCCGCGAAAGCAGAAGAAGGTACCGCGCACCACAGGACGCCATCCAACGAGCGATACCACGTCCCAAACCACCCAGTCCACCGGCAATGACATACGTAGCGTTCGGATCAAACAGATGCGGACGCTTGGCTGTGGGAATTGCCTGGCTCAGTTAGCGGGCGTACTGTAATTGAGCTAACAGGCAGGAAAGTACTTCGTACCCGAACGAGATCTGTATCGCGCATCTCCAGCACTACCTTTCCCGCGCTCTGTCCTCCCTGAAGGGCGCGAAGACCCGTCTCCATCTCGCCAATCCCATACACCATGTGTGGACTCGAGAGCCGCAGAGCACCGCTTGCGATTAGCGGTACCACGGCGCGAAGGGCTCTGCCCACCAATGCCGGGCGCTCCTTGACCATCATCGCCACGTCGATCGCGCTGAACGTCACGTTCTTCTCAAAATGGTACATGTCCAGGGGCCTATGACCCAGGATATCCCGCTTGCCAATCTCGATGAACCGGCCGTAAGGTGCAACGATTTCCCAAGTAGCAGGAAGGGCATCTCCGGAGAGAGAGTTGAGGATGACATCCGCCCCCTGCCCATTCGTCAAGCGCTTGATACCCGCAACAAAGTCTCGGTTTCGGCTAGAGAATATGTGGGACTCGGGGATGCCATATTGGTCCATAAGGAGCTGCTTCTTCTTGACAGATCCGACGGTGGCAAAGACCTCAGCGCCAAAGTACTGCGCTACCTGTACCGCAGCCTGCCCGGTGCCACCGGCTGCAGAGTGAATCAAGACCTTCTCTCCGGATTGTGTGTTGGCCAGGGCAACAAGTGCATGCCACGCAGTAATGAAGTTGATCGGGATCGCCGCAGCTTCAGTGAACGAGATCCCATCAGGGATGCGAACGGCCGTGTCTTTCTGTAGCCGGGCATAGCTCCGGTACGTATCGAACTCGCAGCCAAGAACACGATCCCCGATCTTGAAGTCCCCACAATCGGCCCCGACGCGGGTCACAATGCCGGCGCATTCGAAACCAACAGTTGTCTGGTCCATGCGGCCGAGCATGATGAGGATATCACGGAAGTTGACGCCGACAGCCTTGACTTTAACTTCCATCATGTGGTCTGGGAGGGGGATTTGTCTGTCCGTATCTTCGACAAAGTGCAAACTATCCAGAAGTCCCGGGGTCTTGATCGATAGCTTCCGTGCGCTTTCGGCGTTCCAGGGCTGAAGGGTCATGGCTTGGGATACTTGCATCTCGTCAAGAGAGCGCGAGACCTCGGTGGCGTTCACCAGACGCGGGATCTGCAAGATCCCAGAACGCTCAACGTATTCAGTCTCAGGCGTAGCCGAAGACGTGATCGAACGGACTACACGCAATATTAGGTCTACATTCGGGATCTCACCGAGTGACAGCGTAGCAAAAGTCTTCGAGCTCAGTTCAGAGTTGAGGACACGGAAAAGCCCGTCAATAACACGGAAGCTGGGAGATGAGTTCTCTCCCGCGCCAGAGTTCACCCAGATGACTTTCTCAGCAGAGGACGAGAATAGCTGCTGGAATTGCTGGAATATCTCCTCCTGGATGTCTGCCAGAAACGGGTCCCCAACCTCGTAGAGGATGCACAACACTGCCTCCGAGGGAATGTCTGCTGTCAGGGCTTGGCTCAAGGAGTAATGGTCAACCTCGACAGTCCCAAGCAGACTAGCCAGTTCAACGGCCAGCTCTTGCTGCTTGGGAACAACCGGGTTAGATATGATGATGACAGGGGGAGTGGGCCTCTGTGCCTCGACTGCCGACTCTGTAGTGGAAACGATGATGCTTGTCTCATGACAAACGCTATCCTCGTAATCCGTAAAGACCAGTTCAGTTCCCGTGAAACCAATTTGACGAAGAAGACTGTCCCAATCCCGCTCAGTGGGCGGGATTGCTACTTTCTTATTGACCTCTTTGTTTTCCGTTCCTTTGAGTGAGCCATTAGGAAGTTCATCCATCCACCAAGTCTCATTGAGTCCATGGATGAAGGTGTGACGACGGGGATGCAATTTGGTCGTCTCGATAATCACCACTTTACCGCCCCTGTCTGATGTCAGTTGCCATCTCCAATGGACATATTGTAAGACCTACGGTTTCATCAGAGAATATGAGTTCCTCAAAATAGTTTCCTGAGCCATCGAGCCACCCAGTCCCTGTTGACTGTTAATACGTCCCCAGAATGTTGAACATTACGAGGAACTCACCATATGCAGAACGACCAGGTCATATTGACCACGCTCCTCAACAGCAGGCTCGTGAAGCAGATCCATCTCCTTCAAAGCAACCCGATTGCCAGTCTCACCTAGACCCTGCTGGAGAGCCGGTAGGTCGAGACCCGTGCTGGCAATATCAAAGCGAGAGAACCGAGGGACTTCAGCATCACCAGCGTCACCCAGCTTCAAGGTAGCTATAATAGATTCTGCAACAGAGCCAGCACCGCCGTCCACTTCGAGGATTTTCATGCCTGGTTGCTTGTGCGCTAGTGCATCCAAGTATGCAGTCCAACGGTGCGAGCCTGGGGCTCGATTCCACTGCTACAGTTAGCATCATGAAATGCTCGGGAATGGTGTTCCTTACAGCCTCAGCATGCGCAGCCTTAAGAAGGCCACTTGAGAGGATATCAGATGCATCAAGCTCCCCACGGGCGAACTTCAGCAAAGCATGGCCAGTCGCAACCACTAACCTCCCTTCGGCAGAACTGCCAACAAGTTCACACATAGTCTCGAACCTAGCCTCGTCTTCGTCGTTCGATGTGAGCTTGGCCAAGCTGCTGCTTTCACGGGATATCCAGTCCAGATATGTTTCCACCACGGCAGGTAGTTCCTTGGGGCGGCCGGTCGAAGACAGAACCTTCGCAATACGCGAAATAAACCCAGCAACAACAGTGTCAATGCTGAGGCGGAGCATAGTCGGGGCTTCCGTGTCAGTGGGAGCAATATCGTTGCAGTATTGCTGAATCTCATTCGGAGTCATGAGCTGCAGGTCAGGTTTCCACTCAATGTGTTGGCACTTCGAAGCAGCGACTTCTTCATCCGAGTCGCCCTGAGGTGACTGGGAATCGATAGTCGCGAAGACGACGCCCTCGAGGCGGATGAGTGACTCGTCGCCACTCTCATCAAACGCCGAGATGTTGGAGACACATTCCTGGCGGCCTATGTGCTCAATCTTCGTACCTACCTTGATACCGCTGCAGCTCGGGCCACTGAGACCAGTTGGGGATATCCAAGCCCGTGAGACGTGACGAGGAACAGAGATGGGGACTTTCCGCTGCCCACCGCGCGACCGGAGCGTAGGAACCGTTTGCATCAGGCCATCTAAGGTCGTCGGGTGGATCGTGTATGTCTCCGTCCAGTGCGGCTTGTCAGATGGATACGGCACGATCTTCGTAAGCAGTTGGCTTTTATCATCACATGCAATACTTGAAATTCGGACAAACGCCGGGCCAAACTGGTACCCAAACGAGCCGAGCATCTCATAGAAGCGGGATGCATCGAGCGAAGTTGTGCATGCCGCTGTGATGTCCTTAATCAACGCCTGGTGGTCGTCGGGACTCTTTGGGGAGACTGGCTCGACAGGCTTACCGCTGGTGACGACCTGGATTGTCCCATCGCAGTTTGTCACCCAGGAGCCGTCGTAGCTACATAGCGTGAAGCCGAACCAGTTGCCGTCGGATCCAGCGCTCGGCGGATGCAGATAAAATCTGGTTTCTACTCCAGGCCCGCCAGGCACAACCTTCAGTGCGGATCGGAAGTTGACGTTCTTGAGCTCAAAGCCGGTAATGGAAGAAGCGTCGTCCGTGACCTGTTTGATAGCCTCTATGGCCATAGTTATCATAGCAGCACCGGGAAGGATAGTTACGTTGTCAATCTGCGTAGCCAGTTAGACGACCACTGAAGCCTGCTAGCAAGGTATTCAAGACTCACGGCGTGATCTCGCACCCAAACCGGGTCTGACGAATGCAGGATATTGCTCCACTTGGGCTGGAGAGGGTTCCAGTCGTCCTCCGGCCAACCCAGAAGCTCCTGCCTCCCGAACTTCCTGAACCGAAAGCCCTTGCTGACTCGGCCCTCGTGCCAGTATGACTTGACGTGGTTGAAGCTGTACGCAGGCAGATCGGTAAGGACTTTGCCGATCCCTTCAGCTAGATTCACGGCTGCAAAGTCAAGCTGCGCTCCAAGACAGTGTAATCGCCCCATTGCTTCCAAAAGACTCTGGGCTCCGTTCCTATTCCGCACAAGCGCAGAGAGGTATTCCACTCTCCCCATGCGGTTCGACTCCAGCAGGGTGTCGCGACAAGGGCCGCGGAGGGCACCATGGGGGCCGATCTCAAACAGCACGTCGACCACAGCCGACTCGCGATGAGACCCATCGATTTTCTTCGTTGGGAGCTGGCCCGTTCGGGGCTGGAACTTCCTGACAGCATCGACGAATCGGACTGGAGAGACTAGGTTTGTGACCCAGTATTGAGCAACGGATAGTTCCTCCTTAGATGCCCAATTTCCATGCACGGAAGAGACCATTCGGCATTTCGCACGACGCTTAGCTGAACTGGATTCGTCATCACCGACAGCCGCAGAATACGCTGCAGCAACCTCCTGCATCTGGAAAGAATGGTAACCAACGGGAACAGGCAACAACCGAGCGAGTACGTTGGCCCCCTTGAGCCGGACCTGGAGTTTCTCGAGCTGGTCACGTTGACCGGAGAGAGTGATGCTCTTCGGACTGTTGAAGCATCCAACTACCACACTGACGGCTTGATCTTCGTCTCTGCCTCCTTCACGAAGGCCATCAAGGTAAGGCTGAACCTCCTTCTCAGATAATGAGACCGCCATCATTGCACCATTCATACGAGAAGATTGAGCGAGCTTTCCCGCAAACACACCGCGGAAATACGCCAGTTTCAGAGCGTATTCCCGCGAGATGGCGCCATAGCAGTATCTTGACGAAAGCTTAGCTTTTATATCTATTGATCTCTCAGGGGGTACTCACGCAGCAGCAATTTCGCCAGAAGAGTGGCCAACAACAGCAGCTGGATGGAGCCCAAATGTCTCCAGCAGGTCGATTAGGGCAATTTGAATAGCGGTACAAAGAGGCTGGGCGAATCTTGGTCCGTCAATAGGATACACCCCCTTGTCAGCTTGTAGCACATCTGTGTAGCTCGAGTTAGCTCCCTTATAATCAAGAATTTGAAAGACTAAACTAACCAAGGATATCCCACTCAGCTCCCAACGTCCGCAAGTATCCGCTTGCATGACGCAGTGACTGGAGATAAACCGGATATCTCGCCATCAACTCACGGCCCATCGTGGGCCACTGCGCACCTTGCTGTATGAAATGTTATTATTACATAGGTCACTAGCGGGGAGCATTGCCGTCCGGCTGATTGTTGATACTCACACCTGTGAAAACGAACCCGATTGTAGGGTCAGCCATGGATTTGACTGGCGCGCTCCATGACGCAACTATGTCCTTAGCTGGAGTGTCATGCTGTGAAAGGGCGTAGCTTCTCCATGGGTGATGAGTGCGGCGTTCATTCAGGGTGTAAGCTAGGTTCGCAAAATGGGATCGAGGATCTCTTGCGTTGTTCCGCGATGAGTCGAGGTATGCTTCCCATGCCTCAGAAAGCCGACCTAGGCCATCCTTGTCCGCAGAGGACCAGGTAAGAAGATGCCAAGGTGAGTCTTGGTGGGTAGCTTGGCCATTGGCAAGCGCTCCATCGAAGCCATTTTCTGCGCCATTGGAGGTTTCATTCGAATGCCCATTGGGTTCGCCATTAGCTTCACCTTTGGCATGTCCGTTAGCGTGACCATTCAGATGGCCGTTCATAGGTCCATTAGCATGTCCATTAGCCTTGCCGTTAGCATGTCCGCTAGGATGCTCAATGACCTCCCCCGTTTCCCCGTCTGTCTCGAGCAGATACCGAACGACAGCGGGGTCCACCACGGTATTATGGTTCCCTTCAAGACCCCTAGACTTCATGAAGTGATACGCATCATCGAGTATGACGTGACTGTTCGCACCACCAAAGCCAAACGAACTGACTGACGCCCGACGGAGACCTTCAGGCCACGGTATAGGCGCGGACACGACCTGTTTCCATTTGTTAGAGGTACGTGCGTAGTTTTTACAGTGTCCACCTACCTGAACATGAAGATGCTCGGCGTCGATTCTCGGATTCAACCGCTTGTAGTAGTCACTGACTGGGGGAATAATCCCCCTTTCCAGAGACAATATGACTTTGATGACACCGGCGATTCCACTGCCGCCTTCAAGATGTCCAATATTGGACTTGACAGAACCACTAAATCTCAAGTGTCGGCGCGGCTGAGGCGTATGAAAAGAGAGCAACGAACTTACAGGTACAACGGTTCCTCCTGTGACCGATGAGGTCGAAAAACAGCTCCAATGCCCCTAGACTCCGTCGGATCCCCTACGGCAGTACCAGTGCCGTGGGCCTCGAAATACCTTGTCGCCGCAGGAGAAAGCCCAGCGTGGAGGTATGCGTCCTCGATGAGCTTTTGCTGCGCGGTGCGGCTCGGCTGCGTGATACCTGGGGTGCGGCCGTCCTGATTCGAAAGCGTGGACCGAATCACCGCGCGAATAGTATCACCCGCCAGAATAGCATCTTCTAGTGGCTTTATAATCAGAGCACCGAGACCCTCGCCACGAGAGTATCCGTTTGCCTGATCACTGAAACTAAAGCATCTGTTGTCCTGAGAAAAGAAACCCAGGTTGTCAAGACTGTTCGACCACTCCCGAGCGAGGATCAGGTTGACACCTAGGGCTAGACCCTGCAGGAAGTATTAGCAAGGGATGAATACTAAAGAGGACAAGAGATAATACCATCGTCGACGCCCCACTCCAGATGGACTGGCAGGCCATGTCCAAGGCAACCAAACTGCTCGAGCACGCAGTGTCGACATTCGCGCTCGGCCCGGCAAGGTTGAATGCCCAGCTGATCCGATTGGCAATCATGCACATGGCCTGGCTATAGGCAATATACTTTCCAGCCGCCTGAGGATCTTTTGCATGCAGTGTACCGTAGTCATTTGCTGAACATCCTGAGAAAACGCAGGTCTTTGTCCCAGAGGCCTGGTCCAGCGAGATTCCTGCATTCTCCAGGGCCTGGTAGCTGACCTCCAGCGCCATGCGTTGCTGTGGGTCCATTCCCTCTGCTTCTGCAGTAGTGAGAGAGAAGAATGGAGCGTCAAAAGCTCCCAAATCTCCAGTGATGAAGTGACCACCATTAACGGAGAGAGTATCCGGTCGATTGGCGGTTGGGTTGTAGTGAGCATCGATGTTTAGACGGTCTGCTGGGTACTTGGATGATGCGCATTTCCGCTGAATGAGCATGTCCCAGAACTTCTCGGGGGTTGTGGCATCGCCAGGATAGCGCAGGGCATATCCCACCACTGCGAGAGGCTGCAACTTGCTAGAGGTCTGTTTGGGAGGTTGCATTATTTCTGTAGATTGAAGTATGTTCCGAGTATCTCTAAATGACGGCAACTGTTCCAATGGTGATTCCAGGCTTCTTATGATGCAGGAGACTATCTGACCGGAGATCTTTCGGTTGTGATCTGATCAGTTTCATTTCAGCTTTCACGCCCGTCTCGGTCTAGCATCCACTTTCAACATCAGATATCGATCTCGGATGTAAGGCCCGGCCACTTGATGAACAATGCAGGCCCACACTCAGCGCCCAAGACTATCACGGAGTATCTGTCGGAGGCCCCTGTGTTGTTTATGACGTACGCCCTTTCCCAGATGGCTTTCACGTTGTCCACCGCTCGAACCGGATCATCCACGCGCTCTTGCCAGCTCGGAACTCCCTGAAAATGGCATATTCACAGATATAAATCCAATTTGGTAGATCCATCGGAAGGAAAGTGAGTTGTCGCGAATGTGGACCTGCTTCCCACCGCAAGATATCTCAAATTGAATCTCCACTGCGCGGTCACTAGCGTAGATCTACTTCGATCCTTCACAAACGAGGCGGACCCACACCGGCGTAGATCCAGATCAGCGGAGTATCTATCGGAAGCGGTGGCGTCGAGATCTGGATATCACGAAGCGTACAACGAGGCAAGTGGATTCCTTCTTTGATGGGCTGTTTCGGATTACCAGTAGATGGATAGTCTGTTCGCCCATCATCCAGCCGGACGGCCCGGACTATGCGCTGCGCTGTCGATGATCACCCATTCATCACACTGTCCCGGCATCGCCGAACAGAGGAAGCGTCATCATCCGGTCCACGCGCCGGCTGTTATCTCCATAGCCGTGGTGATCGTTCAGAGACCTGTTGGTCATCCAGGTGTTCGTGATAAAAGGGGGGTAGCCTCGGACTATCCTGGCATCATTCGAACCACGGCCAAGTTTGTCTCAGTCCCAAACTCAACAGTCCAAGATGCATTTCCTCTGGTACGTCGGTTATGGACCCTGTGCTTGAAAGTTCCGTCGCTGACGCCTGCAGTCTTCATGGAACTGGGACTAGTTCCAAGGCAAGTATACCGCCATCTCAGACTCTGGATTGCAGAATTTGCTATTGCTAACAGATCGCCGGTAGATTTTGGAGACCCAAACAGGTAAGTAATAGTCAGTCTTGAAGCCGTTGGCCGCTTCATTGACAGTGTGCAGCTGCTTTCCGCTATGAGCTGGGTGACGGGCATACCTACGACTTTGCCGAAGGCATGTTCAACGAGCCTCTAGACGAAGGTTCGTCAAGCCTACCCAGCTGAGTGGAAGACATGATCCTCATTCTATTGCAGAGCTCAAAAGCATCTTCCCAACTGAGGCTGGTGGCTTCTCCTACTTCGATCTTAACCCCGCTGCCACTCCATCTCTGCAGGCCGTGGATGACTTGGAGGGCTTTATCGAAGCCGAAGGCCCGTTCGACGGAGTGATCGCCTTCAGCCAAGGTATCATAGTGGCATCCACATTGATCCTGCGCTGTATCCAAGAGCAGAAGCCCCGACCCTTCAAGTGCGCTATCTTCTTCTCCCCTCGGCTAGGAGCTATGGATTACGAGGAGTTCCAACAAAGTGGAAAGGTCAGGGAAATTGACTTTGAGCAGCACCAGGGGATAATCACTGTGCCAACCGCGTTGATTTGGGGCCGTCATGATCCTGACCGGGCTAAGGCCGCGGAACTGCAGAAATTGGTTCCGCAGGAGCGTCTGTTCTGCTACGTGCACTCTGGTGGGCACGCGGTCCCTGGGGCGGGAGCTCACTATGACCTGATGAAGAGCGTTAATGTGGCGCGGAGGGCGATCGAGTTGGCAGCTGAGGGCGATCATTGATGTACCTAGTGGTGTCAGAGTACTTTGAACTGTCGAATCTGCACACTATTGCCAACGTGGCATCCCGGAAATGAGTACTTCGTGCAGTAGCGTACAGTGCTAGTGGCTGATAGCGCCGATTGATCGGATCTTAGCCTGCAGCAGGGCATCCCGAATGACTCGGTGTGCAGAAGTTAGGGCTCTGCAGATCTCTGTCCACTCTTACAACCCGAAAAGTTTTCCCGAGATGTCCGAATGCCCAACGTACACTACCGTACCTCCACCACCTCATACTTTGTTTTTCTTTTTCCGACCTTTCCCACGAGTGGGATCGAAGCGCTGGCAGCCGCCGATCTTCAGCTGATGAACAGACGCCATCGACCCGCACCATTGATCATGTGGGTAATGATTGATTCATTCTCCCCAATGAGACTATGTCGATCGATTAGGTTCGTCTGCTCTTGAAGAACTTGGTTGTAGTTAGGTAAAGAGAACAGTCGGCTGGCGGAATTGCAGTCGTTCCGATGGTAGAATACTTCAGCTGTTCCCAGGAGCCTGTTGTAGACTTGCAGCTGGTGCATCCAACCCATCGAACATGGCTGCCGAAGAGAATAAATTTCGGCCGGATTGGCGGCTGCGATGTATCTTTGGAGTTATCGGTCTTCTAAACTTTGCCGCTGCCCTTGATGCAACCTCCATTTCGGTAGCGATTCCGGTATGTTGTCTGGTGTCTCGACCATGCTGTGTTCACTGCTAACGCTGTGATAGAGGATTTCGGAAGACCTAGGGGGTACGGCGGTGGAAGCCTTCTGGTCTGGAACATCCTTCCTCGTCTGCTCTTGCGTCTTCCAGCCCGTCTTTACTTTGTGCTCTGAGATCTTTGGCAGTGCGCGGATGCTATTCGGGGCAGTCGTTGCCTTCACTCTCGGCGCTATTCTAGCTGCCGTCTCGCAACATTTCAACCTCCTTCTGGTCGGTCGATGCATCCAGGGTATTGGCGGCGGTGGCATTATTGCCCTAACCGAAGTGTTGATTGCTGATTTGATCCCTCTCCACGAACGGGGGAAGTGGATGAGCTTTCGCGCAGTCACCTGGGCCTTCGGGACCGTCCTTGGCCCTGTTGTCGGTGGTGCCTTGGCCGACCATGCATGGCGTTGGATATTTTGGATCAACTTGCCCTTCTGTGGTTTGGGCTTGATCCTGATTCCGGTCGTTATGCGCTTGCACCGCGACCAGAGCCCACTCTGGATCCGCCTCTCCTCAGTGGACTACCTAGGCTGTGTCCTCTTTGTCGGCTCCCTGTCGTCGTTTCTGGTCCCGCTCAGCTGGGGCGGTATCATGTACGCGTGGGACTCCTGGCACACCCTTGTTCCGTTAGTGCTGGGGGCAGTCGGATTAGTCGTCTTCATCATTTATGAGTCGTTCGTCCCTCGCCAACCTCTGATTCCGACCCAGATATTCCGCAATTCGACCACTGCAATCAACTACCTTGGCTGTTTTCTGCATGGCATGGTCATGTGGTGCGTTCTTTATTACCTGCCACTCTACTACGAAGCCTGCCTCGCCTACAGCGCCGTCATCGCCGGTGCTGCCATGCTCCCACTGACCCTCACGGTCGCGCCCCTCTCTGCGATAACTGGCATCGTGATTGCCAAAACTGGTCGCTACCGCTGGGCGATCTGGCTGGGTTGGGCCCTGACCACACTGGGCATAGGGATCCTCTACCTTCTTGAAGCGGGCACCAGTATCCCCAAGTGGATATTCATTGCTCTCGTTTCCGGCCTCGGCCTCGGCACTCTCTTCACCTCGATGATGCTCGCCGTGCAGGCATCTGCGGACGTCCAGTTCCTCTCGATAACCGCCACTATGGCAGCGTTCTTCCGCACGCTCGGCCAGACAGTAGGCGTCGCAATCGGAGGCGTAGTGATACAGAACCGTCTCGGGGTTGAGATACCAGCGCACGTGGCTGGCCTATCCGGTGGCAGGGCGGAGAACCTGGCAAGCGACGCAGCAACACTGGTCCGGTACATTCAGAGCTTAGCCGAAGGGAGTAATGAACGAACCGGGCTTGAGCAAGCCTATGCTTCGTCCGTGGGGATCGTATGGCTGACCATGTGTGGAATCGCCGGCGTTGGATTTATTTCCGGTCTCTTCGTGAAGAAGTACCCCATGACCCAGGCGTTCAAGCCGCGTCAGGGGATCCGGAGCGAAACCTCGCAGCTATCGTAGTGGCCAGAGTTTTTGCATCCGCATAACAACCGGGTTTATGGGAGGGTCAGAAGCGTTATTGGAGCTCTCTTGGAGGAAAGATATATGCAGCGTTAGTGAGGTGATACGGTCTGAAGAGAAGCAAACGAGAGCGAGATCGACGCGGGAGGGGATGGCCTCAGTCCCGTGACCAGCACCGTGCCTTCCCTTATAGGAAACCATCATCCTCCGGGATCATGTACAGGTTGAAATATACATGAGATCCTCGGATAAACCAAGCATTAGTCAGTGATATTAATAAGATCTACTTCATGCCGTTTGGTGGTAGCATTTACTGTCGGAGCGGAGGACTGGCAGGCCGTAAAAGCCGCCAGAAGCCTTTAGCCTAAATTAGCTTTGTTCCCCGCGCTTATCCTAAAAAGGCTAGTGTTATTATATATTACTTTTTTTATTAAAAATTTTATATATAAATTATTTTTTAGCTAGATTTACTTATTATTTTATAATATTATTATTTATTTTATAATATTTTTATTTTATTTTTATAAGTAACTTTTTTAGCCTATTTAATAGGTTATAAGCCCCTAATTTTCTTAATTTTTTATTTAAAAATACTACTTACTTTTATTTATTTTACCTTTAAAAATTTATATATAATTAATTAAAATAATAATACTAAAAGCACTAGAATTTAATTAATTAATTTTAACTAATATTTATAAATACCTTTACTTTTAATATATTAAAAGGCTTTATAACACTTAATATAACTTTTATACTTGTTATAAAGATAATATTTATTCCTATTATTATAATAAATTAAGTAATAAATTTATTAAAAAAAAGCCTTTATACTTAACACGGTAAATAAAAAATTAAAAGATAAAAAAAATTATAATATATAAACCTAGTTAATAAGCCTAAAATTAGACCTATATAATCTTAAGACACTTATTAAAAAAATATTTTATATTTAATATTAATATTAATATTATACTAAAAATAAGTAACTATATTAAAAAAGGTTTGGATATAGCTTGTAAAAAGTTTAATAAATAATATTATATAAATAATATATATAAATTTAGAAAAGGCGCTATATATAAATAAGTTTTATATTAAAATTAACTAGGTTTTTAATAAAAATAAATATATAATAGCTTATATAATTTTAAAAAAAGTTATTATTATTAACTAGGCTAGTTATGGTATAGTCCAGGAGTTTATTAAAATATTTTATAAAAAGTATAAATTTAATAATAAATTTAATATAATTATTACTTTATATTAATAATTTTTTTTATTCTTAAAGAAACTGCGGGTGGAGATACCTTTATATTATAAAGTAAAGTATATCTTAATACCTATAAGTGTTATTAAAAAAATAACTATAGCATAGTTTTAAAAGGTTTATTATAAAGTTTTAAATAAAGCAAAGGTTAAAACCTTTGTTTAAGTGGTGATACTAAAAAATAATAATAATAATAATAATAATAAGAATGGGAGTAGGAACAAGAATAATAGTTTTAATTTTAAAAATAAAGATTAAAACGTACCTTATTAAGGCGCTTTAAAAAAAGGGGTGTTTAATAAGTAATAGCAAAAAAAAAATAGCTTTAAAAAAAATTATTAAAAAATATATGTAATTATTGCGGTAAAAAACCTTATAATTTTTTAAAATATTATTATTTAATACTAAAAAAATAATTATTAAGCTAGTGGCTATTAAGCAAGATTTAGTATTATAAGTTTATTAGGCTAATAAATTTAAATAATACTAAAAATAGTAATAATAGCAAGCCTAGCGCCGCTATAGTTTTTTAATAAACTTAGGGTAAATATAGTATAAACTTTAGTATATATAATACTACGCTTTTTATTATATTAATAATATTAAAGTTTTATAATTAATAGCTTATGGATACTAGCTCCAAAATTCCTGTATATAATAATAAAAACCTTATAAAGAATCTTTATATTATTTAGCTTTTATAGCATGCTTTTACTATATTAAATAATAAAAAAGTAATTTTTAAAGGGAAAGGTAAAGTTAACCTATATATTTAGTTAAATAATAATAAGGTATTAATATTATAATTTAATTACCTATAGTTTTTTAAATTACCATGTAATATTTTACTAATAAAAAAAATTAAAATAAACCTAGGCCTTTGGTATAACAGTAAATTATTAAAAATTTAATAAATAAAGAATAATAAGGTTATTTTTAAGGTTTATATTAATAAAAACATGCCTTGGCTAAGCAAACTAAATATTAATAAAAAAACAAGCTTTAATATAGCTTTAGTTTTAATAAGAGTTTAATATAGGTAATTAGGCCATATATTAATATTATAACTTAATAAAAACCGCGCGCAGTTAAATAATATTAATAATAAAAATAAATATATCTTAATAAGATAATTGCAAATTGCAAAATTTATAAGCTAGTAAAGTTAAAAAAAAAGGTTTCTAAAACTTTTTAATAGCAAGCTATAAAGCCTTTATAAATAATACATGTTAATATTTAAATAATAAAGCCTTAAGGTATATAGGAATATAATTATATTTTATTAGTACTTAATAATAACTTTAGGAATTATTTTTACTAGTTTTTATATTAAAAAAATAAGGTAGTAAATATACTTATTTACATGTATTTATAATAGCTTAATATAAGTAAAGTATATATTATAAAAATAAAAAGTAATAATACTAGGAATTTTAATAGTTATAAGGCCTGGTATAGCTAAAATTAAACTAGTATTAAATTTAAAAAAACTCCAAGCTATACGCCTAAGAAGAATAGGAAAATTAAGTAATTTAATAAATATATTATATAAATTACCCGTAGTATAATAATAAATATAAAGCTATTAAAAAAGTTATAACTACTAGTGGTTAAATTTATATTATATATTTAAAATTAACTTATTTAAAAAGGTAAAATAAAACTACTAGTAAAAAAATTTATAAAAGGCCTGGGGATACTAGTGCTAAATAATACTTTANTAATTTTAATAATAAAGGCCCTGGTGGTTTAGTTAGTTTTAATAAGTAATTTAAAATATAAAATTTTAATAATAATAATTTATAAATAGCTAATAAAAATAAAGAAATTATTATAACTAAAAGGGTCTAAACCTTATTTTTAGATTTAGCGCTTCTAGCCCCAGAATTTATAAAATCTACATTAATAAAAAAAAAATTACTAAGTTATAAGGCTTAGCTAATATACTAGTTAAGGCCACGTGCTTAGGCATTTAATTAGTAAATATTAAAAAAAAAGCGCTTTTAGCGGCTAAAGTAGTATTAAAAACTATAATTATATAAAAAAAACTTATATAAGTATTAAAGGAAGAAAATACTCCTAGTATAAATTATATATAATTATTTAAGGAGCTAATAGTTAAAGAGATAGTTAAAAAAGTTAAAAAAGTAAAAAAAAATATAAAAAAAAAAATAAAAAGAATACAAGTAAGTAAATTACTAAGTTTATTTATTTTTAATAATATGCTAGTATTCTTGCCTTGCAGAAAATAGGAAATATAAGTATAAAAAGTATTATAATTAATTAAAATAAAAAAAATAAAGTAGTTTTAAAGCAAGAAGTTTTGGAAAACTTACCACTTTTAAAAATTAATAATAAAACGCGTATAGCTATGGCTAAACATTTTAAGGCTAAGATATAGTATTATAAAAGTAAAAAAAAAGAAAAAAAAAACACTCCCAATTTATAATAAAAAATTTAGGGCTAATTTTGCCTAGTAAAAAAGCTAATAAAAAATAATTTAAATTAGTACGCTTTGTAAATAAGTAAGTAAAGTAATTAAAGTAAAAACAAAAACACTATAATGCTAAGAGAAAGTTAAAATTACCTAATTTATTAGCTTTACCTATACTACTAATTTTAAATAGTATTTATTTTTTTAAGACCTATAAAATATTAATTTTAAATAACTATAAAAAGATAATAAAATCTCCCTAAAAAAAGTACTAGATTAAAGTAATAAATAAGTAAAATATTAAGCTTAAGAACGTTTTTATATAAAGATTAGTGCCTTAATTAATAGCTATTTAAAAAAAAAAAATTATACTAGGAAAATGGGTTTTTAATATTAAAAAAAATAAAAAAAATAATATTAAGGAGTTTCGCGCCTGCTAGGTTATATATAGTAACTTTTAGGTTAAAAATAGTAGCTTAAAAATATATACTTTAATTATTATTAACACGCTGGTAAAGATTTATTTTATAGCTATTTATAAAAGGGGTTACTATTATATTTAATTTAATATAGTAACCGCCTATCTTAACTTTATAATAAAATAAAAAAAGGTTCTTATAAAGTAACCTATAAATTTAAAAAAAAAAGGATTTTATTTACCTACTTTTTCACGCCTTATATAAATTAAAAAAAGCGGTATACCTTTAAAAATAGGATATTTATAAATATATTAAAAAGTATAGGCTTTTAAAGTATTAAAAAAAATTTATATTTTTTTTATTACGCCTATAAGGGTAGTATTATAATTATTTATATAAATAATATCTTAGTAGCGGTGCTTATAAAGAAAATTTATAAAAAGTTTTTAAAAAAGTTAGCTAAGTACTTTAAGCTTAAAATTCTTAAAAAATTAAAATAGTTCCTGGGATATAATATTAATTTTATAAAAAAAAATACTTATTTTTTAAAAGACCTATATTTAAAAGATCCTAAATTAATTAAACTTTAATAAATTAAACAGGCAAAGGATTTTAATAAATTTAGGTTAAAAATACTTAATAAAGGCAGCTGTTGCTATATTTAAACTATTATAAAAAAAAGATATTTTAAAGTATTAATAATTAATAGGAAAGCTTAACTAGATATTTAAAAAAAATAAGGCTAGATATTAAATATGTTACTATAAAATTACTAAGGTATATTTTAAATTTTTAAAATGCTAACTTTGCCGCGGTTAAGTATATATTTTAATACCTTAAAAAGTATTAAAATTTTTATATTTTCTTAGGTATAAAT